CTACAAATCATTTTGAAGCTCTATCATTCCATATAAATAATTAAGCACCATCTAATGTCGACTTCCAACACAATCTTAGCCATATAAAACTCCAAAATAATTTAACAATGAAAATGAAAATTAGTGTCAGAGAAAACACCATTAAATTACTCAGTTAATCCTACGAAAAACCTAAAAGGTCGACCAATCACCTCGGGCTCAAAGTTAGGATGTGAGATTATTACAGCACAAATTACCTTGTCGTATTTTACTGACACATATTTTTATTAACAGATATGGGCTTATTGTCAGAAAATTCAAAATAAATTTGTGATAAAGTTGTAATTTTGACTCAGCTTATATAAACAATTCATGATTTTATGAAAAATCATCTCAACATGAGTCAGGTATTTTCAAAAAAGGTCAAATTATAAGTAATTTTTGTTTAAAAAATTTGCATAATTGAAAGAAAATTATACAGTAATTCTAAAACCATGAAATTGCATAGTTATACAAGCCAGCAAATTAAAAATACCATTTCTACGCTAACATCCCCAATAATAAATAAAACAATATTTGATTAAAAAGAAAAATAGTTAAGTACAATTGGCTTTAACATATATATAAAACATATATAATAATTATTTTTATACATAACTTTGAATCGTCAAATATTCCAGAAAAACAAGACGTCACATAAATTTATAAATATTTTATGTAAACTAACTATCAACACATTATTGATTTTTCATCACTAATACAAAAAATAATCGACAAATACGCAATACTCAAATTGCAATATAGATTTATTTTTGACTAGATTCAATATATTTATAAAGAAGAAGCATATTTCATAAAGATTGATCACAATCAGGGCATTTGGGGGTGGGGTGGGGTTGGGGGTGGGGTCAGAAGAGGGGGGGGGGGGGGGTTCGGAAGGAGGGGGGGGGGGGGGGGGGGGTCAGAATGGGGAGAGGGTGGAATGAAGGAGGTGTAATATACAAATAAAGCAATCTGATATTGTATAGTTGGAATTATTCATGCCTAGTAATTATCTAATTTTGCTATACTCCCAATCAATATAGGTTGCATGAAACCAAAATACCTGGCAAATGCAAATGAAATCAAATAGATATATTTTCTGCAGTCAAGCTTTTGTTGTGACATAAAAGAAGCGTTCATATCCTTCACAGATACAATTTTTTTGTAAGTTGCTGTATCAGTTACACTTGTATTAAAATTTACAGAAAATAATTTTGTTTAATCTATAAAAATAACGTTCTGGTTGAAAAAATTGAAATCCTATTTGTGACTAGTGAATGATTTTAGAAATGCTGATTGTAATAGGAGCAGACCATGCTTTACACCCAGGACCCTCAGTATAAAGATTGAGGTACCTGATCATAGATCATCAACCCACTTCCTCTATGTCCATCCCTTCTTTTTTTAAGTCTTTGCAACCAGAGACACCACTATTTAAAACAAAGGTCTGGGTATTCCCATGTTAAGTATTCACCTACTGGAAACAAGGGTTTGTCACGATCACCAACTGTAATAAGAGCAGAAAAATGCACAGCCAGACTGGTGTTTGAACTCGGAACCCTCTGATCTCTGGTTATACACTAAATAATTAAAAGTACCTTGTCCTCAATGACCAACCCATTCCAGCTCTGCTACATAAAACTGTAGACAGTCACCTTTAGAAGGCCACGTCTTCTGTTGGATTTCCATTTAGTAAGACTCTACATTAAGAATTGTTTAAAAAAAATATGTATTCAAATCTCTGTTACACAGAGACATGTCACAAGGTTAAATCAAAATGAGATTAATAAATAGAACGGAATTTTTGTTGTAGAAGATATCATTGAGGAAAGTTTTACAATCTAAGGTGACAGACAGGTTTATACTGTCGATAAGAAAACATTGTGCTTAATATCACTACATCAAATTTTTAGCGCAGTGTCAATATTTGGTTGTTGTGCAAAACTATTAATAATTGTATGACAGCATTCAAAAAATGTAGTCAGCGCAAAGTTTAGTGAAGTACATTCAGTGCAAAAAAAATTAAATCAGATTACGGCTAAACTTTTACACTTTAAGCCTGTAACCTGCTGATTAAACACAGGTTATCATTAACTACACTTACAGCCTGTAACCTGCTGATTAAACTCAGGCTATCATTAACTACACTTACAGCCTGTAACCTGCTGATTAAACTCAGGTTATCATTAACTACACTTACAGCCTGTAACCTGCTAATTAAACTCAGGTTATCATTAACTACACTTACAGCCTGTAACCTGCTGATTAAACTCAGGTTATCATTAATTACACTTACAACCTGTAACCTGCTGATTACAGTCAACTGTATATATGGACCTTGTGACCTTTACATAAAGGACACCGGTCTACACAGAGCAATTGACCTATACGTTTAACAATGTTTTTTTTTTAAATATCCTAAAAACAATTTGATACTGACTTAAATTTCTCATCACTGTTACAGTTATATAAATCAGCAGTATTAATTACTGTGTTCTTTATTTTACAAAAATACATTTAGTTTGTATATGATATCATTATCTGTCGTTATAGTGTTGACTTCGGGTTAAGAGGTGTGTGGTTCAATGGTCTCTACCTGTGGTGAGAAACAGACAGGTGAAGAGGTGTGTAGTTCAACAGTCTCTACCTGTGGTGAGAAACAGAGAAGCTGTGCTGTTGTAGTTGTGTAGAAACTATACCCAGATTTCTCTATATTGCATGAAACAGGCCTCTTGTATGTAAAGTTAGGTAGCCAACATGTCAAAATGACCCTGGATTGTTAACAGGATAATCAGGCAAACAAATGATCCTCATTATGATCAGATAGATATACTACATGTTTAAATTTGTCAATAAACTCAACTCTGAATATACCTCCTCTGTAGAAATCAACGAAAACATAATTAGGATATAGTACTAGTAGCTTTGACACCTTCCCAACTCCAACACCTAAATAAACGTAGAATCTACAGATGTTATATACATATACAATTGAATGAAAGTGAAAAAATGAAAAAGAAATTGAGCAGTGAAACAGTCTTAATCAGAGAATAGAAGATCTTATAACACCATGGTGACCATGTAATCATCGAAACGTCACAATCTTATCTTCTACTGGTTGTGTTATAAGATGAAGGTGACCATGTAGTCATCAAAACGTCACAATCTTATCTTCTACTGGTTGTGTTATAAGATGAAGGTGACCGTGTAGTCATCAAAACGTCACAATCTTATCTTCTACTGGTTGTGTTATAAGATGAAGGTGACCATGTAGTCATTGAAACGTCACACTCTTATCTTCTACTGGTTGTGTTATAAAAACTTCTATTCTATTGACATAACCAACCTGAAGAAAATGTTTAAAAAAAAAACAGTATCTATCACTAAATTTTAAAATATTAGGGAAATAAACAATGAAAGTGTGATATTATTTATTTAAACATAGATAGATTTTTTATACATAAATGAATGAACAGATAATATGTTTTTGATAACATTGTATCATTGATGTTTGATTAAACAGTGGACTACGGTGTCTGGATACAAACAGGGAATACATTTATCAGAATACAAAGGAAATGTTTGAAAAGTGAGAAATTAAATTCTAGCGATCAATTAACATTTGGGAGATATGAAATTTTAAAAAATAAATTTGTTAACAGAATTTAGGTGTTATGTGATACATAAAATATCAAAACTAAAGGAAAAACATCATATAAGTCAGTCGAAAAACAGGAAGTTTTTTCTGATTTTTCAAATTACTTGAAATTTTACACATAAACAAATAAAACAAGAGAACAATAGATAAATATGCAGATGAAAACAATTTAGATGTGTTAATGTTGCATGTATCAGATTTGATCAATAACCATGGTAACCTTCAGTAATAGAATACATTAACAATAAACATGAGGAGATAATTGCTAGGTATTTTTTTCTTCTCACACCTCTTGTCCACTAAGACTTTTCCAGCATGACATCTACCTAATCCCAGGACTCCAGCTTTTATTTAGAGGTACTTCCCACAGAATTTCACTGATATTTTACTAAGAAGTAATAGGTTGGAAACCTAACCCTGGATAGTAGTCATTAAATTTGGGGTCCTGGGATCAAACTAGAATAACCCTTAGAAAAAACCTTTGTAGAATATACATAATTTTCTATCCATTGTTTTCTCCATCAATCATCCATTTTGATAAGAGTATTTCTAAAGCAAGACAAAAAGACACAAAAAGTTTAACGTTATGTTATAAATCAGACAAGACAAGGTGACCGGTCAACTGTGATGTGTTTGGCATCGGGCGGAAACTTAAATTCTGAGTAATCTCTAGGAGTGTTTAAACATCAGCAGTATTCTGTACTCTGAAACATCTGTCCTACACAAAAAAACTACATCTATCTTTCTTATTTTCTGTATCCTTCATCCAATGTCCTGCTTCATACTGGTGTAAAGCTGACATTTAAACTTGGTTTTGGGTTAAAATTTCAGATAATTTCTGTACAACTACATGTACTAGTTTTGTATTTCTGTTGTGTTTCACATTAAAAATTTGTTATGTCATGATATAATGGTAATAATTTTTGTTTCAACACAGCTACAGAAATAAAGGATTAAAAAACAACTATTGAAAGACAACAGTTTTAACTTTCTATAAAGAATGTGACCCATTCAACAGTTTTAACTTTCTATAAAGAATGTGACCCATTCAAGTTAACTAAGTCAAGCTACACAAAATAACACAATTATCACCTTTATCTTAAACCCATTCTCTGTTGTGACTGGATAACAACACATACCTACACATTCACACACATCCACACTTACACACATCCACACTCACACACATCCACACTCACACACATCTACACTCACACACATCCACACTTACACACATCCACACTCACACACATCCACACTCACACACATCCACACTTACACACACACACACTCACCCTCATCCACACTCACACACATCCACACTCACACACATCCACACTCACACACATCCACACTCACACACACACTCACACACATCCACACTCACACACATCTACACATCCACACACACACATCCACACTCACACATCCACACACACACATCCACACTTACACACATCCACATTCACACACATCCACACTTACACACATCTACACATCCACACACACACACCCACACTTACACTCAGACACTTTCACATACCCACACTTACATCCACACTAACCCTCACTTTTATACTTCCACGCCCTCACTGACAAACTTCCACACTCACACCTATCCACACTCACATTTTTCGTTGCACCTTATTCTGTGTTGTGATTGGCTAATAAGGAAGTGCTCTGATTGGTAATGCTTGCATATATGAGTGTGTTTCTCTGTTGTTTATCACACACGTTACTTGAAGCAGTGTGTTGTTGTGAGTAAACAATCTCTTCCTCTTCGTCACCAAGGTCTGGCATTCGTTGTAAGTTCAAGTCACTTTCAGAAAAACTGTTCCAGCTTGTGTCAAGGCTAGGATTTGAATTATTGTGAATAGTTGATGTTGATGAATTATTTTGATTGGACGATATAATATCCAATGGGATTTCTTCTTCCTCTTGTAAAAGGGCTCTTGTTTCTGATGAATCGTGATCCCCAACCCGGTGTCTGTTTGCCATGTAGTTTGCATCCTTGCAGAGTTTTTTACGTCGCAAGAGCTCCTGTTTTTCTTCCTTGTAACAGATGGCATATTCCAAACTCTCATATATGGCCATGACCAGACAGAATACACATACTAATGCCAGAATCTGTAAACAAAGAATCACCAACTTAATGAGTTCCAATCTTAACAAAGTTCACTACCTTATAATCCTCCAACCCTGAAGAGTTCAAATCTAACAAAGTTCACTACCTTACTGTACTCCAACCCTGAAGAGTTCCAATCTAAACAAAGTTCACTACCTTATAATCCTCCAACCCTGAAGAGTTCCAATCTTAACAAAGTTCACTACCTTACTGTACTCCAACCCTGAAGAGTTCTAATCTAAACAAAGTTCACTACCTTATAATCCTCCAACCCTGAAGAGTTCCAATCTAAACAAAGTTCACTACCTTACTGTACTCCAACCTGAAGAGTTCCAATCTAAACAAAGTTCACTACCTTACTGTACTCCAACCCTGAAGAGTTCCAATCTTAACAAAGTTCACTACCTTATAATCCTCCAACCCTGAAGAGTTCCAATCTTTACAAAGTTCACTACCTTACTGTACTCCAACCCTGAAGAGTTCCAATCTTAACAAAGTTCACTACCTTACTGTACTCCAACCCTGAAGAGTTTCATTCTAAACAAAGTTCTATACCTTATTTCCTCCAACTCTGAATTGTTCCAATCTAAACAAAGTTCACTACCTTACTGTACTCCAACCCTGAAGAGTTCCAATCTAAACAAAGTTCAATACCTTATTTCCTCTAACCCTGAAGAGTTCCACTCTTAATAACATAAAACTTCCTTATTACCTTGAAGAATTCTATTTCAGGAATGAATACTATGATCCTCAGTGTTCCCCCAACAAAAACTATACTTGCCATTCTTCCGTATTTCTTCCCATTTTGAACCTTTTATGTTGCTACATTCAAGAAGTTGATTTGCTTTTACATTCATAGATCTGATGATTTTATTTGAATGAACAACCTAAAAGATGCTATATACAAGTGCTTTTTCTTTATTGGAGAGTATAGGTACATATTTAACATACGCTTATATTTCTGAGTATGTGAAATCACCTGACATAATTTTTAAATGTTGTCAAGTAAGCAACAGAGTTCTGCTTGAAAGAAATTCATGTTATTCATGTTAATATCAAAAAGAGGTCACTATGGCATTCAATAACTTGAGGCCCATAGGGACTGTATATCGCTCACCTGGATCTTAAAGCCCAGCAATGTTATACACGCCTATAGGTTGGGTATTTCAAATATTTCCAAATTAAAGCTTAGTCACTTAATCTCTGTAATGGGACAAGACCAATGTGTAAATTCTTATATCATTACTGTTTTTCCTTTTTGATTCCTAGTAAGAGAACAATAGGTTAGTTCTTACAAAATTGATTTCATTTTACTCAAGGATGCTTCTGACCAAATCTGGTCAAATTCTGTCAGTCTGGTGTGTGTGTCTAATGATGGAAGGAAAGAAACTGGAGTTCTCCGGAAAACTAATGTGGTTGGACAGGTGACCCCATACCTTTTCATGTTCGTTCTGGGAATCAAACCCCACACCGCTAGGTGAAAGGCACGTGCCTTACCACTGTGCAATCAGACCATCCAAACCATTAACAAGAGATCCCAGTGGGATCTTGGCGCCCACCATTTTAGGATCTGTTTTCAGTTCTTGAAGATTTGTTTATTTTTTTTTTATTACAGGTGTTGTAAATGCTCATGAACTGGTCTTCATTGAATGTACTCAATGATGGCACAAGATATTTTTATTTAACACCTATTAGCAAATATCATTTGAAAAAGATCCCAAAGTATTATTAGATAGCAGTCAGTTACAGGTGGACATAGTCTTGAATCAATATGATAGAATATCGAAGAAAATATGCTTGTGCTGTATTACTGTCGACACAAAGATGGCTGCCTGTGGGCCACCTTGATTTCAAATCAGTCCAAAAAGGTACAATGCACAACTAGGGACCAAGGGAAACCAATACCTATGAAATATCAGAAGGATCCAACCAGTACTTCCTCAGAAATAGCGGTAACAAGATTTTACTCTCAAAATCCAAGATGGCTGCCTGTCAGCCATCTTGATTTCATATCAGTCAAAAAAAGGTAAAATGCACAATTAGGGACCAAGGGGAACCTGCATATGAAATTTGAGAAAGATCCATCAACTATTTTCCCAGAAATAGCGATAACAAACTTTTATACTCAAAATCCAAGATGGCTGCCTATCAGCCATCTTGATTTCATATCAATCCAAAAAAGGTTCAAGAGATCCCAGAGGGATCTTGGTGCCCACCATTTGAGGATCCATTTTCAGTTCTTGAAGATTTGTTTATTTTTTTTTGTTTGTTACAGGTGTTGTAAATGTTCATGAACTGGTCTTCATTGAATGTATTCAATGATGGCACAAGATATTTCTATTAAGCACCTATTAGCAAATATTTGAAAAAGATCCCAAAGTATTATTAGATAGCAGTCAGTTACAGGTGGATAATGGAAAATATGTTTGTGCTGTATTACTGTCGACATCCAAGATGGCGGCGTGTGGGCCACCTTGATTTCAAATCAGTCCAAAAAAGGTACAATGCACCACTAGGGACCAAGGGAAACCAATATCTATGAAATATCAGAAGGATCCATCCAGTACTTCCTCAGATATAGCAGATATAGCCAGTCCAAAAAAACAAGATTCCAAGAAATTAACAAACTTTTACTCAAAATCCAAGATGGCCACCTGTCGGCCATCTTGAATTCGAATCAGTCCATAAAAGGTACAATGCACAACTAGGGACCAAGGGGAACCTGCATATGAAATTTGAGAAAGATCCATCCAGTACTTTCCAAGAAATAGCGGTAACAAACTTTTACATCTAAAATCTAAGATGGCCACCTGTCTGCCATCTTGAATTCGAATCAGTCCAAAAAAGGTACAATGCACAACTAGGGACCAAGGGGAACCGGCATATGAAATTTGAGAAAGATCCATCCAGTACTTTCCAAGAAATAGCGGTAACAAACTTTTACATCCAAAATCCAAGATGGCTGCATGTCGGCCATCTTGAATTCGAATCAGTCTAAAAAAGGTACAATGCACAACTGGGGACCAAGGGGAAACTGCACATGAAATTTGAGAAAGATCCATCCAGTACTTTACAAGAAATAGCGGTAACAAACTTTTACTTCCAAAATCCAAGATGGCCACATGTCGGCCATCTTGAATTCGAATCAGTCCAAAAAAGGTACAATGCACAACTAGGGACCAAGGGGAACCTGCATATGAAATTTGAGAAAGATTCATCCAGTACTTTTCCAGTAATAGCGGTAACAAGAATTGTTTACGGACGGACACCTAGATGGACGGACGGACCACGGACGCAGGGCGATTTGAATACCCCAACATCTGATGATGGTGAGCTAATAATGCACAACTAGGGACCAAAGGGAACCTGCATATGAAATTTGAGAAAGATCCATCCAGTACTTTCCAAGAAATAGCGGTAACAAACTTTTACTTTCAAACTACAAGATGGCCACCTGTCAGCCATCTTGTATTCGAATCAGTCCAAAAAAGGTACAATGCACAACTAGGGACCAAGCGAAAGTTCCATATGAAATTTGACAAAGATCCATCTAGTACTTTCTCAGAAATAGCGGTAACAAACTTTTACTTTCAAACTCCAAGACGGATGGACGGACGGACAGACCACGGACCACGGACCACGGACGCAGGGCGATTTGAATAGCCCACCATCTGATGATGGTGTGCTAAAAAAGTACCAAACTCCATGATGATCTAGTTCTCCTCTACGCCCCATTTTAATATTGATTTCACTTTAATCCATAACATAATGAAAGGTGAACATGTTGATGTATTTTGACTGTAAAATTACCTTGAGTGTTTTTTCTGACATCGGAGCATCAGGCCTGGCCTTGACAGGAGGGTCTCCACACTGCAGACTGTAAGTGTCATTGAGAAACTCTCCACTCATGGCTTTATGTACCGCTCTACAAAAAACATAGATCAATATCCATGTCTGTTTAAACTCTAACAAAGTAATGTCATACGTTCAGAAAGTCACAGCACATCAATGTGTGATTATCTTTTACTTTGAAACAAAGGCCACAAAATCTGAATTCTTGACTGAATGAACTGATAGATAAAAAGATAGTCACATTTGGTCAGAGATTAACCAATCACAGGTGTGTATATGAAAAAACACTATGTTACACTTTCTAAAGACTCCCATCCCACTCATGCTCAATATGAAGCATTTCTTTAGTCATTCTAGAAGATTTTTTAAAGAGACATTTAAATTTGTCACTTCATAATAAGAAATAGCATAATATAATGTATTAATTATTTCACCAGACGTAAATATGCAAAAGATCTTATAGGGGGAGGAAACCTGAGAATCCATGGAAAACCTATGTAGTCAGGCATGTGGACCCTAACCTTTTCATATCCATTCTTAGAATGGAACTCCAGACTGCTAGATGAAAGGCAAGTCGGTCAAAACTACACCACTCAACCACCTCTGGTGACACAGGACTACTGTACAAACAGATGGTTGTGATATCTTACCCCGTCCTGGAACTCGTCTGGTGACACAGGACTACTGTACAAACAGATGGTTGTGATATCTTACCCCGTCCTGGAACTCGTCTGGTGACACAGGACTACTGTACAAACAGATGGTTGTGATATCTTACCCCGTCCTGGAACTCGTCTGGTGACACAGGACTACTGTACAAACAGATGGTTGTGATATCTTACCCCGTCCTGGAACTCGTCTGGTGACACAGGACTACTGTACAAACAGATGGTTGTGATATCTTACCCCGTCCTGGAACTTGTCTGGTGACACAGGACTACTGTACAAACAGATGGTTGTGATATCTTACCCCATCCTGGAACTTGTCTGGAACCCCATCCTGGAACTTGTCTGGTGACACAGGACTACTGTACAAACAGATGGTTGTGATATCTTACCCCGTCCTGGAACTTGTCTGGTGACACAGGACTACTGTACAAACAGATGGTTGTGATATCTTACCCCATCCTGGAACTCGTCTGGTGACACAGGACTACTGTACAAACAGATGGTTGTTATATCTTACCTCTTACGGTCCTGGAACTCGTCTGGTGACATGGGACTTCCGTACAACTTCAGTTTCCATTCTGTCAGAAATCCTTTACCATAGTTACCGGAATCTGGCAAAACAGAATTCAAATTTCATTTGAAATACAATCTTAAAATATATTTAAAATTTGCAGTTTGTTTCGGATATGATTTCCTATGTCAAAGTCTGTTAACAGTAAAGAAATTTTAAAATGTCACATTAGCAATGATTATGATAACAGAATATTTTAAATAGATTCTGTTGTAAGCATGTCACTGTGAATGTTCAGTAAATGGACAACACATTATTTTTTATTCAAGATGTTACCGTATATGCTCGCCTATAAGTCGATTCGCCTATAAGCCGGAGGTACATTTTTGAGTTAAAATTTTGGAATTTAACATTGACCCTGCCTATAAGACGGTATCAAAAAATGCTCCGGCAAAAAATCCAGTGAAAATCTCTGGAAGTAAAGTTAAATGATCGTGAATAAAATTTGGTGGAAATCTATCATAAGTATTTTTATTTCAGAAATGAGATCATGTACCGATATGTGTTGGTCATGATCGTGGAGATGCCAAGTCAGTTAAAATTTAATGTTAAAAGATCGTTTCTGCTCTCAATATTTATAAAGACATAACGGTATTTCAATAAAATGTCATTACATTTTTTCAAGTTCTTGTTGTGTTTATAAACATGGCAGATTATACAGTTCGATCGTCAGTCCTTCGATCAAACGCACAGATCAATCACAATTCATTTCTACACCCTACCTGCATACGTGTCCAACCCGGAACTAAAGGAAGTTCTGGTAGGTGTGTAATGTTGAAAACGGACCAATCAGGACAACGCGGCATGGTGTCATTAATATCTATCAAAACATTGTGCACGTGCTACCCACCTTGTTTACACCATGCTAATTGACCATCAGTCTGCCTTGATTGATCTTTTGTTCTTCGTAATTGCCGTACGTACTATGTATACACATTCCCGCACGGACGTGTGTACACAGGTGTGCCTTCAGGCATAAACAAAAGCCCATCCCATTGAACTGGCGATTATTGTTCAAACAATCAGGCAACATGAAAGGTAACTGAGAAATTTGAGTAACTGATAGTACTCATACTGTACCTGAGCTCTTAGGGCTATAGACGTCAATGGCTTTACTGTACTTGCATATTTTACTATATACGTGATTTTACACGATTCTCGGTCCTAAAGCATGACTTACCTTTGGAAAATTATGGTGTGATTTTTTGCTCATGGTCAATGACTCACCTATAAGCCGGACCCCTCCTCGGAGGTCGTAAATTTACTCCAGAAAATCCGGCTTATAGGCGAGTATATACGGTACTTGTTAAAATTGAATTTACATAACCGAGAAAGTCAATTTTACAGACAAAAAAATCAAACAAAACAGGAAATAACCTCTGTATCAAACACTAACAAAGGGAGGTAAGTAATTATATCTTAGAATTAGCTAAACACTGTAGAAGTAGGTTTCAAGAAGGAATAAAGATTAATATAATATAATAATATAATATAATATTATAATATTAATATAATATGATAATTCTGTATGATGTGGGTGGGAATTATACACCTGTTACACAGAGAAGGAATTGACATAACACAATATATTATGATAATTCTGTATGAAATTGGTAACATAACTCATTAAGTAATACATGTATGTCAGTAACGTTTGGATAAGAACTGTACCTGTGTCTATGATTGTTAATTTCCACGTTCCAACAGGATTTTCTCCCCAACACCTGACAGTACTAAATGTCCACCCAGAAAACCCTTTAGTGGAGCTGCAAAAACAAAATGACAGACATCTCAAACTAAGTTAATTGGTCAATAAGCAACAAAAGAATAATTTCCAAGCTTCTGTTTTTGCTTTTGATTTTAATTTTTAAAATTATTGTAAGAAGCTGTATGTCCATGAAATCGTAATTTTTAACAAGGATGCTTCAGACTAAATAAATTCACTGGTCTCCAAACCAGATCAGCTAAAAACCAGGAAAATTGATCCTCATGTAATATAATTTTACAGTGCTGATGATAGTTCATCAATCTGTTACTGTGTTCTACGATCTCTCCATTTATCTAGTTACAAAAAATTTAGACATCTAAGATTTCCTACAACAAAACCGTTAAGCCTACTTACTTGTCCAACTTGCGTGGAGCCCCTATAACAGACTTGGTACCACTGGGACATTGTAAGTGGATTTCAAGATATCCGCGGTATGGATGGTCGACCGACAACATGATTTGTACATGCTCCAAGGTCAGGAGGTCAAATCCTCTGATATCTTCTTCATTTACTAAAACAAAGTGAAATCTCTTCTGTATTGGATGTCAGCCTTTTCTTTTTTTAAGTACCAATTCTCGCCACGATTTGTCAATACCCATGTTTCCTCAGTAACATCTCAATATTTCCAAATCAACTGATATTTCTTAAGAAAGAAAACAATTTGTTTCGGGTTAATGTTTTTCTAGCCTTCGAAGGAATTGATACCAGGTTCATAGTGAGGATTAAACAAAAGACACACAAGTAGAGTTAGGTATTGTAAAGCTGAATAATGAATTAAACAACCTCATACAGTTTCTAGGTCTCGTCAGCAATTCTAAGGGAATCAATTTTATATTTAGGAAACAACTGGAAAATCCAAAAGGATCAACAGAAATATCAAAATCTAGATGGGAAGATGCCATAGTCCCATACCTCAGCAGATTTCTTAAATCTAGTGATTTTAGAAGAATGTAAAGTACATGTGTATACTCTGAATTGTGTCACTATTTGTATCAATTAAACTGTGGCAAGCAGCTTACAGCAAAATAGATTGAGAACCAGGATCGTGCAACAAGTGGCTAACACATCCTATCTAAACACAAAGTAACTAAGTATCCTGTAACAAGTAGCTAACACATCATATCCAAACACAAAGTAACTAAGTATCCTGCAACTAGTGGCTAACACATCGTATCCAAACACAAAGTAACTAAGTATCCTGTAACAAGTAGCTAACACATCGTATCCAAACACAAAGTAACTAAGTATCCTGTAACAAGTAGCTAACACATCGTATCCAAACACAAAGTAACTAAGTATCCTGTAACAAGTGGCTAACACATCGTATCCAAACACAAAGTAACTAAGTATCCTGTAACAAGTGGCTAACACATCGTATCCAAACACAAAGTAACTAAGTATCCTGTAACAAGTAGCTAACACATTGTATCCAAACACAAAGTAACTAAGTATCCTGCAACAAGACTAAGTGGCTAACACATCGTATCCAAACACAAAGTAACTAAGTATCCTGTAACAAGTGGCTAACACATCGTATCCAAACACAAAGTAACTAAGTATCCTGTAACAAGTAGCTAACACATCGTATCCAAACACAAAGTAACTAAGTATCCTGCAACAAGACTAAGTGGCTAACACATCGTATCCAAACACAAAGTAACTAAGTATCCTGCAACAAGACTAAGTGGCTAACACATTGTATCCAAACACAAAGTAACTAAGTATCCTGCAACAAGACTAAGTGGCTAACACATCGTATCCAAACACAAAGTAACTAAGTATCCTTTAACAAGACTAAGTGGCTAACACATTGTATCCAAACACAAAGTAACTAAGTATCCTTTAACAAGACTATTTGGCTAACACATCGTATCCAAACACAAAGTAACGAAGTATCCTGTAACAAGTGGCTAACACATTGTATCCAAACACAAAGTAACTAAGTATCCTGTAACAAGTGGCTAACACATCGTATCCAAACACAAAGTAACTAAGTATCCTGCAACAAGACTAAGTGGCTAACACATTGTATCCAAACACAAAGTAACTAAGTATCCTACAACAAGACTATTTGGCTAACACATCGTATCCAAACACAAAGTAACGAAGTATCCTGTAACAAGTGGCTAACACATTGTATCCAAACACAAAGTAACTAAGTATCCTGTAACAAGTGGCTAACACATCGTATCCAAACACAAAGTAACTAAGTATCCTGCAACAAGACTAAGTGGCTAACACATTGTATCCAAACACAAAGTAACTAAGTATCCTACAACAAGACTAAGTGGCTAACACATTGTATCCAAACACAAAGTAACTAAGTATCCTGTAACAAGTGGCTAACACATCGTATCCAAACACAAAGTAACTAAGTATCCTACAACAAGACTAAGTGGCTAACACATTGTATCCAAACACAAAGTAACTAAGTATCCTGTAACAAGTGGCTAACACATCGTATCCAAACACAAAGTAACTAAGTATCCTACAACAAGACTAAGTGGCTAACACATTGTATCCAAACACAAAGTAACTAAGTATCCTGTAACAAGACTAAGTGGCTAACACATTGTATCCAAACACAAAGTAACTAAGTATCCTGCAACAAGACTAAGTGGCTAACACATTGTATCCAAACACAAAGTAACTAAGTATCCTGCAACAAGACTAAGTGGCTAACACATTGTATCCAAACACAAAGTAACTAAGTATCCTGCAACAAGACTAAGTGGCTAACACATTGTATCCAAACACAAAGTAACTAAGTATCCTACAACAAGACTAAGTGGCTAACACATCATATCCAAACACAAAGTAACTAAGTATCCTTTAACAAGACTATTTGGCTAACACATCGTATCCAAACACAAAGTAACTAAGTATCCTGTAACAAGTGGCTAACACATTGTATCCAAACACAAAGTAACTAAGTATCCTGTAACAAGTAGCTAACACATCGTATCCAAACACAAAGTAACTAAGTATCCTGTAACAAGTGGCTGACACATCGTATCCAAACACAAAGTAACTAAGTATCCTGTAACAAGTAGCTAACACATTGTATCCAAACACAAAGTAACTAAGTATCCTGTAACAAGTGGCTAACACATCGTATCCAAACACAAAGTAACTAAGTATCCTGTAACAAGTGGCTAACACATCGTATCCAAACACAAAGTTACTAAGTATCCTACAACAAGACTAAGTGGCTAACACATTGTATCCAAACACAAAGTAACTAAGTATCCTGTAACAAGACTAGTGGCTAACACATTGTATCCAAACACAAAGTAACTAAGTATCCTGTAACATGTGGCTAACACATCGTATCCAAACACAAAGTAACTAAGTATCCTGCAACAAGACTAAGTGGCTAACACATTGTATCCAAACACAAAGTAACTAAGTATCCTGTAACATGTGGCTAACACATCGTATCCAAACACAAAGTAACTAAGTATCCTGCAACAAGACTAAGTGGCTAACACATTGTATCCAAACACAAAGTAACTAAGTATCCTGCAACAAGACTAAGTGGCTAACACATTGTATCCAAACACAAAGTAACTAAGTATCCTTTAACAAGACTATTTGGCTAACACATCGTATCCAAACACAAAGTAACTAAGTATCCTGTAACAAGTGGCTAACACATTGTATCCAAACACAAAGTAACTAAGTATCCTGTAACAAGTGGCTAACACATCGTATCCAAACACAAAGTTACTAAGTATCCTGCAACAAGACTAAGTGGCTAACACATTGTATCCAAACACAAAGTAACTAAGTATCCTACAACAAGACTAAGTGGCTAACACATTGTATCCAAACACAAAGTAACTAAGTATCCTGCAACAAGACTAAGTGGCTAACACATCGTATCCAAACACAAAGTAACTAAGTATCCTTTAACAAGACTAAGTGGCTAACACATTGTATCCAAACACAAAGTAACTAAGTATCCTTTAACAAGACTAAGTGGCTAACACATCATATCCAAACATAAAGTAACTAAGTATTCTTTAACAAGACTAAGTGGCTAACACATCGTATCCAAACACAAAGTAACTAAGTATCCTTTAACAAGACTAAGTGGCTAACACATCGTATCCAAACACAAAGTAACTAAGTATCCTGTAACAAGTGGCTAACACATTGTATCCAAACACAAAGTAACTAAGTATCCTGTAACAAGTGGCTAACACATCGTATCCAAACACAAAGTAACTAAGTATCCTGTAACAAGTGGCTAACACATCGTATCCAAACACAAAGTAACTAAGTATCCTGCAACAAGACTAAGTGGCTAACACATTGTATCCAAACACAAAGTAACTAAGTATCCTACAACAAGACTAAGTGGCTAACACATTGTATCCAAACACAAAGTAACTAAGTATCCTGCAACAAGACTAAGTGGCTAACACATCGTATCCAAACACAAAGTAACTAAGTATCCTTTAACAAGACTAAGTGGCTAACACATTGTATCCAAACACAAAGTAACTAAGTATCCTTTAACAAGACTAAGTGGCTAACACATCGTATCCAAACACAAAGTAACTAAGTATCCTTTAACAAGACTAAGTGGCTAACACATTGTATCCAAACACAAAGTAACTAAGTATCCTGTAACAAGTGGCTAACACATCGTATCCAAACACAAAGTAACTAAGTATCCTGTAACAAGTGGCTAACACATTGTATCCAAACACAAAGTAACTAAGTATCCTGTAACAAGTGGCTAACACATTGTATCCAAACACAAAGTAACTAAGTATCCTGTAACAAGTGGCTAACACATCGTATCCAAACACAAAGTAACTAAGTATCCTTTAACAAGACTAAGTGGCTAACACATTGTATCCAAACACAAAGTAACTAAGTATCCTGCAACAAGACTAAGTGGCTAACACATTGTATCCAAACACAAAGTAACTAAGTATCCTGCAACAAGACTAAGTGGCTAACACATTGTATCCAAACACAAAGTAACTAAGTATCCTGTAACAAGACTATTTGGCTAACACATCGTATCCAAACACAAAGTAACTAAGTATCCTGTAACAAGTGGCTAACACATTGTATCCAAACACAAAGTAACTAAGTATCCTGTAACAAGTGGCTAACACATCGTATCCAAACACAAAGTTACTAAGTATCCTGCAACAAGACTAAGTGGCTAACACATTGTATCCAAACACAAAGTAACTAAGTATCCTACAACAAGACTAAGTGGCTAACACATTGTATCCAAACACAAAGTAACTAAGTATCCTGCAACAAGACTAAGTGGCTAACACATCGTATCCAAACACAAAGTAACTAAGTATCCTTTAACAAGACTAAGTGGCTAACACATTGTATCCAAACACAAAGTAACTAAGTATCCTTTAACAAGACTAAGTGGCTAACACATCATATCCAAACATAAAGTAACTAAGTATTCTTTAACAAGACTAAGTGGCTAACACATCGTATCCAAACACAAAGTAACTAAGTATCCTGCAACAAGACTAAGTGGCTAACACATCGTATCCAAACACACTAAGTATCCTGTAACAAGTGGCTAACACATTGTATCCAAACACAAAGTAACTAAGTATCCTGTAACAAGTGGCTAACACATCATCCAAACACAAAGTAACTAAGTATCCTGTAACAAGTGGCTAACACATCGTATCCAAACACAAAGTAACTAAGTATCCTGCAACAAGACTAAGTGGCTAACACATTGTATCCAAACACAAAGTAACTAAGTATCCTACAACAAGACTAAGTGGCTAACACATCATATCCAAACACAAAGTAACTAAGTATCCTGCAACAAGACTAAGTGGCTAACACATCGTATCCAAACACAAAGTAACTAAGTATCCTTTAACAAGACTAAGTGGCTAACACATTGTATCCAAACACAAAGTAACTAAGTATCCTTTAACAAGACTAAGTGGCTAACACATCATATCCAAACACAAAGTAACTAAGTATTCTTTAACAAGACTAAGTGGCTAACACATCGTATCCAAACACAAAGTAACTAAGTATCCTTTAACAAGACTAAGTGGCTAACACATCATATCCAAACACAAAGTAACTAAGTATTCTTTAACAAGACTAAGTGGCTAACACATCGTATCCAAACACAAAGTAACTAAGTATCCTTTAACAAGACTAAGTGGCTAACACATCGTATCCAAACACAAAGTAACTAAGTATCCTGTAACAAGTGGCTAACACATTGTATCCAAACACAAAGTAACTAAGTATCCTTTAACAAGACTAAGTGGCTAACACATTGTATCCAAACACAAAGTAACTAAGTATCCTGTAACAAGTGGCTAACACATCGTATCCAAACACAAAGTAACTAAGTATCCTGTAACAAGTGGCTAACACATTGTATCCAAACACAAAGTAACTAAGTATCCTGTAACAAGTGGCTAACACATCGTATCCAAACACAAAGTAACTAAGTATCCTTTAACAAGACTAAGTGGCTAACACATCGTATCCAAACACAAAGTAACTACAAACAAATGGAAAACTATAACATTCAGAAATAATGATTCTTTTCGTCCATTTTTACTTGAGGAATTGTCTGGAATCTTAAACCGTCAAAGCCAATGATGGCTGTCTTTTCTTTCTCGAAATAAAACATGATACTTTAAAATCATTGATTTTTGTGTAGGATTTTTTTTGTAGGTTTCTTAGGTCATCATAATCCATAAATTTATGTGCCCACGATTTGTTAACACAAGTAGATTGTTGTGCTAGGTTTATCAAGTGTCCATCAAAATGTGAATTTTTGAAAAGCCACATAAATTGAGTCCCACAAAAATACGTGAAATTACTGTAACCATGATAGAAATGGCATTGGAGAAAGATTCACCATGTCCATCGACAGAAAGAGAAACAAGATACAGTCAAACCTTGTTTTATCAAACTGGTATAACCTGAAGACCCTCTAACCACCCCCCTTTATTTGAAGCATATCATCATTTCCTGTCTAACTTTAAACAGAATACCCAAACTCACTTCGATCAAACACTATTGAGTCATCTTGAGGTTTCCCCATGGTCCCACCAAGTTTGAGATAACAAGGTTTGACTGTATATAAACTAGTAAGTGTAATATACATTTTCCCTCCCATCCCCCCCCCCTTTCTTTAATTTGAAGCATATCATCGGTCCATGCCTAACTTTAAACACTCGAACTCACTTCCATCATATACTCTTGAGTATAAGAATGTTTTATATTTACCATTATACAATACATTCAGAGGACGAGATACAGATTTGGGGATTTCCATTTTGATCTTTCCACTTTCATGTGTGTAAGCCGTCAACCAGGAGACCATAGTCCATATCTGTAACAAAATTATGTTATATTATATGCAGTTTGTAGACATTGTAGATATGTCTTACAGGACCTAAAAGTTCCCGTCTAATATGGGATTAATGAAGCAAAGTGTAAAAATTTTCATTCACTGTAAGCTCAATAAAAGAAAATTTTCGAGATGAGTTTCATAAATCACATATATGGTTCAAATTAAAGAACCCTTTTATCACATGATCAATGACTTTGATACATGTTATATATTCATGTTATTTACCAAGTCATCTTGGTACGATATTTACCAGCAGACTTCCCGAGGACCACAATCCAGTAGTAATCAAACTACATGGACGGTCCGAGACCTCAGCTTCCCGAGAACCACAATCCAGTAGTAATCAAACTACATGGACGGTCCGAGACCTCAGCTTCCCTAGGACCACAATCCAGTAGTAATCAAACTACATGGACGGTCGGAGACCTCAGCTTCCCTAGGACCACAATCCAGTAGTAATCAAACTACATGGACGGTCCGAGACCTCAGCTTCCCTAGGACCACAATCCAGTAGTAATCAAACTACATGGACGGTCGGAGACCTCAGCTTCCCGAGGACCACAATCCAGTAGTAATCAAACTACATGGACGGTCCGAGACCTCAGCTTCCCTAGAACCACAATCCAGCAGTAATCAAACTACATGGACGGTCCAAATCTCAGCTTCCCGAGAACCACAATCCAGTAGTAATCAAACTACATGGACGGTCCAAAACCTCAACTTCCCGAGAACCACAATCCAGTAGTAATCAAACTACATGGACGGTCCGAGACCTCAGCTTCCCTAGGACCACAATCCAGTAGTAATCAAACTACATGGACGGTCGGAGACCTCAGCTTCCCTAGGACCACAATCCAGTAGTAATCAAACTACATGGACGGTCCGAGACCTCAGCTTCCCGAGGACCACAATCCAGTAGTAATCAAACTACATGGACGGTCCGAGACCTCAGCTTCCCGAGAACCACAATCCAGCAGTAATCAAACTACATGGACGGTCCAAATCTCAGCTTCCCGAGAACCACAATCCAGTAGTAATCAAACTACATGGACGGTCCAAAACCTCAACTTCCCGAGAACCACAATCCAGTAGTAATCAAACTACATGGACGGTCCAAAACCTCAACTTCCCGAGAACCACAATCCAGTAGTTATCAAACTACACACCCCAGATCTAGGCCTGATGTTGCTCTAATTCAATGTTATTGAAGCCTCCTATATGAACACTAGGAAGATGAAAGTATTACTACATTCAATTGTAAAGATAAAGAAACATTTACATTAGCCTGTTTTTATATACCGGTAATTATCTTCCTCTTATAATCTGTTTTCCTTGTCTCACCAAGCTGAAGGCATCATTCCTTACCTTTGCTGCATTGACAAGTCGCCATGCCTTCATCAACCCGAAGCCATGTTTGTGACTGTGATAAAGACCAGCTCCATTCTTCTGCCAATCAGCCACATCTACATCCACCTAAAATATACAATATCATATAAACCATGTCTATTAAGAGGTCAACATTACTCAACAAACTCAGAATATATTAATATTTTCCAGTTTTTAAAACACTGTTCAAATTCAAGAATTTATTGAGATTTCAGCGGTAATATTTTTGCTGTTTGATACTTTTATGTTTCAAACTTCTTTTCAAAGATTTACAGAAAAAGGTAAATTTCTGTCCACAAAAGAACAGAATTGATTAACACTTTGATGAAGTATTTCCATTTCCCTTTGGTTGTACCTCACTGAAAACCATTTACACCAGATAAAAACCATTCACACCAGAGAAAAACCATTTACACCAGATAAAAACCATTTACACCAGATAAAAACCATTCATACCAGATAAAAACCATTCACACCAGAGAAAAACCATTCATACCAGATAAAAACCATTTACACCAGATAAAAACCATTTACACCAGATAAAAACCGTTTATACTAGATAAAAACCATTCACACCAGATAAAAACCATTTACACCAGATAAAAACCATTCATACCAGATAAAAACCATTTACACCAGAGAAAAACCATTCACACCACCAGATAAAAACCATTTACACCAGATAAAAACCATTCATACCAGATAAAAACCATTTACACCAGATAAAAACCATTCATACCAGATAAAAACCATTCACACCAGATAAAAACCATTCATACCAGATAAAAACCATTCACACCAGAAAAAAACCATTTACACCAGATAAAAAACATTTACACCAGAAAAAAACCATTTACACCAGATAAAAACCATTCACACCAGATAAAAACCATTTAAAACCATTCACACCAGATAAAAACCATTTACACCAGATAAAAACCATTTACACCAGATAAAAACCATTCACACCAGATAAAAACCATTTACACCAGATAAAAACCATTTACACCAGATAAAAACCATTCACACCAGATAAAAACCATTTACACCAGATAAAAACCATTTAAAACCATTCATACCAGAATAAAACCATTCATACCAGATAAAAACCATTTACACCAGATAAAAACCATTCACACCAGATAAAAACCATTCATACCAGATAAAAACCATTTACACCAGATAAAAACCATTTACACCAGATAAAAACCATTTACACCAGAGAAAAACCATTCACACCAGATAAAAACCATTCATACCAGATAAAAACCATTTACACCAGATAAAAACCATTTACACCAGATAAAAACCATTCACACCAGATAAAAACCATTTACACCAGATAAAAACCATTCATACCAGAAAAAAACCATTCATACCAGATAAAAACCATTTACACCAGATAAAAACCATTTACACCAGATAAAAACCATTTACACCAGAAAAAAACCATTTACACCAAGATAAAAACCATTTACACCAGATAAAAACCATTCACACCAGAGAAAAACCATTTACACCAGATAAAAACCATTTACACCAGATAAAAACCATTTACACCAGATAAAAACCATTCACACCAGATAAAAACCATTTACACCAGATAAAAACCATTTACACCAGATAAAAACCATTTACACCAGATAAAAACCATTTACACCAGATAAAAACCATTTACACCAGATAAAAACCATTCACACCAGATAAAAACCATTTACACCAGATAAAAACCATTTACACCAGATAAAAACCATTTTACACCAGATAAAAACCATTAAAAACCACACCAGATAAAAACCATTCACACCAGATAAAAACCATTTACACCAGATAAAAACCATTTACACCAGATAAAAACCATTCACACCAGATAAAAACCATTTACACCAGATAAAAACCATTCACACCAGATAAAAACCATTCACACCAGAGAAAAACCATTTACACCAGATAAAAACCATTTACACCAGATAAAAACCATACACCAGATACACCAGAAAAAAACCATTTACACCAGATAAAAACCATTTACACCAGATAAAAACCATTCACACCAGATAAAAACCATTCACACCAGAGAAAAACCATTTACACCAGATAAAAACCATTTACACCAGATAAAAACCATTCACACCAGATAAAAACCATTTACACCAGATAAAAACCATTCACACCAGATAAAAACCATTTACACCAGATAAAAACCATTCACACCAGATAAAAACCATTTACACCAGATAAAAACCATTTACACCAGATAAAAACCATTCACACCAGATAAAAACCATTCACACCAGATAAAACCATTTACACCAGATAAAAACCATTTACACCAGAAAAAAACCATTTACACCAGATAAAAACCATTTACACCAGATAAAAACCATTTACACCAACCATAAAAACCATTTACACCAGATAAAAACCATTCATACCAGATAAAAGATAAAAACCATTTACACCAGATAAAAACCATTCATACCAGATAAAAACCATTTACACCAGATAAAAACCATTCATACCAGATAAAAACCATTTACACCAGATAAAACCATTTACACCAGATAAAAACCAATCATACCAGATAAAAACCATTTACACCAGATAAAAACCATTTACACCAGATAAAAACCATTTAAAACCATTCATACCAGAATAAAACCATTCATACCAGATAAAAACCATTTACACCAGATAAAAACCATTCATACCAGATAAAAACCATTTACACCAGATAAAAACCATTCATACCAGATAAAAACCATTTACACCAGATAAAAACCATTCATACCAGATAAAAACCATTTACACCAGATAAAAACCATTCATACCAGAAAAAAACCATTCACACCAGATAAAAACCATTCACACCAGATAAAAACCATTCACACCAGATAAAACCATTTACACCAGATAAAAACCATTTACACCAGAAAAAAACCATTTACACCAGATAAAAAAAACCATAAAAACCACACCAGATAAAAACCATTTACACCAGATAAAAACCATTTACACCAGATAAAAACCATTTACACCAGATAAAAACCATTTACACCAGATAAAAACCATTTACACCAGATAAAAACCATTTACACCAGATAAAAATCATTTACACCAGAAAAAAAACATTTACACCAGATAAAAACCATTTACACCAGATAAAAACCATACCAGATAAAAACCATTTACACCAGATAAAAACCATTTACACCAGATAAAAACCATTTACACCAGATAAAAACCATTTACACCAGATAAAAACCATTTACACCAGATAAAAACCATTTACACCAGATAAAAACCATTCATACCAGAAAAAAACCATTTACACCAGATAAAAACCATTTACACCAGATAAAACCATTCACACCAGATAAAAACCGTTTATACTAGATAAAAACCATTCATACCAGAAAAAAACCATTTACACCAGATAAAAACCATTCACACCAGATAAAAACCATTTACACCAGAAAAAAACCATTTAAAACCATTCACATCAGATAAAAACCATTCACACCAGATAAAAACCGTTTACACCAGATAAAAACCGTTTATACTAGATAAAAACCATTCATACCGGAAAAAAACCATTCATACCAGATAAAAAACGTTTATACCAGAAAAAAACCATTTACACCAGATAAAAACCATTCATACCAGATAAAAACCATTCATACCAGAAAAAAACCATTTACACCAGATAAAAACCATTCACACCAGATAAAAACCATTCACACCAGATAAAAACTGTTTATACCAGATAAAAACCATTTACACCAGATAAAAACCATTTACACCAGATAAAAATCATTTACACCAGATAAAAACCATTTACACCAGAAAAAAACCATTCATACCAGATAAAAACCATTCACACCAGATAAAAACCATTCATACCAGAAAAAAACCGTTTATACCAGAGAAAAACCATTTACACCAGATAAAAACCATTTACACCAGATAAAAACCATTTACACCAGATAAAAACCATTTACACCAGATAAAAACCATTCACACCAGAAAAAAACCATTTACACCAGATAAAAACCGTTTATACCAGATAAAAACCATTCACACCAGAAAAAAACCATTTACACCAGAGAAAAACCATTTACACCAGATAAAAACCATTCATACCAGAAAAAAACCATTTACACCAGATAAAAACCATTTACACCAGATAAAACCATTCACACCAGATAAAAACCGTTTATACTAGATAAAAACCATTCATACCAGAAAAAAACCATTTACACCAGATAAAAACCATTCATACCAGATAAAAACCATTCACATCAGATAAAAACCATTCATACCAGAAAAAAACCATTTACACCAGATAAAAACCATTTACACCAGATAAAAACCATTTACACCAGAAAAAAACCATTTACATCAGATAAAAACCATTCATACCAGATGAAAACCATTTATACTAGATAAAAACCATTTACACCAGATAAAAACCATTCATACCAGATGAAAACCATTTATACTAGATAAAAACTTGTTCTGTAATTTTTTTATATGTAATGTGTCTCCACAAAAAAGCAATGTCAAATATAACACAGGACATGTCCACACGGTTTAACTTTTCACCATTTCACTTTTTTGTTAACATTCCAAAAATAGAAAGTGAGATAAAGTTTAAAACTTTAGTTAAAATATCATTTTTTATATGTTATTTTACAGTGATTATGACACTGGGTGAAAATAGATATATCGTTTTGTGAGAGGGTGAAAAAAAAAACCCTTGGTGAATGTTTATCCATATCCTGTATGCAATATTTCATGCCCTATCTATATAGCCACAGAAATTTTAAATCTGGTTTAAATGCCAATAAAAAAAAAGATTCTTTTAAAAAAGCTTTTGAGCTGGAACAGTTTAATTAAGTGGGCAAGTTGATGTACTACTGATACAATTCTAATCACCAAGCTGACGTAAATATTAACTTTATATTACTGAAGGACATGCTATTTCTGTGAGAATGAGATATCCCTACACGCTATGGTAGAACATTATTGTGGAACTCTTCTTTAACGACAGCAACAGTTTTTAGTTTAATCCTTTGCGCTCGAACGTTAAGGACCCTGTGCCACTTAGTGCATGCATATAAATGTTTAAGGCCCAATTTCACTCTCTCACTCTCCAACACTGGACGTCAACGGATGGGTCTCTGGTACATTAACATTTACCTAGATCCTAGAGTCATTTTCTCATACTGTTATTTTCTGATAAAAATGATAAACGTAACCCAGTTAAATAATAAAACACATCATGAGTTGTTTCCTAACTACTCTAACGTTATAATATTAAAAAACTCACTATACTTCTCTGTGAGAATGAGCTACCACTGCTGAAAGTGACAGCCAACATCGAGGCACATTCCTCCGCGTAAAATGGCATATGTCCGGTCTCGTCTACAGCTCCTTTAAACATGAAGATAACAATGTACAGTATCTACTGATAAAGATAAAGAACTCATTCATGTCTGTGAAATCATTCTCATCTTCAAGGATCTACATTATACACACAGCACTTTCCAATACAATGTTTGTATTAAATACCATATGTTCGAACAACAAATTAAAAAGTATAATAGAGCCGTCTTTTTAGAACTCGTCTGTGATACTAGGGGCCTTAGAGTGTAGAAATCCAGAGGGTGAGTTACTAAAATTAAAATTAGTCTAAACAAGAGTTAGAATATAGATTGAGAGATATACTTACCAAATTAAACAATAAATTTGCAGTTTTTGAAATTATTTTAAACAATTTCAAAAGATTTTCAAGGATTCTGTGCTTAAAAACAGTTTATTGTGACTCAGTGAGAGCAGTTTATGAGCAAGCTTCACATAGGTCATCAACAACTACCTTATCATAAGAGTAAGGACAGTGATACACAGATCCTGAGTTTGAGATAACTCATACTGCAGTCCTGGAGTCAGTCATATCACATCTTAAGTAGCTTAATAGTGTTTTCACAATTACAAGGCAGAATAATGCCAGCAATCACAAATTCCAGATTTTTTTTGTACATAAAAACCTTATACATTTGTAACAGGAGTTCAAGTTCATACAGGGGGTACTTGTAATTATCAGTAAATGAAAAAGAATTTTATTTGCTAAAAGTTCAATACATACTTAAAATCAATGAACGAGGTCCAATTAGTGATGTAATTGATCTATCAATAATATACATACCTATAGTAACTGTGTACAGAGAATTGGCATAGCCATCATAGTTGCAGTTATCTTGAAAGCGCCCTCCATTACCACTAGCAACGACATATATACTTCCATAACCGCCACGGCCGTAGTTAATTCCGTACCTCATAGCAGCCTACAATATATAAATGTCTAAATATAGATGCATACAGTTTATTGTTCGTACGTAATATCATATGAATTGAGAATATGAGATTTGTAGGTAAAATCATATCAGTTTTACATCTGCTTACCACAATATTCAGTTTGAAGCAGATGAAACTGAACCTCTGACAAGATATGTCATTTTTTTAGCCCTAATTACCTTTCATAGTAACAATTTATACTCTCAACATGAAAATTCATATCAAATTTAAATCACTTCTGAATATTACCAACCAACAAACAGAAAACCTACCTGTGCCAGGAGATGTGGTCCATCCACCGTTTTACCATCATCATCAGGGCCCCAACTAAAAACATGTACATATACAAATACAACTAAAAACATGTACATATACAAATACAACTAAAAACATGTACATATACAAATACAACTAAAAACATGTACATATACAAATACAACTAAAAACATGTACATATACAAATACAACTAAAAACATGTACATATACAAATACAACTAAAAACATGTACATATACAAATACAACTAAAAACATGTACATATACAAATACAACTAAAAACATGTACATATACAAATACAACTAAAAACATGTACATATACAAATACAACTAAAAACATGTACATATACAAATACAACTAAAAACATGTACATATACAAATACAACATAATTAGGCTTTTCAGAATTGTTTCTTCCAATCAAGATCTAACTAAGAATTTCAACTGCTAAATGAAGTTCCTTGACAATTTGTTCAAAGTCCCTCAGCATTTAAGGTACATGATAAATTCAATGACAAACCTTTTACTTATAATGAGTTAATTTGTTCATTACATAAACAGATTCTTGAGGTTTTTTCAAAAATTTTAAGTACATATTAACTTTCCATACAAGGTTTTGTCTAGCAGTTTTGACACCATGAGTTATCTATTTGTCAATTGTTTTAGTGTCCTCATGACAACCAATATCATGTAATGACAGTGTCTGTAAATAGTGTGGTCACAGACTGACACTTTTATTGGGCTTCATGTGTCATAACACAAAGCAAGCTGACTTCAAAATACCATAAAATTCATCTCTATGCACAACATTGTGCATTAATGATGTGTAATTGACCTCTTTAAGTGCAAATCTGATTGTAAATTCTGAAATCAAGCTCCAGACTCTTTGAAAATCTATAAACTTTGATATGTGAATATCAACTCTCACCTAAGTAAATATTGACCTTCACCTAAATAAATATTGACCTTCACCTAAATAAATATTGACCTTCACCTGAGTAAATATTGACCTTCACCTAAGTAAATATTGACCTTCACCTAAATAAATATTGACCTTCACCTAAGGAAATATTGACCTTCACCTAAGTAAATATTGACCTTCACCTAAATAAATATTGACCTTCACCTAAGTAAATATTGACCTTCACCTAAGTAAATATTGACCTTCACCTAAGTAAATACTGATCTTCACCTAAGTAAATATTGACCTTCACCTAAGTAAATATTGACCTTCACCTAAGTAAATACTGATCTTCACCTAAGTAAATATTGACCTTCACCTAAGTAAATATTGACCTTCACCTAAGTAAATATTGACCTTCACCTAAGTAAATACTGATCTTCACCTAAGTAAATACTTACCTTCACCTAAGTAAATATTATTCCTTGCCTAAGTAAATATTGTCCCTTACCTGCAGCTATAAACATCATTTATCTGCATGTTTTTGTTAAACGCAGAAGCCTCCAGACTGTCAGTCATCGGTCCATCCAGAACTCTTATTCCTGACACTTTGGCATCATAGGCCACCCCTACTCCACAGATAGAGTTCCGCACTGCAGCAATCTCTCCTGCACATCTCGTACCGTGGTGGTTTGATTCTTTAGTACAAAACAATATTTCTGTATACTGATAATACACAACCCTAACACAATGACAAATGCAAGGTCACAACAGACAAGGCATGCAGACCTAGGTTGTATATCATAAGGGCTATCTAACATTCCTTATATCAAATATACGAACATGCTACATAGAGATATTTTGTCTCTGAAACACAGTGGTCTCTGATACACAGTGCTGTGTCATAATACTGAATTAGTTGTAATAGCAATCTCCTTTACCTCATTTCATAATCATAGTAAGGTTTAAACCTTGATACTCCTGAGGTTATAATCATTCTTGCTACTTGCACCCCTGGAACAAGTCCTTGTGGACAGGATGAAAAGACTACGGTAGTTGGATCTTTTGATCAAATGAATCTTGAGGTCACATGAAGGTATATTGTAATGGATTTGAAGTTAGGAGTCACTCCTTTAAAAAAGGAATCTATCAGTCTGAGATTGGTCAGATTTTTTTTCTCTTGGAACCAATCAAATTACTTCGCTTGTGCCTTCAATTTTACCATGACATGTTCCAGGAAAGTGATTGTAACTCCTGGAGTATTGAGGATGGAAAAGTCAGAGAACTTGTGGCCTTCATCAAATTACTATGATTTATATCTTATTGGTACACAAAACCAGTGGCCTTCAAAAAGAAGCCTTATATTAATATCAATTAATAAGTATTTGTTACTCTGGCTTCAAGGTATGTTTGACCTTTGCTGATTGAACAAATACCTAGTCGACTGTTTGGCATTGGATCTGGGTCATCGGAGTTCAAATCCCAGCTTCCTGCTGCATTATAGTTGTCATGTAGGTCAGGATTGGTCCATTCTAAACCTATCAAAACCATGGAAACAAAACACTGACTGAACTCTGTTTTACATGATGACTAATGATAACAAGATTTACACCTTAATCTGTCACCATACTGGTATCCTTATAAAGTATTTAAAATCTCAAAGAAAATGATCCAACCAAATTCTTTTTTCCTTTTTTCACAGAAAAGAGGTAATTTCTTTGAAGCTCTATTACCTAGCAATCAGCTGAAAATGGAAAACAATAAATGAGGAATGAAAAATAAGAAGCAGTTTCAATATGCTTACCATCATCCACTACAGCTACAGTGACACCTCTCCCAGTCACGTTCCTGTTCCAAACACCTGTCACGTTGATGTCCATTGCTCGGTGGACATCATTCACCTACAAACAGATTAGTATAAGTTTATTTCATTTTTTAATACTGGATCTGTTTGATTCCTTCCATCCAGTTTGATAAAGTATATAAATGCAATGCAAAGAATAAAAGTCAATCCCACATTATCTGTTAAAACTGATGTCTGGTCAGTAAATAGTAAAGGATCCTCTTTGTTTAAAGATCGTTTGTGATGTTGCATTTCTCAAATTTAATTGACATCAAACTATCAAGTACCTGAAAGATTTTCTCATTGTTTCTGTGTTTTGGCAATAAGCAGAAGTTTGTTGTCTGTAGCTTATTATGGATTGTAATTATTATGTATCCTGACAAGATTCAGCTAGCCATCCTAAGTAATTGGGCATCGTACTGTTCAAGGCTTTATACACTAAAACCACTGTGTGATATTTCATTCTAACCTAATTTCAAATGTCAAAACTTTTGCTTCTTTGAAAATGAAACACAACTTTGGGATATCAGTTTTGAAGGGAAACTGTTCGCAGTCTTGATACATAGCAGTAAACACAAAAATTAAGGCCTGATCTCTGATCAGTATGAACCATATGCAGACGGATGTGACAAGAAAAACAAAAATTCTTGCTGATCATTACCAGATGCCATTGATCTTTGTAGAAGGGGTCTTCAAACTTGACTCTCCTTTTCTGTCTAGATAGGATTTTTTGCCGACTGTACCAAACAACTTTTTCGTGTCCGTCGAATTCCCTTTCCAGGCTGGTCTGAGCCTTCTGTATAGACTCTTCATTTAGGATATGTTTATGGAGATTGTGAAGGTCAACAAATTTCAAGGTTTGAGGAGATTCATTTGAACTGTTAGACAAGTAATAGCCAAACAAGAAAATGTTTGGTATCTCTCCAACCCTTCCAAGGTTATGAATACTTAAGTCACTTGCAACTGAATATGACAAATGTTCAAAATCATCTTCTCTCTGCAATATTTTATCTTCTTCAATGGCTTGTTTTCCATGTTTGTAGAAATCAGAATTTCCAATTTTCACAGCCCATATCAAAGTATCTTCATAACTGTCTATGTGTCTTGGAAATGGGATTTCTTTTGATTCCCAAGATTGTGAAATGTCACTGAAGAGAGCAACAACAAGAATCCATCTTATCATAAACTTCCTGTTCCTTTCATGTCTGGAAAACTGTATGCGCATATCTGCATTTTCTAAAGAAAAAAAGCATATATGCATAATATTTCAAAAATCACTTTTAGAATAAAACTGATTGGAGTTGTGTTTTAAGATGATCTAAGAAATCGTTTCATATGATCAGCGTTTCTCTCCATATTGTTCCAACTCAATTCAATTATTCCTCCGGTACATGTATTTATCTAAAATATAAAGAGATATCAAAGTTTAAATTATCAATTTCATCTATGGAAAAATGACTGTAAAGTAGTGTAAAATAATTTAATCTGAATTAGTGTACTTCGATATACTTTTGTCCTGGCAGAAATTATAAGCAAAATTCCCAACTCTAGAATTCGTCTGCTGTTCAAATGAGCTTCCAATAATTGAATACAATTCGAAATCGTTCAGTAATTTGAAGGATTTCATAGGAAAAATCGTTCCGGTTACATTACTTTGATAAAATCCTAGCTACCATATATCAATTCTCGGTCAATGTGCAAAATAAACAATGAAATCAACGTGTCTACCTTACGTCGCAGCTGTTGTACAGTCAATGAAGTTTACTTTCTGTTCAAAGCGGAAGTAACGATCGTAGCGCCGCCATCGAGATTATTTCCGTGCCAAATGTTTACACGTAGACGCTTGAATTAATGTTTAAGGCCCATTTAGTAAACACAGATGTGAGTAAGACAAATTTAAAATTATTTCAAACTTTAAGATTTATAAGAATAATTTCAAGGTAGAATTTGCTAATGCAGTTTTTGATGAAATCTAAATTTGAAAAATTACAAGCGAAACCTCCATTGTAATTTTGAAGAAAAAATCCCCCGCAAGGTGTCTGTTCAAAATCCAAGATGGCGTCTCAAATGGCTCAGGCAGAATCAGGCGACGACTCTCTTTATCCAATAGCCGTGTTGATTGACGAGCTAAGGAACGAAGATGTACAGGTAAATGAACAATAATGTGTTTTCTTCGATTATATGTAGTCATGGTTGGCATAGACGGTCAACATTTATATAAATTGTTGCCAAACTGAAGGTTGTCATGACAAGTATGACAAGCCGTCTCATGCACAGAAAATACCTATATTCCTGATGTTTGTCGTTACTGATATTGAATTCCCTGCTTTTATATTATTTTTTGCATTACTTCGATATTTTGTTTCAATGACAACACATTTGCAAAGCATTGTACCCAGGAAACACTTAGGGGCCGAGTTGACATCAATGTCTATTTATATACTGCAGAGCACAACATTTGAATATGAATCATAAATGGGTTATCATGATTTCGTTTTATCTCTTCGTCATTCGATTGCTTATTTTACTTTTACTTTTAGAGGACTAAAAAGTGTAATTTCAGGATCAGGCTAGCCAATAGCAGATGATGAACCAACCCAATTACACATATATAAGCAAATTGACCGATGGAAATCAATTGCTTTATAGAAAACTGGTGGTTGAATTTTAAGGGAAATGTTCAAGATTAATTGAAGCATTCCATGAATTGATGGAATTCATTTAGTGGAAATGTCATGCATAAGTACAGAAATGTTATCCAGACCCATAAAACCTGATATATCTTAGGGTCAAGGACCTTAACAGATCAATTACATCATATAATTTAATAATGTTTTATTGGTAGAGAACTTTGTGTTTATTGATTTCAAAATGTTTTATTGAAAGAACAGTAAACATTCAATAGATGTTCCTTATTAAAACCATATATGCTATCAAACACAAGGTAACACATTATGTCTTTATCAGTATTTTCATTAAGTTCTGAAACAGTATGTTTGGGTTATTTTATTTGATTTTGATGTTATTAATCTACAACATTATCTATCATAGTTGAGTTTGGTTTATTAAATTTTTCACTCTTGCTCATAGTTAACAATACATGTATAGGAAGGATAGGAAGGAAACTGTTTCTGTAGAAATAGTATGAAATATTGGTTTTTGTAACCAGAATATCTTTTGCATTTGTTAAAGTATCAGCCAACAGGAAGTATTCTAGGACGGAGTTCTTCTGACAGTGCCAGGCAGTTAACCTGGAATATGAAGATTAACGTGATGTAGGAGGAAATTGTACTGAACTTTCAGAATTAACACCAAAAGAGCATTATCTGTTAGTAAAGTCACTTTCTTCGTGTTGACTCAGAAAATTATGATTTCCAGGGTTGCAATAAGTTATGTATAAAATATATAACAAGTATTGGTCTTTGCTTGGTTTTTTTGCAGTTTGAAGCAGAATCTCTTATTATGTTAAGTTGGTATAAAATAACTGGTGTTTTTGTTTTTAAAGAATAATTACGATATTTGGTATGTATTGCAGTTGCGCTTAAACAGCATAAAAAAACTATCAACAATTGCCCTAGCCCTTGGTGTTGAAAGGACCAGGACTGAGCTCATCCCTTTCCTTACAGGTAAAAAGATCAAAAGTCTTTGCTATATGTCAGGGTCTGTCTTTTAAACAGTCCTTTTCTCAACCCTTACATAGCTAAGGGAGCAAGTCATTTGATTGATTGTAATTATTTAAGTTTTCATTGGGACAATGATATGATTTAGGTTAATTGCATATTTTCTTCTAGAATGCATTTTCTTCTTATTGGTTTAAACAACTAGATTTAAAAAAATGAATTGTGTAATTTGAACGTTGACCCCTATTGTATCAGTATAATGAAGAAACTACTATGTTGCATTATTATTGTATCTACCAGTGATCAATCTACAATTTATTTTCAGGAGTCCTGTTCAGTTTTAATGCTAAAGAAATAGGTCTCACAATGGAATATTAAAATATTCCCAGAAATTCTTGGAGTCTCATCAAAATTCTGTTAGTACAGGCCTTAGGACTTTTAGATTTATCATTGGTCTATCTTTTCAATTTGTATTTAAATTTGGTTTTTGTAGATACAATCTATGATGAGGATGAAGTTCTGTTGGCTTTGGCCGAGCAACTCGGAAATTTTACTCCTCTTGTTGGAGGACCTGAGTTTGTCAACTGTCTTCTGGTATGTGTGGTTGTCTGGTGGGACTATGGACAATAAGAAAATATGCCAATATGCTTGTTATAAAAAGTTCTGTGTTTTATTTTTCTAAATATTTGATAGAACAAATTATGAATATCTTTCAAATTTTTACAAAAGAATATTTAACTTTATTTTCACAGTTTGTAAAGTCACTTGCAACTTTGATAATTTGATGAAAAACCAAACCAAAAAAAGAACATTATGACGTACTCAGGTTAATGAAGTTATTCTATGATTAGTACTTTATATCCTTTAGACTAAATGATCTTAATAAACATCCACAACTTTGGGAATCTCATACATTTGTGAAAAAAACAGAGAGCAGAGGAGTTTGTCCATGTTGCAAATAGATGGGATGTTAGTAAATCTGTGGAATCTATTGTTGATTATCAAATAAAATCTGACGGGAATTTCATTGATGTTTATCAAATACATAATCAGCTGCCTGTTGTGTGTTCAATATTCATAGAAAGTGAGTGGATTCGCTGTGCCAGTATTATTTTAATTTTTATGAATTTTAACATAAAATACCTCATTTATCTAGAATGAACATAAGAATGGATATTATTGGCAATCAGCATTTTTTTTCTGTATGATCAGATACTTTTTTTTTTTTTGCAAAAAACAAAAGATTATATTTAGTTACCACTTATGAACTATGATAAATTACAAACAATCATCGCATCATATGAGGTTAAACGTTTAGATAATCTATTATATTTGATCATCATTCTGTCAGTATGGGATATTGGGATGTGATCAATATCTTATACTCAGAAATCAATGTCAGTCTCTGACAGGTAGTTGTTTAAGAGCCCATCAAAAGGTCCGTTTTTACTGGACTTGGTTGTTCCCTTTTGTAGCCTCCACTGGAGAGTCTGGCCACTGTAGAAGAGACTGTTGTCCGTGACAAGGCCGTGGATTCTCTACGTACCATTGCTGCTCAACATTCGCAGGCTGATCTGGAAAGTCACTTTGTCCCGCTTGTAAAGCGATTGTCTGGAGGTATGCTTATTGAAAATTCTCCACATATGGGAAAAGTATTTCAACTATCATAAGAAATCACAGGTCCTGTTGACCTAAATAAGACTTGGAGAGACTGGGAATCTTTTAAGAAAAAAAATCAGTGACGACATATGATGCAAGAACATTTCCAAACAGATTATTTTCAGTATATGCCTAAACAAATTTAAATATCATATTAAATATTTATTTCAGGTGACTGGTTCACCTCTCGAACATCTGCCTGTGGACTGTTCGCAGTGTGTTATCCCAGAGTGTCAAACACCATCAAAGATGAGCTCAGACAGTAAGTAGTAACATTTATGTCAAAAACTTGACAATTAGTATCAAGTAGTGTTAAATTGTATAGATATTATTGAATTATCATTGTAGTTTTCTCTGTGTGAGATGTGATTGCTGTGTGATTGCTGTGTGAGTCAGTTTTCTCTGTGTCCTATTGTAGTATATAGAGATGTGATTTCTGTGTGAGTCAGTTTTCTCTGTGTCCTATTGTAGTATATTTGCTGTGTGAGTCAGTTTTCTCTGTGTCCTATTGTAGTATATAGAGATGTGATTTCTGTGTGAGTCAGTTTTCTCTGTGTCCTATTGTAGTATATAGAGATGTGATTGCTGTGTGAGTCAGTTTTCTCTGTGTACTATTGTAGTATATAGAGATGTGATTGCTGTGTGAGTCAGTTTTCTCTGTGTCCTATTGTAGTATATAGAGATGTGATTGCTGTGTGAGTCAGTTTTCTCTGTGTACTATTGTAGTATATAGAGATGTGATTTCTGTGTGAGTCAGTTTTCTCTGTGTCCTATTGTAGTATATAGAGATGTGATTGCTGTGTGAGTCAGTTTTCTCTGTGTACTATTGTAGTATATAGAGATGTGATTGCTGTGTGAGTCAGTTTTCTCTGTGTCCTATTGTAGTATATAGAGATGTGATTTCTGTGTGAGTCAGTTTTCTCTGTGTACTATTGTAGTATATAGAGATGTGATTTCTGTGTGAGTCAGTTTTCTCTGTGTACTATTGTAGTATATAGAGATGTGATTGCTGTGTGAGTCAGTTTTCTCTGTGTACTATTGTAGTATATAGAGATGTGATTGCTGTGTGAGTCAGTTTTCTCTGTGTACTATTGTAGTATATAGAGATGTGATTGCTGTGTGAGTCAGTTTTTCTGTGTACTGTGTAGTATATAGAGATGTACTATTGTAGTATATAGAGATGTGATTGCTGTGTGAGTCAGTTTTCTCTGTGTCCTATTGTAGTATATAGAGATGTAGTATATGATTGCTGTGTGAGTCAGTTTTCTCTGTGTACTATTGTATTATATAGTGATGTGCTTGCTGTGTGTGTCAGTTTTCTCTGTGTACTATTGTAGTATATAGAGATGTGATTGCTGTGTGAGTCAGTTTTCTCTGTGTCTATTGTAGTATATAGAGATGTGATTGCTGTGTGAGTCAGTTTTCTCTGTGTACTATTGTAGTATATAGAGATGTGATTGCTGTGTCCTATTGTAGTATATAGAGATGTGATTGCTGTGTGAGTATATATAGAGATGTGATTGCTGTGTGAGTCAGTTTTCTCTGTGTACTATTGTAGTATATAGAGATGTGATTGCTGTGTGAGTCAGTTTTCTCTTTCTCTGTGTGTGTCTGTGTACTATTGTAGTATATAGAGATGTGATTTCTGTGTGAGTCAGTTTTCTCTGTGTCCTATTGTAGTATATAGAGATGTGATTGCTGTGTGAGTCAGTTTTCTCTGTGTCCTATTGTAGTATATAGAGATGTGATTGCTGTGTGAGTCAGTTTTCGATCATCAGATCATGTCTTGAGGAAAATACTGTACTGTTTATTCTTTGTTCACAGGCAATTTAAAAATTTGGCGGGAGATGACACACCAATGGTTCGTCGTGCTGGAGCAGGGAAGCTAGGAGAATTTGCCAAAGCTGTTGAGACAGAGAAACTGAAATCAGACCTTATACCTCTGTTTACAACATTGTCTCAGGATGAACAGGTAAAATATATATCAGTATCTTAGAGTTTTAGTAATATTATCAACCATTATTAATGTAAAACAATATGGTGGTAAAAAGGATTTTTTTTCTTCTTGTTATGGTGAAAATCGAGCAGTCAGTAATATGGTTTTGTTTGGAAAAATGTACGGTTTTGGAACAAAACATCTAGTGATGCTGGAAGTGTCAGATATTTTAAATACAGCTTACCCTACATGTTCAACTAAACCCCATATATATTGTGTCATCCACCTACCTTAGGTTGATATGTTTACTGTGTAGAAATTAAATGGATACCAATTAACTTACTACAGAAGTGGAAGTTTGTCACCCGCCATCTAAGGTTGGGGACTTGTTTGAGTAGAAAGTTTGACTTCTGTATGAGCTAACTTGTTTAATACATTTCCTGCAGACATTGAAGTATATATATGAAAAGTGTCATCATCATTCCTGATTCACAGAAAACAATTCTATTATTTCAGAGATAAATCTTTCTTTCACATTGTAGAAAATAGACATTAGTATTTGATATTTGATGAAAGGTAGAGAAAATTCTGTAGAAGTCATCAGTTATGTGTAAAATGGATTTTTATTTGTTGGTGATTGTGTTGTTGTAACAGGACTCGGTGAGACTGTTGGCAGTAGAAGCTTGTGTCAGCATTGCCTCCTTGTTACCCTCTGAAGACACAGATCAGTTTGTGATGCCTACTCTACGACAGGCAGCTGAGGATAAATCCTGGCGAGTACGCTACATGGTAGCGGACAAATTCATTGAAGTAAGTTCCAGGATTTCATTATTATGTAAATTCTTGCTAACGTGGATATTTTTGATCAGTAAACTATCATTATTTGGTTTAGATCACCAGTATTGATATCACCCACTCCATCTTTGAAATTTTTTTATTACTTACTGTATTTGTTTTACCTTTGGAATCCAAAAAATGTTATTTTAGAGAGTGCTATAGTCTTGTGTTGTGTCGCGTTGAAATAGTTGAAATAGTCATGTGTCCGAACGAAGTGTCTGGTTATCATAAGCTTTGCTGCATAGAAAAGTTGCTCATATTTCTGAAAATGTTATACAGTTAAGTTTGGGTGTAAACGGAATACTTTTTTATTGGTTTTTGAGAGGAAATTAAGAAACTGTGCATATTGAGTTTTGCATATATTATTTATAATGCTTTAAATACTTGTTTTGAAAAAAAAACAGATAAGAGAAGAGTTGATCCGCTTAACATTATATTATTTCTGTAATTGCTAATAATTTTATGATTTTGACACTTTCAGCTTCAAAAGGCGGTAGGACCAGAAATTACAAAGAACGACCTTGTGCAGGCTTTCCAGGGACTACTGAAGGATTGTGAGGCTGAAGTCAGAGCAGCCGCTGCTCACAAGGTCAAAGGTCAGTGTGAATAAATAGTTCACTCAGTTGCTTAATACATTCTAGCTACTGAAAATAGCTGCTCACAAGGTCAAAGGTCAGTGTAAAGTATTCTCTCAGATGCTTAAAGAACCAGACCCACTCCTCGACCAATATTATTTTATGTAAAAAAATTCATGATTTTCTATTTTTCTCGGGTAGCAAAAGTTCTGACTAACCCTGTAATACCTCAATTTTAAAGTAAATCACTACCAATCTAATGTAATAAACAGTTTAAAAAAGAATTTGAAACGACTCAGTGCTAATTCATTATTATGTGGGAAGTCCTGTCCGACTCATGCGCAAAGAACTGTAAATAAATCTGCCGTCTTCCAACATGGCAGAAAGTGTGTGAGGGAAGTGGGGAAGAAAACATGTTTTGACGGAATCTTGAGTTGAAAAGAAGGAAGATGGTTCATACTCTGTATTGCTCTCTGTTTGGCTCTCTCATGTAGTATCATAGCCCCCATTTGAGGCCTCTTTGCAATTAATCATAGTTTTTCTTGTAATCTGCACGTTTTGTGTCATATCTAAGCATTGAAAAATGTGATCAATGCATATGTTAGATGATTTCCATACATGATATATAGAGTATTGATTGCATTTATCGGTAAAATCAAGGGTTAACTGTTTATGATTAAAACATAAACACAATTTTCCATGGCCTGAAGGAGTCTCTTCAACATGTTTGAATTTAAAATGTAATTATTTGATAGTTGTTTAATTTTACGGGGCTAATGTTTGGTGGTTGGCACAGTGCTAATTCACAGGGATTGTTTTGTGGATGACTGTACACTGGTATCCATGTACACAGGCCTATAACATATAATGATACCTTGTGGATGTTAATTACTATGCTATACATGTGTCGTGTATCCCTTTGATTTTTATAAAATTTCATGATTTCTGTCAAACACCTGTCACCAGATATACCAGAAAATACGATACGATATATAGATTGTTGTACATTTTATAACAGATTTCTGTCAGAACCTGTCACCAGATGTACGAGAGAGCGTAATTATGACCAGCATCCTACCCTGTGTGAAGGACCTCGTTTCTGACGCCAATCAGCATGTCAAGTCTGCCCTGGCCTCTGTCATCATGGGCCTCTCCCCTATTCTTGGAAAGGACAAGTATGTAATAAATGTTTCATCATAATCAGTAGAAAGTGAGGAATATATGCTGACATTATAGTACAGTAAAAACTGCTTAATATCATGTTACAATATTTCAGGATGAAATGTTATATAAACAGGAAAGTGACATTAACCAACATGACATTAAATGGTTTCCATTGTAGTAGTGAATCCATAAGGGATTAACTATTTGTCTTTCAGTTTATAAAAATTTAGGGTTTTCTACTCAGAATCAAGAATTTCTCTCTCTGCAGACAGCAACAGCAATTTATTGTTGTGAAAAGAAACCTAACTCACTTTAGATGTACATTTAAATATATATAGTTTATTTGTGTGTGTTTATACATACACACATACATATGCTATGTATTACATAAGGTATTCTATATGTTTACAAACATACCTACAATTTGAAAATATGAAACTCCGATCAGAGTACGAAAGAACCAATGTCCTGATCGTCTTCGGTTGTAGATCGTGTGTTGCAGGGGTCAAAGAATAAAAAAAAATACTTACAATTTGTGTCTTTCTTCAGTTTATAAAGATTATGGATTGTTCAGTGTGCTATTGTGGATTTTTTTTGACTGATAGAGAGCAAATTGAGTAAGTGATAATATTGATATAGTGCTGATAGAACTTTCTTTCTAATTAAGTATGTCGTATCATTACAGCACTATAGAACATCTGTTGCCCTTGTTCCTTACACAACTGAAAGACGAATGCCCAGAAGTGCGACTCAACATTATCTCCAATCTGGACTGTGTAAATGAGGTGAGCTGTTGTTTGATTGTCACTGATCTGTCAGATTAGTGGTCTGAAGTCTAAAGAATGGTGTGAGTGTTAGAAATATTATTTCCTATTTTCTGACATGCCTTTTGAATGTGTAGGCCTAGGATTTATACACATATGCACACACACACACACACATGCATGCATGCATCCACACACACATACCTCATTTATGCTTGACTAACAAAAATAGTATATTATATGATTTGAGAAGTATAAAAAGCTCATTAAATGCAAATTCTGGATTCATTCTTCTGTTTTGGACTTAGTGTATTGGATTAACTCTGCAGTATTTTCTTTTAGTACTTATTTTAAATTTAAATGATTTTGAAATTGTTCTAGGTGATTGGAATCAAGCAATTGTCGCAGAGCCTTCTTCCAGCCATTGTTGAGTTGGCAGAGGACACAAAATGGAGAGTGAGGTTGGCTATTATAGAGTACATGCCACTTCTAGCTGGACAATTGGTAAATACCACAAAATCAGATTTCATTGTAAAATCTATAAAAAAAAAAATTGTGGGGTTCAAATTTTGTAGTTTTTCAAAAATGTATGTTTTCATTGACACTTGATTTCATGGATAAATCATGATTTAAATATTCACTAGTACTAGAATCCATAAATGCATGAGATCAACAGAAATCTGTTATCAACAAAATTAATCCCCCCACAAAAGTTAATGATATGTTGGTCTGTAAGTCTGTTATTATGTCATTGTACAGGGGGTATACAGTAGTGTTACTGAGGTCTGCCTGTCTCGTCCTGTTCTGAATCAATGTCATATCTTGAGATCCTTTTCACAGAACTGGTTTATGTTTACTGCATAATTTTATAATATTAAGTTCAACACCTGATTATATCATAGTTTGTATAGGAGCATTCATGTCATTTAGTAGTCTTTGTCTGGAGAAAAACCTGAAGCCATCTTTCATCTTTGTTAACATGTCAGAATATCTGGATCCTGAACAAAAGTTATTCCACAATTACACTTAAATAACTTATAGAAAGTTCTATCTCTTTACATTTGATGAAACATTGTGTACTGTAGTAGCCAGTAAGTGTTTTAACAATTTTTAATAAGTGTGTGAAATGATTTTAAAATCTGGTGAAACTACATGATTGCAGTTTTATGAACCACTCACAGTGGAGGTAACCAACATTTTCATAAAACTACATTAATATTTGTTGACATGAATTATTACATAAGACAAAATTACCTGCAATCAAGTTTGAGCACAGTTTCAATGCTAACTATCAAGTGTTGATAATTCTGGTAATAGATGTATCACCATTCCTTTTTCAGGGTGTTGAATTCTTTGATGAGAAATTGAATTCGCTATGTATGACCTGGCTCGTTGACCATGGTAAGTTTTGTTAAAATTGAATTGATGCCTCGGGTGTTTGATTTATTTTCTGATTTCTTTTGAGATCTTCCTTTCATTAGATCTTCTTAAGTCGTTGGGACAAGGAAAATGTTTTGGAATTGGATAAAATATAATTGAAATCAAACACAAATTTACACATTGTCACATAAACGTTTGAAATGATAGGACCAGCTAAAGGCCGAAATAGCAAGTATTTAGCTTGGCATTTTTAGATGACCATCCATACTTGTCCATAACTAACTGGCAGAATATCATTTCAGAATTTTGCAATAAGACGGGTCATTTCACTCATATTTCTGGAAAGATATTCTTAACGGTTAAAATTACTCCCCTTGTGATGGATTCGTTGTTTAATGCTTGACAGGAATTCTGATATTGTAAAATTTGATAATAATATCCGACATCTGTGAAGGTGCATTCATTTATAATGGAATAAAGTGTAATGGCTGTTCAATCGAGTTACACAAAAGTGGCCTTCAATAACACAATATATTGACCACCCCGTGTACTCTGAACTTATTTAGATGAGACAATTTCTTTTACCAGACCTCAATACAAGGTGTTGTATATTTTGAGAAATTTTAATACTGATTGTCTATTCCTAGTTTTCATCGTCACACCTGTCTATAAAGGCCACTCAAGGGTGAGAGAATAGTGACACAAGTGGCCTTTATATAGAGGTCCAATTACTACTAATTGTATTGTGAGACCAAATCAAGTGGCTTTTATGGACGGGTGACCTTTAGGTCGAAGTTAAGTTCTCAACCAATTCAAAGACTGAGAAGTTACATACCACTAGTGATGTATACATGCATCATATATTTATTTTAAATATAAGCTCATTTACAAAATGGTTTGTGAGTGAAATAGCAAAATGTATAATTGTTGTAGAGAGTTCAGTCTTAATTCAACAATATTTTTGATTTTCCAAAAGTGTGTTTTGCATTCATTTGGAAAAAGGATACAATTACATTCAAAACAAAGGTTACATGTGAATGCAAACAAAGGTCAAGCTTGTAGGCAATGATAGCTATCATCAATGAACATGACATGAACATGGTAAGTGATATCTGTCTAATACTTGCAGTGTTTGCTATCCGAGAAGCAGCAACATTGAACCTTAAGAAGCTGGTGGAAAAGTTTGGATCTGATTGGGCCACTCAGACTGTTATACCTAAAGTGAACTCGATGGCACGTGATCAAAACTACCTACATAGACTGACATGTTTATTCTGTATCAATGTAAGTACCAGTTTCAGGTTAGAAGATACCAAATGGAGTGACAACTTTGGCTCATTTACTCTCTTATGTAAAGAAATAATTCATCATTATTTTCCTGGAAGACTACACCATTTCTTCTTGGACATTTCATCAAAATTCATCTTCAGTAACAACTTATATTGCCCATGAAGTTGTGATCAACAAAAATTGTTAATTTGCATTTAGACTTCAGGAATATTACAGTAAAACATTGACTTGACCCCAGGACTCCAACATACATCATTTATATCCCTTGTTCAGTTTCCTGCATATTCTAAGCAAATTATCAAATAAATAATATAGCTGGTACCCAGAACAGAACCTGGAGTCAGAGGGTAGGATAGATATATTGCTGGAATAGAACTTAATTTCATTTAAATTGATGTTCATGTTGGATTTTAAAATCTGTTTGCAGTTACTATCAGAGGCCCTTGGGTCAGAAATCACAAACCAGAATCTTTTGCCAACGATCACCAGTCTTGCAGCTGACTCTGTTGCCAATGTTAGATTCAATGTGGCTAAAAGTCTTCAAAAACTAGGACCTCATTTTGACCAAACGTAAGTGACTTATTCTTGGGAGATTACATCCAACCAAGAGTATTTCCAATATATCTAATACATCTGGACAAACAGAGGACATAACAATTAAGTGTATATTAGTGTTAAAAGAGCAATCCGCTTGTGTATATTGTAATGTTTTAAGTGTCCCAACATTTTCCTGTAATTCTGTCCAGCAGTTTCAGTAGATTGAGCCTATTTAAGTTCAAGTAATATAATTTTCTTATGCTTCATGTGTCCAGACTTTTTCGTGGAAATCTGTCCAGTAGTTTTATTACATGCAACTTATATGAAAAATAAAACCACTGTGCAAGTGTAATATAGTTGAGTTTAAGGTAGACACTTACCTGTGAGATATTTTATTGAACAGTTTAAGGTAGACACTTACCTGTGAGATATTTTATTAAACAGTTTAAGGTAGACACTTACCTGTGAGATATTTTATTAAACAGTTTAAGGTAGATACTTACCTGTGAGATATTTTATTGAACAGTTTAAGGTAGACACTTACCTGCGAGATATTTTATTGAACAGTTTAAGGTAGACACTTACCTGAGATATTTTATTAAACAGAGTTTAAGGTAGACACTTACCTGTGAGATATTTTATTGAACAGTTTAAGGTAGACACTTACCTGTGAGATATTTTATTAAACAGAGTTTAAGGTAGACACTTACCTGTGAGATATTTTATTAAACAGTTTAAGGTAGACACTTAACTCTGAGATATTTTATTGAACAGTTTAAGGTAGATACTTACCTGTGAGATATTTTATTAAACAGAGTTTAAGGTAGAAACTTACCTGTGAGATATTTTATTAAACAGAGTTTAAGGTAGACACTTACCTGTGAGATATTTTATTGAACAGTTTAAGGTAGATACTTACCTGTGAGATATTTTATTAAACAGAGTTTAAGGTAGATACTTACCTGTGAGATATTTTATTGAACAGTTTAAGGTAGATACTTACCTGTGAGATATTTTACTAAATAGAGTTTAAGATAGACACTTACCTGTGAGATATTTCATTGAACAGTTTAAGGAAGAAACTTACCTGTGAGATATTTTATTGAACAGTTTAAGGTAGATACTTACCTGTGAGATATTTTATTATACAGAGTTTAAGGTAGATACTTACCTGTGAGATATTTTATTAAACAGTTTAAGGTAGATACTTACCTGTGAGATATTTTATTAAACAGAGTTTAAGGTAGATACTTACCTGTGAGATATTTTATTAAACAGAGTTTAAGGTAGACACTTACCTGTGAGATATTTTATTAAACAGAGTTTAAGGTAGATACTTACCTGTGAGATATTTCATTGAACAGTTTAAGGAAGAAACTTACCTGTGAGATATTTTATTAAACAGAGTTTAAGGTAGACACTTACCTGTGAGATATTTTATTAAACAGTTTAAGGTAGATACTTACCTGTGAGATATTTTATTAAACAGAGTTTAAGGTAGATACTTACCTATGAGATATTTTATTAAACAGTTTAAGGTAGATACTTACCTGTGAGATATTTTATTAAACAGGACACTACAGGGACAAGTAAAATCTACACTGGAGAAACTGAAGACAGACTCTGACACGGACGTGCAGTATTATGCTATGGAGGCTTGGGATGGTAAAGTTTCAAGTTTATTTTCTTGGAGTATTGAAAATCATGGGAAAGATTAGCTTGCTTTCATGGTTATAGCTTGCTTGATCAATTTTATTTTCAAAGTTTGGACTAAGTGCATGCAATAAGCTTTAACAAATTCATGCAGAGCTTGAGAAATATTTGAAAACAGGAATATTTAATAAAGGAGTTTGTTTAGTGCTTTGGCCTTAAATGCTGGATTTTAGTTTCCTGCCTTGCAAGTTTTCTTCATTTGTGTCTCCAACTTTGAAATTTGCTTTGAATTTCCTTGTTTGAAAATCCTAATCTTATGTACACATAAATTGTTAAATGTAAACGTACAAATCTCATTGATATTCATTTTTTTCCCAAATAGTACTTTTTCATAGGAAGTCATAGTTGATGATCTAGGTAAGGTGTGGAAGTGTAAAAATCAGTTACCTCCCCTTGTTCCTGTGTTTGTCATTGATGTTTTTATGAAAACATGATATTTCACTGATTCCTTTTATAATATTTAGATAAAACAAGACATTTTATTGTGATGTTGATTAAGGTGTATAAAATTTGAAAATTTTGATTCAAAACTTTAATTTCATAGGAATTTTATTGAACTTCATTTCCATACTAGTTTATTGAAGTGAATGAATTCAGTTTTTGTTTTGGTTTAATAGTGATGACTATTTAAATGTTATAGATTTAAAACATATAACAGATAGAAGTAAAGAGAATGATTTGATGTTTTATCAATTTAAGATTACTAAAAGAGAGAATGACTATATTTTATCAATTTTTAAAACACTAAACTTCAGACAATGGTTGTGAGAATATATTGAAATATTTCAATATAAAAAATCTGATTTATTGTTTGTTTATATTAGAGGTTGAAGTGTACCAGTAAATGTTTGAAAGATTCTTAATTTGATATTTGATACAAAAAACTGTCAACAGTCAGTATTGCTTTAAATCAACATTACACAATTTGTTCACAATTTCAAATTTATCCAAAATTTTGCACAGATAGGATTATATGCCTCTGACTGCAGTGTTATAACAATGGACCTTCTTAGTCAACTTCCTCAACATTAACTCTGAAAAAAGAATTAAACTTCTAATTAAATTAACAATTTTGAAACCTTTATGTAATTGTGCACTATTTTATGCCTTTTTCTTCACAGGTTTTAATTTAGTGCTAAGAAAAAATATGATTAGTAAATATTGACTGTGACATTTTCATCAAAATCACTGGTAACGATTTTATAGTCTGAATGATTTTAACAAAAAATTACCTGTTTTACCTTCGGTTTAATTAATTTTTACAGATAAAAACCTAATTAATTATCTGTTATTTCTGGAAGAAAAATATTAATGATAGCATGTAAACCTTGCGAACATGATCTTTATAAGCTATAGGTGCTGTTGTAGATCCCTGTATCAGAACTGCAGACGGTCTGTAAGGTGTGATTGCTTTCCTCTTCACGCTCTGTATATCTCACAAATTGTGTCTATTCTTAGCAAAAGTAATCTGCAATGTTTTAGAATTCAAGCTGTGACATGGCATAAGTTGGCAAATTTTCATTGAAATTTGATTTCAGCATTTTCTCTGAATGAACTTGTTAATAAAATGAGTTTTCAGTGAAAACTAATGATAAACACATTTATCTTGATTGATTTTGCCATTTCTCATGGTAATTAGTTTGTGTGAAATTTCTGGGTAAAACTAATTGGCTGAGTAAGGATAATGACATCAATGTTGAAGAGCTGTTGTATCCCTTGTGAGTTTCTAGACTTGGTCCTGATCTAAGTTGTGTTTGATCCCTTGGTGTTAATAGTACCTGTAGCTTTGTAGACTGAATTACAGTAGTACATTCTAGTTGTCACTTACAGGGACATCTGCCAGAAACTTACATCTAATTAAGCTAATGAGGAAATTGACATTTCCTTCATGTTGTTTGTACATAATTTCTCATTAGAATTCCATGTTAATCCAAAACACCAACAGGACTCCTCCCCCCTCCCCACACCCACCCACCCCATCCACCATTACACTGTTTAATTCACCTGGTTTTGATAGATAGTAAAGCGTTTTTAGAATCCAAACACAATAAAGATACTGTCTCTCATTCTTGACTCCAGAGTAAATCTGTATGCCATTTTGGTAACATGAAATACTCATTTCAACCCATCCTACTAATATTCAACCCCAACCCTCTTTTCACCCCCTCGGTAGCCTGTTATTGAACCCTAGGATACATTTACTGTTGATGCCAGAAGGTACTGTGAGGAGTGTGTTCTCTTGTATTATGGTGACTTAACTGAATTTCTCCGACTCAGTATAGTCATACTCTACCTGAACAGTTTCACAGATGTGAAGAAATGTTTTCTGTATATGATTAAATGACGATTTCAATACTTAAATCTCTCATTATTCCTTATTATATGCTTTGATAGATTATTGCTTTTTTCTATTCATCATATCAAGCTTGAAATTAAGAATGAGCTTAATCACTGAAAATATCTAGTTTTACAATATTTAAGGTCAGTGATTCTAACTTCACGCTGTAAATGCTATATATATGTATATTGTGTAATAAATTTATGTTGAATGAATTAGATATTTGCATGATCTATGTCGTGACCATATTACAGAAAACTTGTTAGTTTCATATAAGGCTGCAGAAATGTTGTGAAGGGTTAAATGGGTATTAGCATGAAAAAGATGAAGATCAATAAAAATGAAAGAAATAATACAGATTTTATAGAATTATTCACCAGTTTCCTTGTTGGAGTTCAATTGAGAAACAGATACCTGCCACAGAAAATATCCAGGTAGTTCTGTTAGTCAGGTATCATTCATCACAAGATTGTTGTAATATCCCTCTTCTTTTAACCCAAGCTTTAAAATATTTTGATATTATTTGTGAAGATCTCATGAATACAAACTAAAAATACTAGATGTTATATTTACCAATGGCTTTACAGTTTGTTTTCTTGTTTCAGGTTTGAAGCTGAGCTAGGAAACAAGTCTAGATAGTAGGTATGTTGACTGAATGGTAGTCCTCATCTCAATATCCAACTCACATGGCTGAACCAATCATAAAACACGGCCTGTTTCCACAACATATTTCTTCACAAACATTTTATAAATGAATTTTTTGAAAATAATGTAATATCTGAATATACCATAGAATTTATCTTAGTGTGAAGACTTGTACTGGTAGGATACGATTGAACATTTTCAGTTATTAAAAGAAAAATTTCCTATTTAAGATGGCCGAGACCAGATTTTTTGGTGAATTGAGAACTTTGGTTTTTCTGTAATGATATTATTGTAGTGTGTTTTCATGTAGATTAAAAGAAAATTTAGCATATTCAAGGAAAATTAATTTACTAGAATTTGTTGAAAAATATCAGACTTTTAAATCCAAATATTGAAAGGAAAATAAAACGATCACTAATGAGTTTTCTTTATATCAAGACAATTAGTCCTGTGTTAATCTAATTTTCTCGGCTGTCCCTGTTCATTTCAACAAATTCTGCGATAGAGTAGTATGATCAAGACGTTCCCTTATTTTGCCTTGTCTTTGTTGTAGGTAATTTTTTTCAACAAGTTTTGTGCTGTTTCTTCGATGTTTTATATTGTGAATCTTGCGGACATCATGTTGTAGCCATTGATTGTCATCAGTTTCATCTGCACGGCGGACAGACAGACAGATACTGCACAAAAAACTTGAGTGAACAAGAACAGACGTATATTTCACATTATAACTTATAAGGAGTTGTTACTGCACTGGTCTGTATGCCTAGTAGTTCCAGTCGGTGTAAGAATGTCACAGGTTTTTACGAAAATATGACGAGTATAAAGACTTGGACCAAGGAAAACTGAAATCCCAGGAAACATTACGACCTCTGCAGTATCAAGGACCATAGTTCTGAGCGGACATTTTGATGAGGTTCGGAATCAATGTGACCAGATTTACATTAGAAGATGCTTTACTTATCTGCTAACAGAGATGGATTATTGTCAACACTAAATATCCCTTCCTTGTATTAGATGGTTTGAAGAGTGTACTATTACAAATAATATGGATATTTAACATTTAGAGCAGGTTGAAAAATAAAATTGAGAGTCTACTGTATGTTATGAAAATACTAATGTTTTTACTTCAATTCTACTCTACTATGGCTGAAAAATATTTCTGAGAGAAAGCTTAATGGAAACCTAGAGTTATTTGAATTTAGTTGAATTTCTCTATAAATCTATCTTTATATTGTTTGGAATTCTGTAATAATTTTCTAAATTTCTGTTGATAGGTAGATGCTTGTTCTTTTGAGAGGGTTATGACACAGCACATTTTAACATGGCTTTTAAGTACATTTTACCATGATGTAAACAATTTTTTGCACAACAGTTGATAGCTAGCTAGTTTTAATGTTGTCATTGTTTATGAAGAGGAATGATTCCTGACAATTGTAGAAATCTCCTGTGTTTACCTGTCTCCACTACATACTGACAGAGAGAATTAGTATCCGCATGTCTTTAGTGATATCAGGAGATATAGATATCTGCACATTTGTCAATTATTATTCTTGCACACTTTTCTTAACTGAGAGAATCTTTCAGAATATTTTTTGTATGATTTGTGAAACAACAAAATAATTGAAGACGTAAGTAAACAATATCCTTGTGGATTGATGTAAGTAAATTATTGGTGTAAATTATAAGTTAGTAGAGATTTTCAATTTTGAAAAATTGTTGGAATTGAAGTAATGAAAGTTAGAACAGTATGCATATTAATTTTTGATTATTATAAATTAGATCCATGGCTTCAGACAAACATAACTACATGTATTTTATATGTCTCAACTAAAAGTGCTATGTAAGATGAAATCGAGGTTGAGCAAAAGTGAAAACCGCAAAAAAAAATTGTGTGGTAGTGTCGAATCGCATGAATTTGGTTAGCAGTTGTGATTGTTATGTATATACCAGGACCCTAATGGGTTATTACCATATAAGGATGTGACCAGTATTGATCTTTCCTGAAAGTTATGGTCATGAATAGGTCATTTCTCTTACCCTGGACAGGGAAATTCTGGCGTTTTACTGGTGTGGAGTTGGGATTACCTTGTCTCACCTGAGACTGGAGATGGAATTCCCCTGTCAGAATAGTGATGTCATGTCAGCAATTCAATCACATCAACAATTGAGGGGGAAAAATGAGTACCTTTTAAAGTCAACAGGATAAGAGAAAAAAATCCTTCACTCCCTTGTTGGTGAGATAGGATGATCTCAACCCTTGGGAAAAGATGTTTAAGTTCCTTACACTGGGTAAGCCACCTGCTTGGTAAACTTAATCATCTTTCCCCTTGGGTTGAGCTCCAGCTTTCTTACTTCCAAGGGGATGAGAGATTCCATTCATCCATATGACTTTTGGAATGTCTTAGATTGGTGGTGTCCAAATAATGGGAAGCTACCAAGTCCTTTTGCAGAATATAATGATTAAATGTCCATGTTATATTTGGTGGAAAAGAAATGTGTTCAGTCCTTCATTATATAATGTATTGTATCTATGGTTAAACATTTCTATTTTGGTGGGTAAATAATGGTATCAGATTACATGGGATGGGCTGATAAGGAAACAGTGATACATAATGAGATTAATTTCTGGGCGAGTAATATGCTGCTTGATAATACTAATTAAAACTAAAAGGATTTTGCTTTACACAAAACAAGCAATATGGACATTATATTTAAATAAAATTAAGTATGTAATGTATGGCTCTTTTGTCTTCTTTTAACCAACAATCCACTATTATCAGATGATCTCCATTCATGGAATATCAGACGGATGTTTGTGGTCTGAGTTCTTGTTCTCACTTTTTTATTTATTTTTTTAGAGAACTAGAGTGACAATCTTAAAACTTGGGAAGACTGATTGGAACAATAGTAAGACCATATTCTGCCATATTGAATTTTGAGTTTGATGTTGTAATGCTATTTTGCAGGACATGTGCCTGCTTATTGTCTTATTCCAGTAATTTCCTGATCAGAAGAAGAAAAATAGGTTTTTTTCTCTCGTTTATTGATGTAAATAGAAAGATTATCTGTCAATACAATACAAATCATATAACTAATAATGACCGTACCACGATTGTCTATTGAATTTGTAAATATGAATGACCTTGACCCACTTTCTAGGTCATGGTGGACGGCAGGATTCCTCTGAGATCCCCAGTTTTAGTGCCATATGTCCAGGTCACCCATTTACCTGGGTGTGTCATTCATCTCTCTTAGGTGTCTGACCACTCTCCTGAAAGATGTGACTGATAATTTACGCATCACAGGTAAGGTGTGTGTCTAGCCTTACATGGTCTTACAAACATCTGCGCATTGCTGTGTATCCACTTGTTGGCCACTGAAGTGAAATGAACACAATGAAAATTTTTGTAAAGTGATGTAAAAAATGGGAAAGGAAGTTAAAACAAAACTACATTAACAATACCTAAGCATCAAATACTTTCTGGTAGGGTCATGCATTATATGACACATATAGTCAAACAGTAAGAGTAATTACTGTACTACATTGTATCCACAGAGAAGACTTGTACAAGTCATTACTCTCAAGAATGTCAAATATAATGACCTCTTATTAGCTCACCTGGCCCAAAGGGCTGGAAGGTTCGTTTGATGAAGCCCAACAAAGTTTGCGAGAAAAAAAAAACCTTGACCCATATTCAAGGTCACAGAGGTCAAATGTGTTAAAACTTTTAAACGACTTCTTCCAAAATACCGGAAGGCCTAGAATCATTCTATTTGGCTGGAAGGTTCCTTTGATGAAGCCCAACAAAGTTGCAAAAAAATAATAACCTTGACCCATATTCAAGGTCACGGAGGTCAAATGTGTTGAAACCTGTAAACCACTTCTTCCAATGGTTCTCAATGATGCCGGGTAATATTTAAGAACAAATGACCTTAACCCATATTCAAGGTCATATCAGTCAAATGTGTTAAAGCTATTAACAACTTCTGATTAACCTAAAGGCCTAGGATCATAATATTTGGTCAAAAGGTTCCATTAATGGTGCCCACATAGTGTGTGAAAAAATAGCTGGACCCATAATGATATTTAAAGTCATTGGGGTTAAATTTGGTAAAAATAAAACAACTTCTTCTGATTAACCAAAAAGCCAGTAAAGGCTTATATACAAATGACTCAATGAATGGGACATATTTGGCTGGGAGTTTTCTTGGCATAATTTGGAATAGATTATAAAGATCTTTCACATTGGTGTCACACTGTTCCAAAAAATAGATTAGGCCAAGCCTCCTTGAGGTCTGAGGGGCTTGAGCTAAGTAATGTGAAAAACTACATGTTAGCCAATTACTTATGTTCTATTCACACCGTTAAAATACAGAAAACATGATCGGAAAGAGAATTGTTAGAGATTCATTTTGATTTAAGATTCTTCATAATTAAAGCATAAATTAATAAGGAATTCTAAGTTGATCCTATTTGCTATGCAGTGTTTATAGGCCTACAGTAAACTATTATCAGTATATCTCCAGTAACCGGGGCTTTACTGACCATGGTGACATCACTAATGATATGCATGAAACGTTTCATTATTGGTTTTGAGTTAAGATTATGGCTTATAATTACATGAACCTTAATTTTTCCTGTCTTAATATTTTAATTGTTGCTATATATTGCTGACTTGTGCAAGTCTCAAATATGTTGTGCCTGTGTTTGTAAACATTGATCTAAAGGGCAAGTAAGCTTCTGCTGTCCTGGGTCATCTGTCCAGTTATAACTAAGAGTTTTTCTGCTATATTGTTTGACCATCTTCTTTCCTTGATTTGATAGGAAGCTATCAATTATACTTAACTGGAAACATCATATGAGGGGGCTGACTATTAAGGGACAGAACCCATATGGAGTAATTTGTCATATTGCATTAAGCATCTACTCTGTTGGTCATAAAGATCCAGGTGAGTGATACAGGCCCTCTGGACTCTTGTATAAATACTGCATAGATCATTATATCAGTATAATAACATCAATTTTAAGCAGAAAATAGAAAAACTTCATTAAGAAGGCAGATCCTAGTACTTATCTTTATGTAAACAATTACCTCAAACGTCCAACCAGTCATTTAAGGATTATCTCATTTAAAAGTTAAGAGAAAGTGGCCGTTATACTACTCTGCTGAAAGGCTGTTAAATGAATGAATAAATAGGCCATTGTAGTTATTGTAAGTGATATTAATTGGGTTACAGAATTTTGTGTGTATCAGAACTTACCCCATTTAGATCCCAGCAAGACTGGACAACCTGCATGAACAGTGCGTTGGTCAACTCGACCGTCATCTACTAAATTGAACCAGAAAGCTGCAGCCCCCTGAAATCATCTATAACTATGTTATCAAAAGCAATAAACGCATATCTGTGAAAAGGTTGCACAAGACAATTAGAAACTAATGGTTCTGTAACGCATATAGGGCAAAATAGGATCAAAATCAAGATTTTTACAAAGTATAAGGAGAATTAAACCAGGTGTTGCGGAAGAGTAAGCATCCTTTGCTTTATCGTCGACACCCACCATTTAAATCTTGGTCAATCCATGTAAGTAAGGTCAGGTTCTCAAATGAGAACAAGGTATACAACTACGGAACTAACATACCTCTACCACTGGTATGCGCACGCGTAGACGCGGAAATACTGTGGCTCCTCCTGCTGTCACAGAACTCAACTACAATAAAGCATAGTACAACAGTCATTTCCAACAATCAGCTTCCTCTTATTATCAAAAACATAACAAAAGGCCAACATGTTAACATAATCATTATCCGAACTCAAATTCAATACGAATACGGCTAAAAACACGAACAAATGAAAGATTTACACGAAAACTGATGAAAAAAAGGTCAAGGAGAGAAAGCCCAGGTTTTCCAGAAGAGTAAGCGTCTTCTACGACACCGGCTATGTCCATCTTGGTAAATCCAAGCAAGTAATGTTAGATTCTAAAATGAACAGGCAAATTATTGGCATCAAACATGCCCAGCTTCATATTGCACAAAGAATGAGAATATTTTTTAATGAATTCACTATGACGACCGTACAGCTTTTCCAAATAACAGTAGATAGAACTGACTAAAACTATAAACATTGAATTGGTTTATTTAACTTACATAGAACATCCAGGTAGCCAATCTGTCTCCAGAACCGACAAGGTAATCAGGACTTTGAGTTCCTTGCTGTAATACAAATGTGTAAGTGATATGGACTGAAATATTATTTAAAATACTAACACATTGATATAGCAATACAATATATCGCGAGAGAACAAAACATAATTCTGTTGCTTTCTGCGTTTTATATTTACTTTAGGTGAAGTATTGTCTTTGGATTGAAAAAATGAATTTTACGTTTTATAAGAGTTATCGTCTGACCAGTAGTTTTTCTTAAATACTCTGGTTATGAGTATGTAGGATGAAAACAAAATAATTCTCACCAAAGGATCAACGTGGGGATTGTACATTCCTCCGGAACCATAATTCAGTACCTTAAAAACACACAATTCAGTACCTTAAACACACACAATTCAGTACATTAAACACACACAATTCAGTACCTTAAACACACACAATTCAGTACCTTAAACACACACAATTCAGTACCATTCAGTACCTTAAACACACAATTCCGTACCTTAAACACACACAATTCAGTACCTTAAACACACACAATTCAGTACCTTCAACACACACAATTCAGTACCTTAAACACACACAATTCAGTACCTTAAACACACACAATTCAGTACCTTAAACACACACAATTCAGTACCTTAAACGCAAATAATTCAGTACCTTAAACACACAATTCAGTACCTTAAACACACACAATTCAGTACCTTAAACACACACAATTCAGTACCTTAAACACACACAATTCAGTACCTTAAACACACACAATTCAGTACCTTAAACACACACAATTCAGTACCTTAAACACACACAATTCAGTACCTTAAACACACACAATTCAGTACCTTAAACACACACAATTCAGTACCTTAAACACACACAATTCAGTACCTTAAACACACACAATTCAGTACCTTAAACACACACAATTCAGTACCTTAAACACACACAATTCAGTACCTTAAACACACACAATTCAGTACCTTAAACACACACAATTCAGTACCTTAAACACACACAATTCAGTACCTTAAACACACACAATTCAGTACCTTAAACACACACAATTCAGTACCTTAAACACACACAATTCAGTACCTTAAACACACACAATTCAGTACCTTAAACACACACAATTCAGTACCTTAAACACACACAATTCAGTACCTTAAACACACACAATTCAGTACCTTAAACACACACAATTCAGTACCTTAAACACACACAATTCAGTACCTTAAACACACACAATTCAGTACCTTAAACACACACAATTCAGTACCTTAAACACACACAATTCAGTACCTTAACACACACAATCAGTACCTTAAACACACACAATTCAGTACCTTAAACACACACAATTCAGTACCTTAAACACACACAATTCAGTACCTTAAACACACACAATTCAGTACCTTAAACACACACAATTCAGTACCTTAAACACACACAATTCAGTACCTTAAACACACACAATTCAGTACCTTAAACACACACAATTCAGTACCTTAAACACACACAATTCAGTACCTTAAACACACACAATTCAGTACCTTAAACACACACAATTCAGTACATTAAACACACACAATTCAGTACCTTAAACACACACAATTCAGTACCTTAAACACACACAATTCAGTACCTTAAACACACACAATTCAGTACCTTAAACACACACAATTCAGTACCTTAAACACACACAATTCAGTACCTTAAACACACACAATTCAGTACCTTAAACACACACAATTCAGTACCTTAAACACACACAATTCAGTAAACACACACAATTCAGTAACTTAAACACACACAATTCAGTACCTTAAACACACACAATTCAGTACCTTAAACACACACAATTCAGTACCTTAAACACACACAATTCAGTACCTTAAACACACACAATTCAGTACCTTAAACACACACACACAATTCAGTACCTTAAACACACACAATTCAGTACCTTAAACACACACAATTCAGTACCTTAAACACACACAATTCAGTACCTTAAACACACACAATTCAGTACCTTAAACACACACAATTCAGTACCTTAAACACACACAATTCAGTACCTTAAACACACATAATTCAGTAACTTAAACACACACAATTCAGTACCTTAAACACACACAATTCAGTACCTTAAACACACACAATTCAGTACCTTAAACACACACAATTCAGTACCTTAAACACACACAATTCAGTACCTTAAACACACACAATTCAGTACCTTAAACACACACAATTCAGTACCTTAAACACACACAATTCAGTACCTTAAACACACACAATTCAGTACCTCAAACACACACAATTCAGTACCTTAAACACACACAATTCAGTACCTTAAACACACACAATTCAGTACCTTAAACAACACACACAATTCAGTACCTTAAACACACACAATTCAGTACCTTAAACACACACAATTCAGTACCTTAAACACACACAATTCAGTACCTTAAACACACACAATTCAGTACCTTAAACACACACAATTCAGTACCTTAAACACACACAATTCAGTACCTTAAACACACACAATTCAGTACCTTAAACACACACAATTCAGTACCTTAAACACACACAATTCAGTACATTAAACACACACAATTCAGTACATTAAACACACACAATTCAGTACCTTAAACACACACAATTCAGTACCTTAAACACACACAATTCAGTACCTTAAACACACACAATTCAGTACCTTAAACACACACAATTCAGTACCTTAAACACACACAATTCAGTACCTTAAACACACACAATTCAGTACCTTAAACACACACAATTCAGTACCTTAAACACACACAATTCAGTACCTTAAACACACACAATTCAGTACCTTAAACACACACAATTCAGTACCTTAAACACACACAATTCAGTACCTTAAACACACACAATTCAGTACCTTAAACACACACAATTCAGTACCTTAAACACACACAATTCAGTACCTTAAACACACACAATTCAGTACCTTAAACACACACAATTCAGTACCTTAAACACACACAATTCAGTACCTTAAACACACACAATTCAGTACCTTAAACACACACAATTCAGTACCTTAAACACACACAATTCAGTACCTTAAACACACACAATTCAGTACCTTAAACACACACAATTCAGTACATTAAACACACACAATTCAGTACCTTAAACACACACAATTCAGTACCTTAACACACACACAATTCTGTACCTTAAACACACACAATTCAGTACCTTAAACACACACAATTCAGTACCTTAAACACACACAATTCAGTACCTTAAACACACATAATTCAGTACCTTAAACACACACAATTCAGTACCTTAAACACACACAATTCAGTACCTTAAACACACACAATTCAGTACCTTAAACACACACAATTCAGTACCTTAAACACACACAATTCAGTACCTTAAACACACACACAATTCAGTACATTACCTTAAACACACACAATTCAGTACCTTAAACACACACAATTCAGTACCTTAAACACACACAATTCAGTACCTTAAACACACACAATTCAGTACCTTAAACACACACAATTCAGTACCTTAAACACACACAATTCAGTACCTTAAACACACACAATTCAGTACCTTAAACACACACAATTCAGTACCTTAAACACACACAATTCAGTACCTTAAACACAAATAATTCAGTACCTTAACACACACACAATTCAGTACCTTAAACACACACAATTCAGTACCTTAAACACACACAATTCAGTACCTTAAACACACACAATTCAGTACCTTAAACACACACAATTCAGTACCTTAAACACACACAATTCAGTACCTTAAACACACACAATTCAGTACCTTAAACACACACAATTCAGTACCTTAAACACACACAATTAATTCAGTACCTTAAACACACACAATTCAGTACCTTAAACACACACAATTCAGTACCTTAAACACACACAATTCAGTACCTTAAACACACACAATTCAGTACCTTAAACACACACAATTCAGTACCTTAAACACACACAATTCAGTACCTTAAACACACACAATTCAGTACCTAAACACACACAATTTAAACACACACAATTCAGTACCTTAAACACACACAATTCAGTACCTTAAACACACACAATTCAGTACCTTAAACACAAATAATTCAGTACCTTAAACACACACAATTCAGTACCTTAAACACACACAATTCAGTACCTTAAACACACACAATTCAGTACCTTAAACACACACAATTCAGTACCTTAAACACACACAATTCAGTACCTTAAACACACACAATTCAGTACCTTAAACACACACAATTCTGTACCTTAAACACACACAATTCAGTACCTTAAACACACACAATTCAGTACATTAAACACACACAATTCAGTACCTTAAACACACGCAATTCAGTACCTTAAACACACGCAATTCAGTACCTTAAACACACACAATTCAGTACCTTAAACACACACAATTCAGTACCTTAAACACACACAATTCAGTACCTTAAACACACACAATTCAGTACCTTAAACACACACAATTCAGTACCTTAAACACACACAATTCAGTACCTTAAACACACACAATTCAGTACCTTAAACACACACAATTCAGTACCTTAAATACACACAATTCAGTACCTTAAACACACACAATTCAGTACCTTAAACACACACAATTCAGTACCTTAAACACACACAATTCAGTACCTTAAACACACACAATTCAGTACCTTAAACACACACAATTCAGTACCTTAAACACACACAATTCAGTACCTTAAACACACACAATTCAGTACCTTAAACACACACAACACACACAATTCAGTACCTTAAACACACACAATTCAGTACCTTAAACACACACAATTCAGTACCTTAAACACACACAATTCAGTACCTTAAACACACAAACACAAATAATTCAGTTTAAAAGTTAACAAACAGAAGAAAACAAGTGAGGATAAAATTTAAGTTACTAGCATCATATCCTTACAAATGGCAGACAAACTAATCAGTCATTCAACAGAGAACAACAAGAAAATACCAACATGTCAACAAAATCGTAATCCAAAAATTAAAATTCCATATAACGAGGACAAAATGTGAACATAAGAATCAGCAATACTCATTGTGCTTGTTTTTGAGAAGTATGACAATGGGGTACTTAACTCTGAATGAAAGCACGATTTGAAAAAGTGTGAAAGATTTCTTGCAGCTGTAAAATTTGGAAACACGGACAACATTGTACTGCATATTACATACAGCCGAACCTCGATATATCGAAGTAGGCGGGACCGTGGGAATCTTCGAGTTGCCCGATTGTTCGATTTAAGTAAAAGAGATAAAGGAGTCGACTTCGAATTATACAGTACCTTCGAGTTGAGAGTTAAAGAGAACGTGGTATAACTGTACTAATTATCTAAAAAAAAATCGACTTTAACATTAGTGATCTAGTACTGCTCGAAAAATGTACCCCTTTTGGGCCCCAGAAAAATCTGGCATATAAACGCTTGATCTATTTAACGATCAGCTTCCCAATCACATTTCTTACGCAGTACTGCTTGAAAAAAACATGCTAAAAACTTCAACGTATGATTTGGTCCCAAAATTCAATAGCACAGCTTATAAAAAACGTACCGAAAACTTTCATTTTAAGATCGGACGACTCCGATTACGGAGTAACAACACCAGCCCCCTTTTCTTCAAATAAACGAGCTAAAAACACAAGTCTCCTTGAGAATAAAAGGAAGATTAACGAGGGGTGAAATATTACCTGAAATGGTTCTGAGTCACTGACACGTTTTCTAAATGTTGTATTCAATCCAGTTAATATTCCAATTTTCCATGTTAAACGGCGGGTGAAGTCGTTTTCACTCATCCAGTGTCTGTTCAAAGGATGTAATGGTAAATAAAAGAATTGACAGATTAACCATCGGACTTTTGTATATATCGGTGGTAGGTATAAAGTCTTACGTTTCATTTAATATTGGATTGGTGGTGGGACGTATGTGTTTAATTGTTGAATATTGAATAAAAATATTGTTTAAACAAATCTCGACAAATCAAACAAGGTAGTTAGACTTACGTCTGGCTGACCCTCATGTGGACGTTTGTTGTAGATCCTGCAGTCAGTACCACAGTGGAGTCCTTAAACTGTAGAATTGTCAAACAATATAAAAACAAAACACACATATCTTCTACCGTAATGGACTAAAGCGGACTGTAATGAGCAAAGTCTTGACTTTTACACGTGCGTCAAACATTTGACAGAATGATGAGCAAAGTCTTGACTTTTTACACGTGCGTCAAACATTTGGCAGAATAATTATTGAGGTGACGTATCGTATGGCGTTGTCCGTATGTCATAATCGTTTGTCCGGAAATCTCCATCAACCGATTTTTATTTCCAAATTAGTAGGCTTTGATATCATGAAATAAAGATGAGATTTCCTTAATGATAGTTTGATTCGATTATATTTGGACGAGTTAATGTCCCTTGTTTTCATAATGTTAATCTTGTCTGGAGATCTAGTCCCGATCTTTATCAAACTCGGTAAGCATCATCATTATGACATGAAGTTTCCTGAACAGCATTTTGATTTCACTGTATTACTTACACAATATTACTCTTGTCCAGAGATCTTCTCTCTCAGTTTTCAATCAATTTCTTTCAAACTTGATAGACTTCGTTACCACGACATGAAGTAATGTTTCCCTACACCGCAGTTTGATTCAATATTTTTTAAGGAGTTATTGCCCTTTGTTTTTGTAGCATTCTTATTTCATATGGAGATCTTATTTTTAGTTTTTCACCAATTTTTCAGAAACCATTACAAGAAATGGCGTGTTTCCTACTTGCATTGTGAGTTTTTAAATTATGGAAAGATTTCATTTTACAACAATATTTTGTCCTTATATCCCCTCCCTCGGTTTTCATTCAATTTCTTCGAAACTTAGTAGGCTTGAAAACCACAGCATGAAATTGTGTTCTTATGAATAACATTTTGATTCAACAAAATTTAAAAAAGCTATTTTATTTTGTTGCTTTCAGCAACTTGATCTTGCTCAGAAAATTAATTCAGTTTTCAGCTCATCTCAGTTAAACCCAGTATGGTTTAATTTTATCACTGCAGCATACAGCACTCATAAGGTTTAACTTGCATACATCAGCATTTCCATATTTGTATTCTTCCTGATAAAAAAAAAATCGTAATATTTCTTTGTTGGATACATACATCGTTCCGCCCTGCGTTCTTGTGCCTGTGTGGGGGCTGTCCACACCCACACGCTAAACATCCGTCTGTGACCTTTCGATGAAGACCTGGCGTGATAACGCTGGTCCAGAGGTTCACGGAGTGTTAGGCTACTCAATTTCAACATTTCACTTCCAAATTACCCTAACCTAAACCAAATGTATGTATGATCCTTCCTGCCCACTTCTGTACATGTTTCAGACTGCTGGAGTTAAGGTATTATAGTACCTAGGAGCCACTTTCCATACTCAAACACACATCGCTACAGACTCTACCTAATACATTTGTTACAAGGCTCCGTACGATACGACATCTAATGTTTCTTGATTTTTGATAGAAAAGTATAAACATGAACAAAAATAATATTTTAAATGTTAATATATCCTGTCATCAAATAAATGTATACAAATTGAATTTGTTTTTAATTCGGTATAGAAAATGAAATAGCTTACTCGTTCAGCAGACGTGATTTTTATTTTCTCAATATCAGATTTCGATATCACGTCATGAAACATCGAAATTCTCGGCCTTTGATTTAGAACTTCCTCTCTCCCTCGAATAAATGGTATTGAAGTCTTCGTTAGAAAGCACCTCAGTGTTGACATGTGTGACACAGTCTGTAAAATATTTAACATGATAATCAAAACTAGTATTCGATTTAAGTGAGATTGAATGTTTGGTGAAAAGTTTTGCCGGGACATACTAAATACTTCGATTAAACGGGGTCTTCGAGTTATTCCAGTTCGAGATATAGAGGTTAGACTGTTTTCCTTCGAATAACATAAATCCTATACATGATACCTGGTTATTCCGGTTGCAAAGTTCCTTGTATTTTTCATCAGCATTAGTGAAAGAAATTTGTGAAAATGGCTTCCTCGCCGTCTTTATCTCCGCTGCTCGAATTTTGAAATATTTATAGTTCGCTCGTGTTACCTTGGATCCTGTGATCGAAATAAAAGGCAAATTAAACACTTTCTGGTCCCTTCGACTTAAGATTTCTGCTCATGGGATATTTTCGACATTAAATAAATTTGTTTTTCTTAACATTTTTTTTTGTAACAACGAATTACTGTTGGTAATCAATCAATTTTGTAAAGTTAAAAAAAATAACAAAAACAATCGAAACAACCAGAAAAATCATAATTCTAACTCGAAGTTAATCAAATCCCCCATTTCAAGTCAACACAACGACTCTAAAAATCGACACTCATATCTAAAACTCAACAAACATGTGCTGGTACAATGTGGAGAAATTGATGGTAAATTTTATCAGAATACACAATGAATTATTATGTTGGAAACAACAGTGAACAGGTTATATATGAGGAGTCTGTTGTTTTGCATCAAACACTACTAATGTGAGAAACATAATCTAACACTCGTGTTGTAACAATTTATTAAATCCATTCACTGATTTGATATGATGTTTCTGTCACATAAAATTACTGAATTCCTCTAGAAGATTCAATAAGAAAAGACTGTGACTATATAATCTGTTAAGTGTACTCATAGATCCACTTCCCGTGTCACCGGGAGACAATAGTTTTCCGTCCGTCCGTCCGCTTCTGCGTCTGTGAAAGTTCATCAACCTTCACACACTTATTGAGCATCAAAATATCTTGGACATGATCGAGTTGCTGAGGCAAGGTCAAGATTACTGTTACTATCTTTAGAAAAAAATATTGTTAGTACTGAATCGGTGTCATACCTTGAGGGGTTCTCATCAAACTACACTTATAAAACTATCCTAGACAAGTTAGAGTTTCAGAGTCGTTCGGTGAAGGTCAGTGTTACTATTATTTAAAAGTCACTTGTGGGCGCTGTCATGTGGGTGGGGAGGGGCATGTATTGCTTAATGTATTGTTTAAAGTATTTTACCATTTGTTTGGAATTTCTCAAGAACTTCTACAGATTTCCAGGGCATATCATACTGCAATTCAAGAATATTGAAAAAAAGTGTTCAAAATAAGTTTTTTTTATAAAACACATATGAATATACGTTGCTGGTTTTCATAATTTCTGATAAAATTTCAACTTAAATATCAAAAGTACGCTACCTTTGACATTTTCTACACCGAATGATATAAGATGTTGGTCTGAGGTTTAGATAACTAAACTGAATATATACTCTTTCTTATTTACAAGGAGATCATGTGTTTATGCTGCCATCTATTTGGTTTCGGCAGATCAGCTAAATAGCACAGCTTGTAAAAGAGATACACTGATCTCGTATTCTCGGCCCCGTGCACCAAATGTTGATACCATCGTTTATCACAATGACAATGTTATTTCTCTGTAATATATTTTGTTTCCGACTGAATTATAATCTTACCATGAGAAATACGTACAAGACAAAAGAGAACTGACAAGATTAAATGACTAGTTAATTAAATGGAGATTAACCTGATTGTAATACTGTGCCAGTCGGGAGCTGATGATTTCCTCAGAAACGTTCCCGTCACTGTCTCGCTGTTTCCTCTGTAACAAGGCTTCCAGCCAGAGTATGCCACTGCAATCATATAATTTTCATTGATCTATTGTTTATATGTTCATCATGAGGATGTGAAATACCACCCTACAGTGTTCTGAGATGATAAATCAGTTTTTTAAGGCCATGCTTTTGGTTACCTTATACATAAGAAGACACACGAAGGTCTCCAGATTCAGTCCCTTTTATTTCACTACTGCCGATCGATATTTTCCCCTCCTTGTATGTAAAATCAAAGGAAGATTTAAATATATTGTTTATCATCTTGTACTGTATTAAATAATGCCTTTTAAACCAGTCTCTCCTCAACATTTAAAATTATCAATATTCTTGAAAATCTTAACACCCAACACCCCCGCGCTAAATTTGGATTTAAAAATTTGAAATCATATTCCTCCAGTATGAAGCAGACATTAAACCAGTTAAATTAAATTCATAGAAGTTTACAATCCGCTTTTACCAGAAATTCGTGACTTTAAGCAATATATGTGGCACCTAGCAATATATCTACATAGCTCACTCCGATATTCAGGGGTTACTATCATATTCGATCTCGATCTGCACCTCTGGAACATTCCACGGCACAAGAAAGAATTAATTTGATTTGTCTTGAGCGGGTTTCTGGAGACAAAAATCCTGTCCACTGACAGGCTGATTCGTTTCTTTGAAGATTACAATGGAGCGACACCCAACTTCAAAGCCAGTACAGTACACCTTTATGTGACCTCGAGATTCGTCTGATGTGCATTAAAGGATCAAACTAGCCTTTTCGTTTTATCAACAAGTTGTCGCGCATGGAACCTCCAATTTTACCACGGTTCCTGGGCTACAGAGGACGATAATGATCGTAACCTATAGAGTATCGAGGATGACTGATACGTAAGTGCGACGGAAACATGATAGTTGTTTGTTACTGAGAAATATGAACTCGTGAAGAAACCAGGACTATCTTGAGGCAAAGTTTCCTTAAACTAGCTGATGGGAATTTCATTCAACTCTATGCAGAAGGTTTTAGCATCCTATCAAGTGCAATTGGCGTAACAGATCTTGCTTACATGATCTCAACTCCCTGCGTATTTAAGTGAGGTGATATTGTTGACTGTCGGAACTCCCGAACAATATCATCATTGCATAAATCCTACCTGTAATTATCACCTGATTCACACAGTTTGCGTGCAATCTCGATCACCTCGCGGTCTGTTAAAGGGTCAGTCTGTGTATGAAGAATTTTACCGCGTATTAGTGCTGGAAGGTCAAGGTCATACATGTACCAAAGACGTATAATACTTCCCAGAATTCCTTTCACATCCGTTGTCGATGGCCACCCTTTCACTTCTTCTACTGCAAATGTCTTCGATCTATTTAAATCTGACATAGATGTAGGAAACACGACTTTAGAGTTAGTCCAGATGTCACATGTGTCAACGACAAAAAACATCAAGTCAGAAATCTTAATCAGTTCTTATATCAAATTCTATTTATAGTGTATCGATCTGTAATCTATATCGTTCTGTTGAAAATGTCGGTTCTTGTAAAAACTGTTATGATTTTTCTATATCAGTGTATAAAGTCCAAGTCCATTTCAGTCAAGATCGGTAACAATTCTATCTAATTGCATCAACAAAAACTAAAAGCAAGACAAATCATAACCAAACGTTTACAGAAAACATTAAATTTAAATTAGGTAGTTTTTTTTTCGTTTAATCCAAGAAATGTTTTCACTGAGAAAAATGTCAACGTTATTCATATAGATAATGTATGTGACCACATTGGAAATACTTTGTCTACAGTTCTGTCATTGTAGTATGTGGCTGCTGCCCTTTCCCATCTAGATTTTACTTCTCTTTCGATCACTTTGAATTTTCCTCAGTCGCGCCCTCGACTTCAAAATTTGAGTACTGTATCTAACTTCAAAGTTGTGTTAAAAGGCGGTATTCAGTTGTTTGTATCGTATACAAAACACTTACAATCATTTATCTAAAACTAGGTGATGTTGTACGACCTACTTAATGACGGGGCAGTGATATCACACTCTTCGCAGAGAATCGAATTAAAAATGGTTTCCCATCCATTGGCAATTCGTGTTGTCAGATGAAGCGCGTTGATAGGGTTTCCTATCCAGGCTTGTGTGTCATTGACATCAGCACGCTTCCTGTTGATATATTCTGCAAAACTTAAAAAAAATTATTGAATATATTACCTTATTTGAGGGGAAACTAAGGAGATAAAATGTCAAACTCATCTGCATCATTCAAGTCGAAGCCGTTGAGAGGGCGAAACAATTACTGCATGTTCCTACATGTCTAAGAAATTTGAGGTTGTTCTTGTTTAAGAAATCACTCGTGTGTGGTCAAGCTTAAAAATTTCCATGATGGCCAGATTGGTAGTGCACAAGTTTATATACATCAAAGAAATCTAAGATTGAAAAGCGAAATAGCCTGATCGGGACGATGATCTCGGTTGTTTTCACTTCTCTTTACCTTCATATTGTCATTTTTAAAGTCGGTATTCCCTTTCCTGGAGCCGAAATGCCCATGTCTTAAACGCTAAGTCATTCTTTGAATTGTGCTTAAGAAAAAAAGGGAACTTGACACATGAAACATATGATAATGGGATATTTTCTTCATCTGATTGAATAAAGACAGTTTTTTGCTCAAACTAGGGCAAAGTATGAACAAAAGAAAAAGATACACGGAGACCCCTATAAAAGCGCAAGGAGAAAAAGACTATGTGTTCCAAAAGAGTAAGCATCTTCTGCTTCATCAACGACATCCGCCTTGTAAATCTGTCAATTCAAGTAAGTTTGTTACGTTCTCAAATGAGAACACGTACCAACAGAACAACATGCAAACTAACGAGCTTCAAACACTATAATGACTATAATACGATACATCTCTATGGACCGTGGGTCTGGCATACGTGCAAATTCCCAGTGGGTTCGAAGCCTACATTAGGCAGTAGTCAGGTACTGGCCGCAGGTCGGAGGTTTTTCTCCGAGAATTCCAGCTTTCCTGAAATGATCCTGGATTTAAATAGGACGTAAATCATCAATTAACAAACTAAATCTTACCATGATGGTTCCTGAAGACATATATTGCGAATCGCTGGTCTGGTCGGGATTTTCGTCATCACAACAGCCAATGTCATACATGAAGACGGCGTCCAGAAGTGAACGGGCCACTGCCGGATATGTTATTGTACTCGCAGTGAAATCGAGAATACATTGTCAGCGTCATAGGTATAAGCTGTGTCTTGGCTTCGGCGAGACTGACGAAATACACATCTGTCTTTCGTCCGGAGCCAAAATACCGCAAGTTCTAAGGCACTTACAATATGTTCTATTTATTCTGCAACAATCATTGAGAATTCTGACTCTAGGAACTCCACACAGTTTGTTGTTCAATATTTGTACAACTGACATTGACGTTGCGCTGAATTGTGCCTAATGACGTACATCGAAATAATTTCTCCGCGTGTAAATGTAGTCACAGGCATCAATAGATATCATTACAATGTTCATATATTTTTATAAATAAACTTGATTATAACAAGTAAAATCCCGAATTTAAACAATTGCTTTTATTTAAAATGTAATATTTAAGTGAAGCGGAAAGTGTTTTTTTTTTGTCGAATTAACGCACGTGCTAAAACACAACTGCTAACTCAGTGAAAATTATACACGGCAGTGTCATTCCGAGAAAGATTATCATACCGATCATATCACAGTGACAATGTATTCTGTGTATATCCAGTCATATTATACTGACAATGTATTCTGTGTATATCCGGTCATTTCATACTGACAATGTATTCTGTGTATATCCGGTCATATCATACTGACAATGTATTCTGTGTATATCCGGTCATTTCATACTGACAATGTATTCTGTGTATATCCGGTCATATCATCCTGACAATGTATTCTGTGTATATCCGGTCATTTCATACTGACAATGTATTCTGTGTATATCTGGTCATATCATCCTGACAATGTATTCTGTGTATATCTGGTCATATCATCCTGACAATGTATTCTGTGTATATCCGGTCATATCATACTGACAATGTATTCTGTGTATATCTGGTCATATCATCCTGACAATGTATTCTGTGTATATCCGGTCATATCATACTGACAATGTATTCTGTGTATATCCGGTCATTTCATACTGACAATGTATTCTGTATATATCCGGTCATATCATACTGACAATGTATTCTGTGTATATCCGGTCATATCATACTGACAATGTATTCTGTGTATATCCGGTCATATCATACTGACAATGTATTCTGTGTATATCTGGTCATATCATACTGACAATGTATTCTGTATATATCCGGTCATATCATACTGACAATGTATTCTGTGTATATCTGGTCATATCATACTGACAATGTATTCTGTGTATATCCGGTCATATTATACTGACAATGTATTCTGTGTATATCCGGTTGTTTTATATTTACACCAGATAAATTTGTCGTTATCGTTGCTCATTTAAAATCATTTCCTCAAACAGAAATAAATTTTACAGACCCTGGTGTATATGTGTAACAGTGATTTAATTCCATACCTGATAATATCACGTGACACAGGAATTCCATCGTTCTTCGCTTCCGTTATATAATCCGTAAGAGCCTTGAGGAGCCTTCCCTCGTTCATATAGAGTACACCAATATTATATACAGATGTAAATACGTGTGCATTACACGACCGTGAGAGACAGACACTTACAACAATCCAAATGTAAAGTGTTGCCATCATAATTTGTTTCTCTCTCTCTCTCTCCCTTTTTGGGATGTACACGTAGTATATCAGACAGAACTACACAATCATATAAAAATCATCTTGGCTAGTTCCAAACTTTTTTCACTTCTTCATCAAAATTCAGATATACAATGAAATTAATTCTGTAGCTGTCATTGAAAAAATGTCCACACATCGGAATCTACGCCCTAACATCTGTTGGCTTGGTTAACTTTACATAAAAAATCAATAAAACTGCATTTGTTTCATCTGGATGTGCCATTGTATCGACACCAGATCGAATAGAGCAAAGAAATCGGATTTGCCCGTTAATACATTTCGTTATTTACCAGACTGTGTAAAATTTGGTATTCTTAATAAATTTATAGTTTGGTTGGTTTTATTTTCTTTTTGACATTTTCCCACTGAAAAGAGGAGTTTATGAATTTTGTCCATTTTTGTGTCGTCAGAGATCAGATGTGATATTCAATGTCACAAATAGCGTTGACTGTAGGATTTGTCTGGTCGATAAACCGTCACCTGGTGCTGCATCAATCCGCTTTACTCACACTCGTCATAATATACTGTAACAGAGCCATTCACCATAGTGTTATCACAGCTAACATCGATTTGAGTATGCAGCTGCAGATTGTCTAGCTCTTACCACAGGTGTGTCCTTGGTACAATAACCCAAAAGATATATATTTGGAAAAAATATAAAAATCTAATTTGCTGTGTAAAGGGTGTGAACTGACTGTTGTGTAAAGGGTGTGAACTGACTGTTGTGTAAAGGGTGAGAACTGACTGTTGTGTAAAGGATGTGAACTGACTGTTGTGTAAAGGGTGAGAACTGACTGTTGTGTAAAGGGTGTGAACTGACTGTTGTGTAAAGGGTGTGAACTGACTGTTGTGTAAAGGGTGTGAACTGACTGTTGTGTAAAGGGTGTGAACTGACTGTTGTGTAAAGGGTGTGAACTGACTGTTGTGTAAAGGGTGAGAACTGACTGTTGTGTAAAGGGTGTGAACTGACTGTTGTGTAAAGGGTGAGAACTGACTGTTGTGTAAAGGGTGTGAACTGACTGTTGTGTAAAGGGTGTGAACTGACTGTTGTGTAAAGGGTGTGAACTGACTGTTGTGTAAAGGGTGTGAACTGACTGTTGTGTAAAGGGTGTGAACTGACTGTTGTGTAAAGGGTGTGAACTGACTGTTGTGTAAAGGGTGTGAACTGACTGTTGTGTAAACTGACTGTTGTGTAAAGGGTGTGAACTGACTGTTGTGTAAAGGGTGTGAACTGACTGTTGTGTAAAGGGTGAGAACTGACTGTTGTGTAAAGGGTGTGAACTGATTTTTTATGTAAAGGGTGAGAACTGACTGTTGTGTAAAGGGTGTGAACTGACTGTTGTGTAAAGGGTGTGAACTGACTGTTGTGTAAAGGGTGTGAACTGACTGTTGTGTAAAGGGTGTGAACTGACTGTTGTGTAAAGGGTGTGAACTGACTGTTGTGTAAAGGGTGTGAACTGACTGTTGTGTAAAGGGTGTGAACTGACTGTTGTGTAAAGGGTGTGAACTGACTGTTGTGTAAAGGGTGTGAACTGACTGTTGTGTAAAGGATGTGAACTGACTGTTGTGTAAAGGGTGTGAACTGACTGTTGTGTAAAGGGTGTGAACTGACTGTTGTGTAAAGGGTGTGAACTGACTGTTGTGTAAAGGGTGTGAACTGACTGTTGTGTAAAGGGTGTGAACTGACTGTTGTGTAAAGGGTGTGTGAACTGACTGTTGTGTAAAGGGTGTGAACTGACTGTTGTGTAAAGGGTGTGAACTGACTGTTGTGTAAAGGGTGTGAACTGACTGTTGTGTAAAGGGTGTGAACTGACTGTTGTGTAAAGGGTGTGAACTGACTGTTGTGTAAAGGGTGTGAACTGACTGTTGTGTAAAGGGTGTGAACTGACTGTTGTGTAAAGGGTGTGAACTGACTGTTGTGTATAGGGTGTGAACTGACTGTTGTGTAAAGGGTGTGAACTGACTGTTGTGTAAAGGGTGTGAACTGACTGTTGTGTAAAGGGTGTGAACTGACTGTTGTGTAAAGGGTGTGAACTGACTGTTGTGTAAAGGGTGTGAACTGACTGTGTTGATTCGATATTCAATGACCTGTTCAGATTACCACGATTTCCGTGCGAGAAATGGTCAACTGACGGAAAGAATTATAAATATAACCCAAGGTTTCAAAAGATACAGTTTTATTGAAAAGTTTGGGGAAGTTTAAATATACTATTTCACTGTGAGATATGAAGTTGGACATGTTTGATGCTCGTCAGATTGCCTATTGAACACAGGAGTATTACACAAGTTCGAATATATATAAATCATTAACTTTAATTCATGTACACGGAAATAAATCTTTTTTTTTTATTTTGGAAATCTAAAAAAAGTATCTAAAAGCATTCGGTCTCTTCTTCTGTAGACAGTCCAACCTAAGGGAGATAACTCTTAGTAGCTTAGCCGAAAAGATGATAGAGGGATTCTACTGTATGGACTTCCGCTGTGTGTTAGGCAGAGTGGTTCCATAAATGTCTATGATGTAACAAGTAATGAACCCAGCTTTAGTCAGAATATTTCCAGGTTGATATACTTCTGATACACTTTTGTGTTACACATATTAAATTGTAGTTTTCAATTAAAAGAAACCTACCAAATCATGAGTTTAGTTATACCCTTCAGCTGTCCCGTCATTTGAAAGTTCCCAGTTGTACTAGGGGATTCATTCGTGAAAATGCAGCAGGCAATTAAGGACACACCGACACACATCTTCAAACAACGGGGGAAAGGTGTTCTACGAACATCTGAATTTAATATATTTAGAAAATATTCAATGTAAAACATTGTGCAAGAACGAGTGTTATTTCAAACCATGCTGCTATATATGTATTCCATTGTAGATCTAGATTTGTCTAATGGATGATAGTGGATTTATGTAAATTTAGGTTACGAATTGAGCGAAAGTAAAAAGTGCCAACTTTCCTTTCGCGTATGATTCTACCGACCGAGAAAACTAGCCAGTATGTCAATTTTGAAACGGATATAGTCGTTAAAAATTACTCACATCAGTATATATTCTGAAAATATGACGTGATCAGAAGGATGGGAGACAACTCTTTATTGTAACAAAAAAACAAAAACAAAACCCAAAACATTGATATAAGTCTTGAAATCCATACTAAAAATAAAAACTAATATAAACCACGTTTTTTGAGATTTTAGAAAATATAACAACGATTTTAGAAACAGCAAAATATTCGAACTATTTCCTGTTGTGTTGACGACAAAACAGCAGTACTGTATATGGGCCGATCCGGCTGCCGTAGATTTGGAATTTAACCCAGCCATAACATACTCTATATACAGTTGTATACGCAATGGATAGTCAGAGGACATACAACTATTTGAGGTGAGTATACTGTATAGTGGCATTTTGTGATACCACAGGTGTGGTGAAATCGTACATTGAAAAGATGTCACCTGATCATACTATTAACAGTTCGGTAATAAACAACACGTGTAATGGTTTGGGATTATTTACGAACAAAATCGATAGATTTATAAAATATATTTTCGAGAACATAATATTATTATGTTTGTTATATTTTACTTGTAGTTTAATTAGTTCAACAATATAAACAAAGTGTGTGTCTCATTATTAGACGGTTTGTACATTGCATCTAGCGAGGAAAAGAAACTATAAAAATGACCACCACACACTTTCCATTGGTCATCAGTACACGTCATTGGGTACCGGTTTCGTCTATAGTCTCTCGTATAAGCTATGTCTGACATCGAGTTGTACAAATCATATCGGCAACGTGCCAGTTTATGTATTCTCTAGACATTTAAATGTCTCGGTACCTTAATAGAAATATTTTACGGAAGTACAGACAGAACAAGAAAAAGCACACTGCTATCTGTTCAAAAATTTCGCTGTGATTTTATGAATTTTCATCTCTTATTTACGGCATCAATGCTATGCCTTTACAGATATTTAAACTGATTAAAGTGTGAAAATATTTCATTGTCCTAAATAAGAATAGCTATTGATGGAATGTTAGGCTTTATGAAACCAACTCGTACTCGGATTGTTTGACAATGCGTTTCCTTGTGCGATATGACATGTGATGTGTTCGATGTTGGCTTGTACCGCCAACCACAAGCACCTGCATCTGGAACGTAAATAACAGAGGCAAAAATCCAATCCACCAAATCTTTTGCGTTGGGTTTTGGCCACGATTTGAGTTTTCGTTAAATTGTGATACATAATCCGAATAGCTTTGCCACACAGATCAAATCGAGGCTCTCAAAAATATATCACGATCCCTATGGCCACACATAGATCATTATGTTATAGCATTTCTGTTCTGAATGTAACCGCATATTTTGTCAGGTTCTAGAGCTACATACCCCAAAAATGGGATAGCCGATATAATTACAGTGTTTAAAGGTATGTGATTTCCAGCTGATCTATTTTATAAACTTATTTTTGTTCATTTTAAAGGATATGACGTCACACCACCAAATGAAACAAAGTTCAAGCCATCTTGACGAGTGTGCAACATGCCGTCGCCGAGCTGCACGAATGGAGCACACATTGGTGAAAGAAGTGCCAAAGAGAGCACCACCTCCAAGAAGGCCCAAGGTAATCAACAAGAAAAAGACAACATTTATTCCAAAACAAGTCGGCGAGTTTCTGTCACTAGGCAGTGCCTTCATAATATCCCATATCCATGCATTTTCCCAGGATCTTGCATACGTTTGGCACTATAGTGAAAAGAAAATAATGATTGTAAACAAATGCGGCGTTATCGAACAGACACTTAAAATTGACGCTAAGAGTGACGTCATTGATATCTGTGTATCTCCACACAGTGGAAATATATGGTACGCATGTGGTGACGGAACCATTATTGAATTGATGAAAAACAAGACAAGTTTAGAAAAATTTCGTGTCGGATTTGAACCGCGATGCATGTGTTTATCATCAAAAGACCAAATTCTACTGGGAATAGAATGTAACATGATTATATACGATAAAGAAGGAAATATAGTGACGGATTTTCAGAAAATCAATCCAGATGTTGACTTGTCCGGATTTTGTCCCAGTAACATAGCACAATGTCCTTACACAGACTGTTTCTGTGTGTGTGATTATTTCCACCATTATTTCATTCTCCTAGACTCATCCCTCCGAATTATCTGGTGGTTTTACGGGTCCACGGTGACGGACGCTGAAGGTGTGGTCAAGGACACTGGGTATTCCAGTCCAGACCTGTTTTGGCCACACACAGCAGCGTTTGACTCGGATGGAACAATCATTGTTGGAAACAAGGATGATAGCAACGCCTTAATAGCAATAGGGCGTGACGGTCGCGTGCTTCAGGTCATCTCGAAGGAGGAAGACGAACCGTATGCTTTGTGTCTACACAAAGATGGACTCTTGTGGGTAGGACTGGACATACGACTGGTCAAGGTTTATAAATTATCGGGAAAACAGATAACAAGTTGTCGGTAGTTCTGTAGGAATCGCCTTTCTTTGTATGGTGGGTATAACGTCACGTCAACAGCCAGGGTCATTATAAGGCTGGGTCTCATTGTAGTAACTGGTGGCTGACTCATAAACATTCGATAAATCCGCCGGGTTCCTTACATATGGATACAACCACAATAGTCATGGCTGGTTCGTTTCTCAGCTTCTTTTTCTCAGAAACACAAACCGCCACGTGTGTAGAAGTACAGGCTGGTCCATTTCTCAGCTTCTTTTTCTCAGAAACACAAACCGCCAAGTCTATAGAAAGCAGAGGCTGGTTCGTTTCTCAGCTTAACAAATTCCTGTATGGGGTCAAATGTCATGAAGAGTTTTATTTCATAAATTCATGTATGGGGTCAAATGTCATGAATATTGTTTTATGTTACAAATTCCTGTATAGAGTCAAATGTCATGAATATTGTTTTATATCATAAATTCCTGTATGGAGTCAAATGTCATGAATATATTGTTTTATTTCACAAATTCCTGTATTGGGTCAAATGTCATGAATATTGTTTGATTTCACAAATTCCTGTATTGGGTCAAATGTCATGAATATTGTTTTATATCATAAATTCCTGTATGGAGTCAAATGTCATGAATATATTGTTTCATTTCACAAATTCCTGTATTGGGTCAAATGTCATGAATATTGTTTTATTTCACAAATTCCTGTATGGAGTCAAATGTCATGAATATTGTTTTATATCATAAATTCCTGTATGGAGTCAAATGTCATGAATATATTGTTTTATTTCACAAATTACTGTATTGGGTCAAATGTCATGAATATTGTTTTATTTCACAAAAATGGGTCAAATGTCATGAATATTGTTTTATGTTGGGTCAAATGTCATGAATATTGTTTTATGTTACAAATTCCTGTATGGAGTCAAATGTCATGAATATTGTTTATTCCATAAATTCCTGTATGGAGTCAAATGTCATGAATATTGTTTTATATCATAAATTCCTGTATGGAGTCAAATGTCATGAATATTGTTTTATTTCACAAATTCCTGTATTGGGTCAAATGTCATGAATATATTATTGTTTTATTTCACAAATTCCTGTATTGGGTCAAATGTCATGAATATTGTTTTATTTCACAAATTCCTGTATGGAGTCAAATGTCATGAATATTGTTTATTCCATAAATTCCTGTATGGAGTCAAATGTCATGAATATTGTTTTATTCCATAAATTCCTGTATGGAGTCAAATGTCATGAATATTGTTTTATTCCATAAATTCCTGTATGGAGTCAAATGTCATGAATATTGTTTTATTCCATAAATTCCTGTATTGGGTCAAATGTCATGAATATATTATTGTTTTATTTCACAAATCCCTGTATTGGGTCAAATGTCATGAATATTGTTTTATTTCACAAATTCCTGTATGGAGTCAAATGTCATGAATATTGTTTATTCCATAAATTCCTGTATGGAGTCAAATGTCATGAATATTGTTTTATTCCATAAATTCCTGTATGGAGTCAAATGTCATGAATATTGTTTATTCCATAAATTCCTGTATGGAGTCAAATGTCATGAATATTGTTTATTCCATAAATTCCTGTATGGAGTCAAATGTCATGAATATTGTTTTTGCCTTTTGATCTATTGTTATCAAGAAAACAAGAAGCCCAAAGGACCTGCATGCTCACCTGGCTTATTCAGCTGTTCAGTCATCTAAGACATAATTTAAGATATGACAATTAATTGGGAAATAATTTCCCTATTGGGCCCAGGTGTAATATGACAAACTGAAACCCATGGTAAGTAGTAAAAGTACTTGCAAAATTTCCCATTTTGGGTCCCACCTCTTAGGCTCCTAAGGGCAAAGAAGCAATATTTATGCTAAATTGGTTCCTCTCCCCACCAAGGATTCTCTAGACCAAAGTTGGTGAAAATCTGTTCAGTCATTCATGACTAGTAGCAGTTTGTATTAAAAAGTTGATAGACGTTGGACACCACACAATGGCTTACGCTCACTTGACCTTTGGACCAGGTGAGCTAAAACTAAAATAAAAACAAAGAAAATTTTATTGTTGTAATTTAATTTTTAATTTGTTGTCTTTATTTACAATGACGACTGTTTAAACTCCTGGCCATTAAGGACATTATGAACACAAATGAAAATGACATTAATTTCTCTTGCCTGCATTCCTTCCTTAGTCCAAACAACCACCATAACATGCATGACTTCTACACCCCTAGCCCCTAAACCAAATCAAATTTACATGAACCTTAAGAAAGGTTAGATTTTGGTCTTATTCTGACACACTTTAATTGGACAAAGATAATGAAATTGACAATAATCTTGTATCTGTAACACTGAGAACTTTCTCCAAACAATGTGTTTAGTTGTAAAATAGGTTGGACAAATACTGGTACTTGTGCCCTTCTGAATCTAACTGCCAAGGAAAGGAAAGATTTATTTACTTATCCACTTTATAAAAAAGCCATAAAGAGAGAGAGAGAGAAAAAAATACAGTATAAATTGTGTTTGTGAAACTGAAATGCACGTGACAATTTGTACAAAAATAATTACGAAGACACTAATGTTTGGAGCTCTAAATTGAAAAACTTTCCACATTGAATCAATTTTAGAGTTTTTTTTTGTGAAAGTTCTTATCACAATTATAGATAGGTGTTTCCTCCAAATAAAATCAATGATTTGTTATCAATCGAGGTATGACTCCTCGACAAAGGTTTTTGATCAGTTAAGAGGCAACTATTACCGAAACAAATATTCTTTAACAATTTTTTTCGTGGTAGATTGGCAAGACTAAGGAAGCAATGAAACAAGAAGGTGTAAATTTATCACATTTAGCATTGCACCAAGTACACATCAATTCTCATCTCCTCTCATCATCATCTATTCCTCTTTCATCCATTTCATCATCATCTGTTCTGCTTTCATCCACTCATCACTCAATAATAATTCACTCTCACCCCTATGTAAACTGACGACCTCATCACACTATGTTTACTGACCTAGCACTATTACAATCATTACCTCTACTCAATCATCTATCAACAAGACATTGGGGAGGGGGGTGTTTGGGGGGGGGGGGGAGATATTGAAGATTATCTCTTACATTTGCAGTAGTTAAATTTATATTTCACCGACCCATATGTCTGAATTTACAAATATACCATTACTATACTGTGAATATCCAATTTTAAGTGGTAATCATATTTTAGTGGCTTTCATGCTGAAAGTATTGGAATTTCTATATACTGCTAATATACATGTCATACCTGTTCTCTATGCATCAATTCATCATTGTGAGCTTATTTGTCAAAAAGTGATTATGTTTTATAATTGGATTTTACTTAATAAAGTATGTTTACAGTCAAAAAGACTTTTTAATTCATGATGTAAATAGTGTCTCCATCATGAAATATCAATATTTTTCAAAAAGCAGTTTCGTTCTCATCAGTGAGGCTATTTTTGTTAGTACCATCCCTTAACAGGGACCAACGTACAGGGCTGACAAGCTTCACAGAACATTGTATAAATATGTGAATTGTAAATAGAACAGAAAATGATCAGACTGGCCATTTTTAAAGTTTTGATAATTTGTGTTAACTTTATATCAAACTAAGGTTAGCAGTTTTCTGTCAGTTGAATATCTAGTTATATCAGGTTTAAAATTATACTTTTTCTTCCAGATTTCCTCGGATCTACAAACACACACCCTACCATACAAAAACACACCCTACCATACACACACCCGACCATACAAACACACCCGACCATACAAACACACGTCCTACCATACAAACACACTCTACCATACAAACATACTCTACCATACAAACACCAGACCATACAAACACACCCTACCATACACACACACCCTACCATACAAACATACCCAACCATACACACACACCCGAACATACAAACACACCCAACCATACAAACACACCCTACCATACAAACACACCCGACCATACACACATATGTATCTGCACATATACTAGCACTATTAACCATTTTTAATCAGTCACATGATCTCAGAAAGGGATGAGATATTCCACTTAAACATTTAAATCTTCAGGCTAGCATTACTTTCATAATGTCACCATGTAACCAAGCAAGGCTGGAGTTGATGATCCAGGCGGCCATTTTGTGTCACCTTGTAACTACACAAGGTTTGAGTTGATGATTCAGCCTGTTTTAACCATAAATCTGCGAATGTTGCAGCCAATTCTTGATTTTGCTTGTTAATATCTAATATTTCCACATAGCACTCGTTAACTTCCTAATAACCCCAGCTTAACTTTTAGTAACTAGGGTCTAGCTTATATTTATCTTCAATATCATATCAGGTGAAAAAAACAACTTTGAAAAAAAATGGCCTTAAATATTTAACAGTAGAATGTCTTACCCCTTTCTCAAATCATCATCTAAATTCTGTCTCAACACCAGCCTCATACAAACACAAGTACATGTTCGGCTGTTCCCTGTCTTATAACACGGTATCCTACACTCAGCTGTCTGCTGTACAGGAACTTGACACGCGGTCGTTCCTTACACAGATACAGTCAACACTCAGCTGTCTGCTGTGCAGGAAAAGCCAATGCATGGCTATTCACTGTACCAAAACAGGAGGACGTTTGTATGAAAACAGCAAACACTGGCTATCATTGTACATGAATGTCTGACACTCAATCATCCTTTATACAGGTACAGACAACAGTGAGCCAACCACTGTATCGGAACAATCAACACTCTGCTGTCTGCTGCTTGGAACCAGCTCGCGTTTGAAGGCCAACACTCGGCTCTACCAAACAAGGAAACAGCCAACACTCAGCTCAACTGTCTATTGTACAGGAACAGCCAACACTCAGCTCAACTGTCTATTGCACAGGAACAGACAACACTCAGCTGAACTGTCTATTGTACATGAACAGCCAACACTCAGCTCAACTGTCTATTGTACATGAACAGCCAACACTCAGCTCAACTGTCTATTATTGTACAGGAACAGCCAACACTCAGCTCAACTGTCTATTGTAAATGAACAGCCAACACTCAGCTCAACTGTCTATTATTGTACAGGAACATCATGCACACAGTGGCTGTCTGTTTCACAGGAACATCATGCACACAGTGGCTGTCTGTTTTACAGGAACATCATGCACACAGTGGCTGTCTGTTTCACAGGAACATCATGCACACAGTGGCTGTCTGTTTCACAGGAACATCATGCACACAGTGGCTGTCTGTTTCACAGGAACATCATGCACACAGTGGCTGTCTGTTTTACAGTAACATCATGCACACAGTGGCTGTCTGTTTTACAGGAACATCATGCACACAGTGGCTGTCTATTGTATAAGTAAATCAGACACTCGGCCGTCCATTGTACAGATACTAGATATACACAAACCACACACATAGGCAGTAACATAAAGATACGATAAATACAACATGATGTTTGGGACACATATGGATATCAGTTCATACCTATATCTTATTAAGTTAAAATAACGTTCAGGTTTAGACATTATTACAATAATACTGAACAATTTACTATATACATGTCATCACATAGCATTTAATTTAAGAAACAAATTTGGTGAAAATTCTCGTTTTTCAGAATAAAATAATGAAGAAAAATGAACATGATGTGTTTTTTTTTTATCTCTATGCACTGAGCAGAAAGATACATTAATACAAAAAAACACATTAATTAATATCTTATAAATGTTTCATAATTTTTTACCCTTAGAGATGGTCTGTGATGGTGCCAGATATCTCGGCCTCTCGAGCCGCCTTAGGTACATGGTACCTGTCACAGACCACAGTATATATGACCTATTACATACGTGTTTATTGGTGATTATAAGAACCATTTGTAATAAACACTTATCTCTCCTATATCCTCTTTAATATGACGCTCGACTCTAGTGGATTTCAATCATTACAAAACAAAACAATCACAGACTAACATCAAATTATTATCAGATGTACAAGAATTAAACTGAAGGATGAAAAATATCAGTCACTTGATTGAACACAAATAAGAAAAAAAATAAATCGGTGAAAATTAAAATCGGGGATGAGATCTGAGTATTGTTTTGAGTAATGCCTAAGATGATCATTTACTTTTTACTTTTATCAGAGTACCTCAAGCATTTCATATTTCTCACTTCCTGCCGAATATCAAAATCCTTTTTAAAAAAGGGCAATAACTCCAGTGAAGCTTCTTCATCTTATCAAAAAAATAATAATAAAAAAAAAACCCAGATACTTCAAATACGTTATTCAAAGACACGATTATTTTTTAGTGACAGAAACTAATTAAGGGAATATTTTTGAGCTTAGGTAGTAAGGATCTGTGATTACTTGCGGTTTCCATCCTCCAGTTCATTCTATACATTCTGTAAACACAATTGAATCAAATTAAGATATCTTCACTTTAACAAAGAAAACTTATTATTTTGATTAGCAATTTTAACTTTCTTCTCTTCAAAATCCTTAAAGCAATTTCAAGACAAAAATTTCAATAAATCCTTGTCTTAGTGTCTTTAATGCTTGGATATTTTATAATTTTTTTTAAACTTAATTATTTATTGAAGGTATTAAAGGAGTTAAACAGAATGATATTTCTTTACTGCTGTAAAGTCAAAACAAATTTTGGCATTTGAATATTAAAAAAGTCTTTACAACGTAACAATGAATATACCCAGGGATAAGATATGTGGGTTGTATTAGATATCCAAGAGAAAATATTGATAATCTTAAAGAAAAATGTTTAATTGACGTACAGCAGATACAGAGAAATTTCACCCTTGTGCAACATCTGTTTTGATATTAGACAATATAAAGTGAATGCAAAAGAAATATGAATTTAAAAAACACAGGGATATTTTCTTTTAATACCTGTATCTATAGTTAATTATCCCTTATAGATACTCCAAAGGGAAGTAACTCTTGTAACTTGCTTCTGCTGATATAATCGAAGGGGAATAACTCTTATAAATGTCATAAAAAGTTAGAGATGTATAATTTTGTCTAGTACACCAAGTGAACTTAAAAGTTAGTTTTTTTTTTTCTGAATTACCATTACACACTGCTGTTTTCATAAAATATCACAAGTACTTGAAGCTATTTTTAGAGCTAAGAGAAGTAAAATCCTTTGGCAGTTTCTCCCAGACATTATAATCTGTCGTATCAAGACACACATGAAAATTCTCTTGTAACAACAAAAATCCTGAGTATTTTGTTCAATATTCAACTCCATCTTCCATTTACTGTAGGCAATTTAGTCTTCATGGATCCACACCATGTCTCATAAAATAGTCGGGAGTTGAAGTTAATTTAATCGTGAGTACACTAAAGCCAGTTTCATCTCAATTCTGGCTCAAATTCAACAGAAAAAAAAAATTCTCGTTATTTTGTTATAATAATTAACACATACTTAAATGCCACACATTAGACAACATGATAACTTGAGGTGAGGTGGCATCGTAAAAAGTTGTTTTGATACGAAATTGACAAACAAATCAATCAGCTGTGTCCATTTCACATGATGAGAAATTTGTGTCAGACACCTTCACATCTATCCGGGCAGTCAAGATGTGCAGCACGGTCAGTAATATAAGTCCGTACGGGTGAACAGTCACCCCCATTACTGTGATTTGGACTGTGACAATCACTCGGCCCTTTATTGAACGTGGAAAATTCTATTGTTCCTTCTGAAAATAAAAATGAAGAAATTTTTATTAAGTGAAAACAATGCCTGAATTTATTCAACAAAATTTTAACCAGCATCACTTGTAGTAAAGAAGATGTGTACGGAAAAGGATTTTCTGAAACATATCAAAAACAATTTCCATCCCTACATCTTACTGAGTGGATGGAAAAGTCTAAAGTATTCATGTCACATTGAACAATAACATATTGTAATGCAATGAACAATAGCATATTCTAATGCATTGAACAATAACATATTCTATTACATTGAACAATAACATATTCTATTACATTGAACAATAACATATTCTATTACATTGAACAATAACATATTTTAATGCAATGAACAATAACATATTCTAATGCATTGAACAATAACATATTCTATTACACTGAACAATAACATATTCTATTACATTGAACAATAACATATTCTATTTTATTGAACAATAACATATTGTAATGCAATGAACAATAACATATTCTAATGCATTGAACAATAACATATTCTATTACATTGAACAATAACATATTCTATTACATTGAACAATAACATATTCATTACATTGAACAATAACATATTTACATTGAACAATAACATATTCTAAGACTGGCATGTTCAATAATATAAAACATGTAATCCAATTATCAGATTTATGAAATTTATCGTGAAAGTCTAATATGCCTCCCTACCTAGAATTTTACATTCCTTTTAATCAACTTTCATACATCTGATAATTTCATAATGTCAAATTCATGTGTATATTCTGAACCATGTCACAACTAAATCAAAACTTGGAATCCAGGTTAAGCCTCCATATCTCTTATCAGCAGAACATACTATCAAGTACTACCAATCTTCGGAAAAAAATGTAAAAAAAATAGAAAATGAAGAAAATAATTTATAGGACGATTAATGATTTCTTTCCTTAACCACTGCAAAAGTTTGAACCATCGAAAACAACAACTTTTACAATATTCTTTTGTCCTGCATTGAAACTGACCCCGACCATGTTAGCAAGTTTAGGGGTTGAACCTCTGGTCTTATTACAGAATAATAACAGGCAAATTTCTGGTGAATTGCGGTATTACTGTAGTAAGAAGCTCCTAACATGACTTACCATTGCTGCTAAGGTCTGTGTTTGTCGCCTGGTCTCGAGTTGTCTGTTCTCGCACCTGTGCTCTTCGTCGCCGACGTTTTTGTTTCCCTACACTTTCTCCATCGACACTATTCACAGTTGAACTGTCATAAGAGTTCCGCACAATACCTTCACCTTGAAGTTGATCACATGACCTAGCCAGCTGGTCACATGATCGATTTGAATTTGAATATCTCCCAGGCGAATCCGAATGAAATTGGTCAAAACAGCTTGGTACATTACTAGAATGAGGAGAGGGTGGACAGGCAGGCGCTTCTCCACCCCCTAAAGAATCAGGACTTTGTAGGGGACATCCTTCATCCCCTAGGGACCCAGACTGCTGTAGACAGTTATCAGCATGTTCCATACCCCTGTTTATTTTATTGAAATTATTGTCACTACCACCAGGGTGGTTAGGTATTGTCCCATTGGGCATAAAACTGTTTGGCGGCTGTGGACAGAAATAGAATTTCAAAATAAATCTCAAATCAGACAATTCCAAAAGGACATTCATATATTGTTTTTAATAATGTATTTAGTAAAATACTTTAAAGGTTGTTTTTTGGCCACTCAATTTTTTTCTGTCTTGCCAAAAGTTGAAGCAAAAATGATGGATCTTTCACAGAATCATGCAACTGTTTATGTATGTCTCTATTGTAATCTTGTTATCACAATTTATTTTCTTTGTGTGTGCTTTCTTCAAACTACAAATTAAATAAAAAGAAAACCCTGGTGAAATAAGCAACCTTAAAGTAAGTGCTCAGAATTTCTGTTGAAAAATATACCTTTTTAAATGTAAAATCCTTTTGAAGTAAATCACAAAAGAAGAATTTAACTAAAACATGATGACACAGCATTATTTTCAATTTTATTGTTGGAATACTAGTGATAGAAGTACAGGATTTTCTAGAAATCAAACTTCACTAAAATCCTTCAAAAATGAAATTTTTACATTTACTTGCTTTCAGTTTTTTGTTTCCTTGGAAACATTTAAAATTAAACAGACCAGATCTGTATGATTCTGTTGACAAATGTTTTTTAGGACAATTTATTTTGGTATTTCGCCCCAAACTTGTTGAGAAAGTAAGTAAACTTGAAAAAAAGTGGTTTAAATTTTTTTACGAGTGAAGATTTGAATAATTTTCAGGGTAAGTATCAAGTGATCAGACTTATTACCTGATAAGTTGTTGACACTCCGTGACCACCGTACCCGTTACTAAATGTATGGGGGTCCACATCTGTCAGCGGATTCACACTTATGTTCATTTTGGTGTAAGAATTCGGCACATGCCCATTGGCCACTGAGCCATTTAGTCCATTCACACCAGAATACTTTTTCCGTAAACTGTCTGCATGAATTCGCTGAGCGGAATCTTGAAATTTACTTACACGCATGTGATCGTTCATGGCATCTGTGGTGAAATTAAGAAACATTAAAATATATTTTCTTTTCATATAATTCAATTAAAATATATATATATATATAAAAAAGATTATTTCCTGTTCTGACACACACATTATGCATCTGAAAATCAAAATAAAGAGTTAAAGTTTCGAATTTCCAGAAATCTTTACAAATTTTATAAAAATGGGTAAGAAATTATCACTTTAAATATATTGATATGTAATTCATTTCAATTTTTTAATTGGTAAACTTCTCCTAGTGTATAATGTGAGATACCTACCCATCATCCTCCGCTGCTGTCGTTGTTTCCACCAGCACATGAACATGAACACAATAAGAAATAACATCATAACTCCTAGCACAATACCCAGAATCATATACAACATTTCACTACTGGATTTGGTGTTGGTGGGTATAGGACCGTCCACTTCCGAGCTAGGCTGAGCAGCTTTCACCGGATTCTCCGGATTGGTAGCCTGGTTTCCACCGTTTCCTTTACCTGTTGGGGGCGGGAAGATCATAATTCCTTTACCACCTAATGTCCGTTTAACTACTATGTTGCTGAAGTCACTATTTCCTGCAGCATTGAAGCTCTGAATTTTGATAGAATACTCAGTATTGGGTTGAAGAGGAGAGAGGAGATACGTTCGAGCAGTCGGCTCCATCATTTGTACAGATTCGTATTCGTTTTGGGAACTGAATGGCTTATAATAGAGAAAAAAGCCTTCAATTTGGGAAGTCTTCACTGGCATATACTGAAATTGAAATAATAATACATGATTAATTCATTTGGTGAAGATGTTAAAGGAAGAGTTTTTATGTAAAAACAATGAACCTTTTAACTAGATCATCATTTCTTGTGTATCTTTCAAATGTATGACAAATTCTTGTGTACCTTTCAGATCTGACTCATCAATTCTTGTGTACCTTTCAGATCTGACTCATCGATTCTTGTGTACTTTTCAGATCTGACTCATCAGTTTTTGTGCATCTTTTAAATATTTTTTCAATTACTGTGCATTGCTGAAAACACAGTGAGAAAGTCGTACCTTCCATCGGACATTGAGTCCATACTCCTGGACACTGTTAATAGTTTCCTGGTCCCGTTCATACTCTACCGGTTCCACCTTGACTATCGTGGGTCTTCCCTCGGGAGCTTGTGGCTGTGTGAACTTCTTCACCATCAGAGTAAATTTCTTGGAGTTAGGACCCGCAGTGTTATCATTATTTGAGTAAACGGCCGCAATACGAAACTTGTACTGAGCTTCTGAAACAAAGAAAATTCTTAGTCAAAAGCATCTATCCCAAAAGATCTGGGGACAAAATTCACAGCAATAAAGGAATTTATATCTTCAGTATAAAACCATCAACAACTAGGAAATTGAAATCTGATATTTTGAATGGACTTAAAATAATGAAATATATGATACATCATTAAATTTACGCAGAAAACATGCTAACCATATCTATTTGACAATAAGCCCATGCCTGGTAATAAGCCAAATCACATCTATTACTGTATCATTACCATCATTCCGTAATGATTAATATAAAACCATGTGACTTTGAGTCATACATAATATTCTTTGACTAACAGATCAACAGGTGTAAAATCCTACCTGGCTTTAAGTTAGACACTTCATACATTCGTTTGTCTCCTGGAATTTCCTCATCTTCTGTCTTCCATTGACCCTTCTTGGGTTTAATGATTTTATACTGGACTCGGAAAAATACAATTTGTAGTCCGTCATTTTCTGGGACCGACCAGTTGAGCTTGACTGATTTATCGGACAGTTGGCTGACATCTGGAGCAGTTGGGGGAACTAGTCTGTCCTTAGCTGAAATGGGATATCACAAATAATAATCCAATGTCTTAATATCATTTATTTCTTAATATCATTTATCTCTTAATATCACCAATGTCTTAATATCATTTATCTCTTAATATCATTTATCTCTTAATATCATTTATCTCTTAAGATCACCAATGTCTTAATATCATTTATCTCTTAATATCATCAATGTCTTAATATCATTTATATCTTAATATCATTTATCTCTTAATATCATTTATCTCTTAATATCATTTATCTCTTAAGATCACCAATGTCTTAATATCATTTATCTCTTAATATCATCAATGTCTTAATATCATTTATATCTTAATATCACCAATGTCTTAATATCATTTATATCTGAATATCACCAATGTCTTAATATCATTTTTTATCACCAATGTCTTAATATAACATGACCCTCTATATATTTACTCTATATCTCTTTTGTATGAAAACAACTGGGTTTTTTTGTTCAAATTATAACTTAGAATTTTTCTATAAATAGAAAAAGTAGCATGTTTTATATAGAGTGAAAATGACAGTAACAGAATTCCATCACGTCTACATTACATGTGTGAACATAAAAGCATATCTTAAGTATATGTCACATGTAATAATAATTTGTATCTAATTTGTAAAAATATACAGAAACAGAATAGTGTTGTATGACGTGTCTCCACCAAATTATATAAAAACAAGTGACTGGTTTATGATATGAAGCTGGAAGTGTTTGATGCTCATTAGTTGTTGTATACCATGTTCTCATTTGAGAACATAATGTTTCTTACTTGGACTGATCGAGATTTATATGGCTGGTCCTGTTGTTGAAGTAAAAGATGCTTGCTCTTCCAGAACATCTGTTCTTATTCTCCTATTACTTTTTCTGTGTACATTTTTCTTTTGTTCATATTTTGCCCTACTTTTATAGAATCAAGAGTTGGGGACGTTGACATGTTGGTGTTTTCCTGTTTTTTTTTATAAAGGAAGTTCCGTGGTACTTACCAGCACTCTCATCATTTGGTGGGCGTCGGCTTGGTTTCCTATTCTTTTTTCGATTCCTTCTTCGTTTTTTATTCCTTCTATTACCTTTCCATCTGTTAGGATTTGAACCGACATTTTCTCCATCTGACGGTGACATCGCTGTTTTATCACCATCACCGTCAGTGCTAGGTTCAGATTGACCTTTGACCTCTACATGAATGACGGCGTAGGCTACGCCAATTTCATTACTACACATACATTGATAAAGGCCACCATCTTCTGGCTTGATGTGTTTGATGGTGTGAGTTGTAGCTGGAAAATAAATGGTGATCATATTTGATTTTTGTAATACTGCCACAATTAAACTATACAACTTTCAGAAATATCCTTATGTATTCAATCAGTATAGATTTAATCCATGAAAAGTTTGAAAATTAAAACTTTGTAAGCTGTTGTGAAAATTATTATTAACAATTTAAAAAAATGAAAAAAGAGGACTCTCCCTTCTGAATAATCCCCTACCCCAACAAAAATAGCTTACTTACCTCCATTTTTAGCTGTCAACACCTTTCCTATAGGTACAGCATTATGGTACCATATCACTTGCATTTCTGGGGAGCCTGTGATTTCACAGCGTAGTCGAACCGACTCGCTAGGGTTGATCGTAATGAACTGTGTTTCAGCCTGAACCTTCGGTGGCTCGAGGACTTCAAGCATAATGGCTTTATGTTTCTCCATTCCAATTCCATTGTTGGCCTCACAAGCATAAGTACCCATGTCCTCATGTTGTACATTCCATATAAACAGATGTCCTGGTAAAACCAAACAAAATACCAGTAAGTCTCAACGGTCAGATAGGACAGCAAGTCGGTATCCACAGGGTTTTTTTATTGAAAAGTTGTTCAATAACTCCGAGGTTAGTAAATTATCATCTTGTGAAATTATACTTTGAAAACCTCCTTAGTTATCACAATTTTTAATTCTGTTAGGGGTGACATCTCCGATAAATCTTGTACTATAGACAAAAGTTTTTGAACTTTTATTTAGTACAAGTATAATACCATTGCACTTGCAGAAAAGTTTATTTTTCTTGTAGCAGTTACCTCCCTTCAACTGCTGTCCATCACATACCACCAAACATCATTTCTTTACCATCTCATCAATACTGAGTGGGTATGTTATTATTTCAGTAATCATACAATTATGAAGTATTCTTAGTTTATTGTTTACGTCTGGTATAAGATCCAAGGAACCAGATGGGGACAGGGTTGGCAGGAGACACTGATATAATTAACACAATGTTAGTATTTCCTTACAAAAAACATCAGGAAAAATTGATAAACATCCAAATAAGTAAGATTTATTATTGTCAGTAATAACAAGATAACATCATTATACTGTATTCATCCTACAACAAATCTACAGCACCAACCTATAACCTGGAACTCAAAGTGAGGTTGGGCGGGCTTATTGAAGGACAATTAACTAACATTTGTTTGTATTATACTCAGAATTGTAAGATACATTGACGGGCCCATTAAATGTATCGGATAAATACAGTGTTTAGTAATGGTCTTTCTTATAAATAAATAAAAATTACAGAAAAAGTCTTATTCATTCATATATTACAATTATAATGTTATTGTTTTTCTGTGTTCTTACTACAAATTAGTTTTTTATTTCAATATTTTCGTACCTTTTTCCATTTTGTGGCGTGTAGCTGGCAACTCGCCTCCGTACGGTTCCCAAACAATGGTGGGCTGAGGCATCCCCTGTCCGACACATTCTAGAGTAACATTTTCACCAATCTGGGTCTTAAAAATGTTTTTTGAGGTAATTATTACAGCTTCTTGACTAGGACCTGAAAACAATGAAAAATAAACAAATAATTTTACAAAAGTTTACACATAAAATTATTCTCACTTGATCACTGCAATCAAAAACTAAAAGAAAACTTCAGATTTAATCGTTTCTGAACAAAATTATTGTGATACTTCTTCTCAGGACAAGGTCATTATTTCCGTCCCTTTCTGATTTAAACTTAAAATTTCAGACACTTAATATCAACATGTAATTTCAATAAAAAGAATCTTGAACTTATTTTGCCATAATGAATATTTTGACTTTGTTTTCCAAAACATCTCTTAGAATACAAAGGTCCATATTGGAAGAGTTCATTTAAGATTCTTGGGGATGATAGGTTGTAATGCTAAGCATTTTTTCCTGGGTTCAAAAACATCAATCACAGTTGATGAAAACAGAAAACAAAACCGGGATGGTTATGACACAGAAGCCATGCTATGTTGTATTTCCTTTCAGGAGAAGAACTTTTTTAATTTGGCAAAGAATCTTCTAGCTAAATTTCCTAACCATATGGTTGAATTGCTCAGAAACCTCACGACTTCAAAGAAAGAAACACACACAAGACTGTGAATTACGAGGCTCCGACACATAAATCTGTCACGTCAGGCGATTTACACATCAAAGTTCTTACGAAAGAAAAAAAATCCCTTATAGATTATGGTTGAAGAAACCAAATAAATATTACACCCGTGTTATAATACCTGGTAAACCATACATGTTAAAACAAATAGGAAATTTGACATTCTCTTTTTCTGTTCTCACCATTGATGTATAATGACTTTACAAGAGAGAGTGCCACATATTCTTGTTCATGACACATGAAATATGGTCCTCCATGACAAGGTAGTATTTTCCTAAGTGACCAGTTCTCCGCATGAATAAATTATTCATTATACCCCCTGATCTGTGATAAAGTTATCTCCCTTGAGTAACTCTTCAGTTCTTCCAGTTATCATTTATCAACAAACATATCTATCCAGCAATAAACAAATAAATTCGGGTTCAAAGCGAAGTGGCAGGCTTATTATCAGGAATGGGCTTATTGATGAATTAACACAATAAATGTTACACTTGTCTTCATTCTTTAAAATAGATTGTCATCTGAATAACTTTATCCGCTTTAGAAATCATCACAGATGAATGTCCTTTTTTTAATGTCATATTCTTTTGAAAAGGAGGTTATATGTCATACATAGTAAGGTAGCATGCATCCTTAAGTGATATAAGAATTCAACGCAGTTGCTATGAAGCCAACATATTTATTTAATACAGACAGACATGAATGTCGAGTTGGCTGTTACCCAGTTTAAAGTTAGAACACAGAATTTATTGACACGGCAAAACAATCAAGTTACAGTGATACATTTCAATGTCTGACGTGTAAAATACATCAGTAATTTCTTGTCAAAGGTACAAACAGAATCAAAACACTACCAACCCACCTCCCACGGAATTTTTTTAAAAAGTTTTGTCTATTGCAGAGGCGTTACTACAGAGCTAAGAGAACATTGTCAGAAACCAGATACATCAGATTACAGTTTACTGCACTTTCTCTCCTGTTCAAACAACTTCCTTTTACTGTATAAAGAAAATAAGTCACCTTCAATGGAAACATTGACCTGACCTTTGACCTGGTGTACTCTCAAAACCAAAGCAATGTGTTAATTGTGATAAGGCAAAGGGTAACCCAACTTTTCCTTTTTTAAGAACTTTGTTTTAATAATGGTATGTTATCAAGGTTTGTTGACCCATAGTGATAACATTTATCCTCATCTCGACTAATATTCTTACAAGATTGGGGGATGTTTCAAAAAAATATACCAATCAAACTGTTAAAGGGGTTTTCTCAGAATGTATTAGTTTAGAAAATACAAAATAATAACAGCATTAATTGTAAAAATATTTTTGGTATTTCTTAAAATAAAATCTTTGCATCTGTCAAGATGTTTCTTTTGCATTCCATAAAGATAGCAGGCAAGTTCAAAGGTCAAGTGGACATGTGTATGATTAATGGTCAATCTGTTAGCACTCTTAGTGGGAAACGGTCACTTATCTTATCTCATCTACCAAAGGGAGACAACCACATGTGGCTTCCTAGTGTTCAGACCAATCAACATCAATCTCTCAACAGAACCTATCACCAGTCATTATCCTCATTGTAAGGCATAATTCTATTGGTCAAATTCAAATGAATTAAACACAACTGATCACTTTCACATCACCAAATGGTATATATATATACTGAAAAAATTTCCAGTGAAAAATTCTTTATCACGTTGAAAGAACGAAGACTGTGGAGAGCTCCTTTTAATCACAACATGGAAAAGATATCTAAAATATTATCAATATCTTTACAAGGTCAGGGAGTATAACATTGATGATTTTGTAATTCAATCAGCTGAGTTTGAATCCTACATCTCCTTGACTAATGCTCCGTGACTTTTCATGAGAATCCACTCACTCACCTCACCTATAAACTCTACTAAACTTTGGTCTGTTTGATCAAATATCATTCTCAATAAGGTGAACTTAACCACTAACCATTTCTCAAATGTTCATCATGTCATAATTTAAAAGTAATAGATTATCTTGTTATAACTATTCTGACCTCTGTACCTGCAAAATTTACACCTGTGCTGGACATACCCTTCTGTGGTGCTATAAATAGACTTAACCTCTGTGACCCCTCTGCCTGATAGGGATCTGGCCCCAATCAATCACAGTCAATAGCTAGTACACCCTTTATCTCCGAAATGAAATTTGAGAGTAGAAGTAATGGGTTTTTCTTGTTTCTGATTGGCTGAAGCTTCGGTCAGCTCAATGGTCAGTCAATGGCTACCTGGGGTTTCTATGTTGGACTGGCCACAGATGAAAGGTTGCTAGGTACATTGATTAATGATTGACAGGTATTCATCAGTCATTACTTGACTGTAATGAAATCGGTTGAGAAACATTCTGTTCCACATTTGTCAAAATGTCGAGGTGTAGCGGAGTCCCAATAGATTTTGACTTGTTGCAATAATTTGTGATGTATACCCTGATATCAATCTTCATTTTCTTCTGGATCTTTTCACAAGTAGATTTATCATCGGCTTAAGTGGGTAGGGAGAGTTCAAATCACACAATGTACACGTATGGGAAACATTTCGGTAATAGTCTGGGTATGTAGAGTGTACATCTCACATTTTGACTAGAATCTTATTTTCTAATTTGATCTTTCATATAAATTTTCCTTCAAATTTTCAATTATATTTTGTTGATATCAAGCACCCAAAAATAAAATTTTAAATCCCCGAGCCTTCCAATATGATGAGAGAAAATATTGCATTGCTTACACTGATATTGTCTGAAATGTTCTCTTAACAAATCAATGGTTCAATATTTGAGATGTTCGTGTAATTTTTTACTGCAAAAATCCCACAGGTCTGACATATTAGTTATAACAGGACAATGAAATTGTAATAACTGTAAGTTTACTAAGTAGCAACATAAATGTGTCGACCAGACAGAGGGTTATTCCCAGATAAATATGGTCATTAAAATTCAGTGTAAATACATAGTTAAAGGTTGATGTGTAAAATGATTGAAAAAAGCAGAGTTGATGTGTGTTGAGATCATTGTTTTTCATGGGACTCTGCTAAAAATATCCTTATTTGTAGATACTTAATTTTGTGGACAAAGTATCTCGATAAAATGACTTCTACTAATTTCAACAGTTTGTAAACACATATAATTTTAGATTACATTAGCGTACGTGAAATGAAATCGGCAGCTTCAATTTGCATTTTTTACCCGCGGACATTACATGGAAGGTGGGTTTTTTCCCCAGATTTTTTGTCAAAAAAGGGGTGCGGACATTACACAGATGCGGACATTACGTGGGTTTTTACGGTAACAGAAAACAACCAAAATATCACACCCCACTAAAAAATCAACAGTTCTACTGCATGTAAATATTTGTTATGTTGGAACTTCCATGTTTTCAATCCAGTTATCGCATAAATTATCAGTCTGGAGCTCTATACAACGAGGAAACTTCGTCGGCACATACTGGCATAATTTCAAAAATGAAACAGTATGTCAAAATATGTATGGCTGTCCATGAATGCATCAATAACAGGAGTTTGGCTTCCTTAAATCAAATTTGTCATTTCCCATTTTACATGTAATGCATCTGACTCCTATATAATTTACAAGCCAATCTACAACTGTTCCAGACCTGCATAGTTCCAGAGTAACAATCCTTCAGAATAATAAACGGAAAATTTTAAATTGCTGACGTTCTGTAATACTATTAGCTCTCGTTAGTAATGATAGTTGATGAATATAGTTGAAACACAACAATAAAATTTTCCTTATCTTTTCCAAAAAGCCATTCCCTACTGTGATGAGTTAGTTAGGGTATCCCTCATGAAGGAATATCAATTTGTTCTGAGGTTTTGTCATACAATCTCAAATCATTTGGAGCTCCGGGGGATTGTCTAGCTGAAACTTTTCCAAAGAGGCAGAATGGGCCTGTTTAATTGATACTAGGTAATTTTGTGTATTCCGAGAGCTGTTTTCAATTGGGATACTGATACAGTAGTCTGAAGCAGATCTAGGATCTTCTGAGTAACATATACATAGTGTATGTTGAAACATTGTGTAATGTTTAAAAAAAAAAAGGAGGGGAGGGGGGCACTTTGATTCTGGAATAAACATGTTACTAACCTCTGTATAAAATATCAGATACAGAATATATCTACAGATGTTTTAAAAAGTTTGTAAAAATTCGGCCAGCTTATGTCAACATGTCAGGATATTTTTGTACAATAAGTGTAGGAGTTTGATTGATGTGTGAAAAACCATGAATCAACGGGGAAATCCAACCCGTCACTTTGAACTTTTCAACATTTCATGTCTTAAAACATGTCTCAAATACATTTCCACTTCTTTCATTCCTCTTTAAAATAAAACAGAATGGTGATCTCACTAAGTGTAAAACCTTCTCAGTTCATCTTAGGGGTCTTGTAGATGTTTGAACTAAACATGTGATACACTGCAGTAAAGTCTGTTTCAAAGAAATGCTTGCATTGAAGCAAGACGGAACTTTGGGACATCATAAACATAGAGCATCTGAGGAAGAGTCTGGTTAATAAGTACTTCCTTTACAGCCAGAACACAAGGGACTCCTGAAGAACATCCCTTTCTTTAAGAAAGCCGTTATTAGCTGTACAGGAAGCAAAACCATGATTTTTATAACACTATGATAATCTATAGGAGTATTCACCCATATCTTCCTTGGTGCAGTTTCATTCCTGCCCTCGGCTCATTAATTCCGCACTCTGAATTTAAAACCTGTGCAATTTTCTACACGTCAGTTAAATAAATATAAAAATAATTCAATGAAAACAAAGTTTAAAGATTAAAAAATTATAAAAAAAACAAAACAAAAAAAGATAAAATCAACTTTTTAAGAAATAAACAAATTAAACTTAGATGTTGTTTTTACTTCTTACATAGCAACATAATACACAAATATGTTTTTTTTTAATCCAAACTTCAATAAAAGATTAAGAATTTTTTGGCAAAAATCTGATCAAATATTCAACAAGTAACAAGCTTGTGAAAAACTCTTTCCTTTTCAAATGTTGGTTTCAATAACTAAAATGAATTCTGAAAAAAAAGTTGTATGTCAAAATGCCATGAAAATCAGCATCAATATGTAAAACCCACAGGTATTTTTGAACACAGTAATTTAGTTATAAACACAGCCATTATCCAGGGGAAGGTTTTGCATCAGTACACAACATGGCTTTGTGCTCCACACTCTAGCATTACCGATTACACACCATTTCATCCAAAACAAAAATAACAAATTCCAGCATTTTTTCTCTCTACAAAACAAATACTAGAGCTTGTCAAAGGGTTCAGATTTTATTATATCTGTTTTTTTATTGCATGTTTCCGGTTCTACCCAACGTTTATATTCACATCTTACGACGTTTTAATTAGGATACAAAACCTTTCATTGGAGTTTTTCTGCTACTTTTGCCACATAATTACAGAAATTTAAACATGTCAAACAGTTCAAATTTTATTCTAATATGATTTCAAATTTCTGTAAAATTCAACTCAACAATGATATTCATATTCTTCAAATAGGCTTTTTGTCCATCAAATATTTTAATTTTGATTTGCTTAAAGTACACAATCATTAATTTGAAACACTTTCACTGTGATAGGCCGACAGATTTGATTAAGATCTGTATACCAAACTTCAGCTTTAAAAGTAATGTGAGCATTTCCAAATAAGGATTTGAAATGAAACTGAGTGAGTTGTTTTAAATTACGTATACGCCTGTACACTAGGTAGTATAAAAATATCATGTGTTCAATATTCTGAGTAAATAATATTGATCGATTGCAATATATGGAAATATATTTGTTCAATTCAAAATCTTTCACATAAATTACTTGCATTACATTAAGGGTGTATGGTACCTTTGATATCCTTATCTCCTTTACAAGAAGTTCCACAAAAGCCATTGAAAGCATTTTTTCTAAACTATTTAACAATAAAATTCAACATTTTTTAAAACCTGCTCTGTGTGATTGTAAGTGATTGTGATTATTCAATTCTTGAAAGGGAGACAACTCTAACTGGAAAACAAACAAATATACACACCTTAATATTGTGACAAGTAAGAAACATTAAAAAAAAATATATACAAGATATTATAAGGTTCCTGAATTTTCATAATCAATGAATAAAAAAAGCTGGATTGTTGTGAGAAAAGTTTGAATATTTATGGTAGTGGGGCGTGTAATATCCAGCTTCTTCCACAGCTGTGAGAATTGAGAAACCTATCTCGACATTATGCTAGAGATAATACACTATAATTTATGTTGTCCATAACCAGTTTTTCCCCAAATTGTCAACACTTTATCTGTTTTCCTAGCCTACCCTGAATGTATATTAAACATATATAACATTTTTCCTCACAACATTAAGTATCCCTCAAGTCATTTAATTAACATTTTTCTTACATTTGCGGTGCAAACGTGAAGTTAATGTAAAGTGTATGTAAAGTCCTAGTCACCTGAAATGGTCCCAGCTATAGACAATTATCACAAAAACACTATAAATCACTACTACTGCCTGCTTCAAATTCCAGTCAGGATTCAACCCAGCATATGGGCAAATTTCAAATCAACTTTATAAAAATATCTTATGTAAAATATACCTCATACTTTCTCTGTTTAAAATCCAATAGATTTTTGTCCTAAAATATAAATATTTCATAAAAAAAATGAGCAGAGTTTGAAATAGAGTCGCCATTTATCAATTAGTTCTGATATTGTCTGATTTTTATAAAATTGTCTTTGTTGATCAAAACTGCATCCCTGATCAATGGAAGATGTGTTGTTATGTCTCAGTAGAACTAAACAATTCTGATAGTGTTCCACGTCTCCATGGAATATTGATTGCTACATCACACAAATGACTTTTTAACTTTGAGATTCATTTCAATTTAAGTCTCATGAAATTCAGTAAAATAATCCTCAAGTAAAGCACAACTGATGGTTTCAATTCATCAAATAAGACAAAACAGCTTTTGAAATTCACACAGTGTGCCAAAAGACCTATATGCAGCATTTATCAAAGTTTACGTTTTTAAAATGCAAAATTTTCCTAAATTAATCATTTTAAAACATGTTTAAATCATTTTAAAATGTATTGCATAAGACATTTCTGTTTTTTTTTCAGTCATTCACAAAGAGAAATGAATGAATGAATCTATTTCATTTTCAAATATGAATATCTACAATTACAAATACTTAATTCCTTAAAAGGTTTCTTTTAAGTCCTATTCCTAACTCAATAAAACCAAGCTATCTTACCCATAAATATGTCATCAATTAAACAGAAAATAAATGGTTTTTTTTTTGCAATTTTTCAAGGATTTTTCTATCACTGTTTTTCCTGCATGGAGCCCCAACCTGTTAACAAGTTAGCTCCCTGAAGCCTGGTTTTACCCATAAATCACTCTGGGGCTGCCAGCCTGGTGAACAAAGAGGAGAGTGTTGTGTACCTGTGTAACGTACGGCCTGAAACCCCAGTAACGACTATAGTGGAGCCCAAAATACTACCCGCTTTTTTTACAAATGACTATATTTATACTTATTTATATATTTACTGAGGCCTTACTGTGCTACCAATTGGTGCCAAATTGCTGATGTTTTTCATAATTGATTATTTATAAATCAGGTTACAAATTTCTTCATATGTTCTTTAAAAGTTGTTGTGCCACATTTCATCTTTAAAGCAATTCATTTATTTCCATCAGGAAAATATCCTTAATTTTTATCTGCATTTAACTATGTGATTAGATTAAAGATAAGGAGCATGAAGGCCCTGATAAACAGTCTAGAAAAATATTTGTATCATGTTTAATTGAAAAATATCATGTGAAATGTAAACTATGTTTTTTAAATATGTTATAAGTAAATATCTGGAGACAAAATATATCATTACACCTTTTACATTCATTCATCACTAGTGTGGTTGGGTGGTGCAGTGGCAACACACTCGTCTTTTGCCTAAATTTCAAGGGTTAGAGTCCCGAAACTGATGTGGAAAGGTATGGGGTCACCTGCCCGACCACGTGGAATTCCCCCCCGCCCCCACCCCTACCCCTACCCCCTCCCTTAATAAGACCCCTCAAGCTTCCATTTTGGCCAAAAAAAGTGATTGATATAAGTTGGAAAAACTTGTTTTGTGATTGTTGTAAAATAAACAAAATTAATTTTGATTGTGAGTGTGACATCTGTTTTCAGCTATATCTTTGTGTTGTTGTAAATAGAGAACATTTTCTGTGCTTTCCTTTGTCAAGTGGTGCCTTCATTTGCAAGATAAATAAATTAATCCTGAACAGTTAATGGCTTCATTGAATGGCATATTCCTTTGTACGATGACAAAACCTTGCTTACCTCCCTTTACCAAACATTGGTCAACTCTTTATAAACTTTTCAACATCCCTAAAAATTATTTTTATGATTTGATATGAATTGAAATTTTATTAAATATAATGAAATCAAAAGGAAGTCAATCCTTGTCTCTTGTTTTCCATTCTGTAAGGGGAAAAATCTAAATCTGTCAAAAAAGTTACTTTCTTGAATCAGTTGTCGTTGTTTATAAATGAATGGACAAATATTGCATGAAATCAAGACATTTTTTTATGCTGCCAAGGGTAGAAGTTGTTTCTGTAGATCACATGTCGACATGAAATGTATGAGATACATTTCTAATGGAGTCCCTGACTGACTCATTCACACATTGTAAATACCCTGATCTCACATTTCACGACTCAGATAGAATGTTAAATAAAGTCAACAACAAAATACTCCACAATTCCACAAGGGGATCAGAATTTGTCAAAATGGTCATTATTTTTATTTTGAGATTATTTTTTTTAGTCCTCAAAGTAAAAATATAAAAAAGTGGGACATCAATGATATAGGCCTAGCATTATGACATCTAAGCATGGAACATTTTTATAAATTTTGTTTTTACTTTGTCTAGAAATTAGATTTCAAACAATTTTGCCAGAGGAAGTGGCATGATCAAGGATATCATTTGATGTCATAACCTGCCAACATTATTTTAATATATATTTTATTTATTTAACTGGAAGACTTAAGAATAGGCGACTGTTACAAGCCCAGATTTCTTACAAGGAAACACGCAAGTATATCACAAGCACCTGCACTGAGTTTGAAATCAGACTCCCTGAATATACTTCACAGTCGACAGAAAACAGATTTGTTTTCATCAGAAATTATGTAATATAATATTTCACTGATTATAACAATATTTGTAATTTGTTCTATGTTCAGGTAGATTTTTTTTTTATAAAATTTTAATAAAGGCATTTTTCTTCCTGTTTGCTAAAAATGTGTGGAACATTGATGAAAAAATTATTTTAGTAATTAATACATAGACGGTCTGTTGAATTAAAATATGACACATTGATTTAGAAGTAAAACTTATCTGATCATAGATATAGAAACAGTCTTATATTTCAGTTCCCCCCCCCCCCCCCCCCCCCACAACTATTTCATATTCAGGTATATATGCATTGATAAATACATTCCAGTAGTGGTTGACAGGTGATAGAAACAGAATGCTGTATCTTTTTGTTATCTTGTTTATAGATTCAGCCTCAATTTACAACAATTAAATGTTAATAATCATTTATAATCAGGGATGTATATTGCATTCTACTCTCATTTTATTGACAAAAATTAAGACTGGTGAAATATGTGAGTTATCTACCCTGATTTCAGAAATTACCACGACATGCTATATATTTCTTATCGCTGTAACCCTGCATTGATTTAACAGACAAGCCAATCCTTCTTAAAGGATTGTACAAAACACACGCAAGATCACAGCACCTTTCATCACAGATAAAGAATGAGATCAAATGTGCATTGTCAGACAAAGAAAGATACTGTATCATTCATTGTTGAATTCTTGTCGGATTAATGTTTTTGAGGGCCTGAAGTACTGATACCTAAAAGACTCAACAAAATAAATCAGAATTGGCGAATTATCCCATCATCAAATACAGCTGTAACCCAGAACATGAAGTCACTACATAATTCTAAAATGTTTTTAGAAAAAATTAGGTATATGTTTTTATTTCATACTAATATATATGAGACATAACAGGATCCATTATTCCAGGCATACAGACTGAAACTGGTTAAATATGAGACATAACAGGATCCATTATTCCAGGCATACCGACTGAAACTGGTTAAATATGAGACATAACAGGATCCATTAATCCAGGTATACAGACTGAAACTGGTTAAATATGAGACATAACAGGATCCATTAATCCAGGTATACAGACTGAAACTGGTTAAATATGAGACATAACAGGATTTATTAATCCAGGTATACAGACTGAAACTGGTTAAATATGAGACATAACAGGATCCATTATTCCAGGCATACAGACTGAAACTGGTTAAATATGAGACATAACAGGATCCATTATTCCAGGCATACAGACTGAAACTGGTTAAATATGAGACATAACAGGATCCATTAATCCAGGTATACAGACTGAAACTGGTTAAATATGAGACATAACAGGAGACTGAAACTGGTTAAATATGAGACATAACAGGATCCATTAATCCAGGTATACAGACTGAAACTGGTTAAATATGAGACATAACAGGATCCATTATTCCAGGCATACAGACTGAAACTGGTTAAATATGAGACATAACAGGATCCATTATTCCAGGTATACAGACTGAAACTGGTTAAATATGAGACATAACAGGATCCATTAATCCAGGTATACAGACTGAAACTGGTTAAATATGAGACATAACAGGATCCATTATTCCAGGCATACAGACTGAAACTGGTTAAATATGAGACATAACAGGATCCATTAATCCAGGTATATAGACTGGAGTTGCAGACAGTTAAAAAAAACTTTACAAGTCTACAGAGACACAAATTAGTAGCAAACATTGATAACTCAGAGCACAAAGGTAAAATAAATTGGACAATATGTTTAATTACAACTTAAATTTTAATTAATCAGCAGAAAAAAAACAAGTTGATTGTTACAACAGACAATTATTTGAATTGGGTATATGATAAAGTGTTCAGAACACTAATTTTCCACATTGTTCTATTGTCTTTTAAAAATATTTGTCTGTCTATGTCAAATATAAGACCTATCTGAATACCCTGTTGACTTATGTAAGTAATTTATACCTATGTCGTGACGAACTAACGCTTACTTAGGTGGTGATATATAGAATTGAATACCTGTGTCATGATAACAACAGAGTGCGTACCTGTATGGTTTTTATGTACCAATGTATTCTATTTTTTTGTATCTTGTTTACGGATTGATGGCTACAGTAAAACAGGTCGTGTACATGACAATAGCCTCTGTATCAGTTTCTCGTAGTGACACCAATGTGAATACAAAACCCCTTCTCTTAGCCTAAACAGTTGTTATCAAGTCCCAACACAAAAGCCGCAAATGTAGAATATGTCGAGAAAATAGTATGGCGCATTGTTATTACCTGCGCCTGCGTTATGTGAGACGATGAGATATCGGCAGAACCTCTCACCGTTTAAAATCCTAGTGATTTTATTCGTCTATTTTACGACATTTTTTTGTTCATCCTTTTTTTCAGTAAGATGTATATACTTAGTATATTATATCCACTCTACAAAAATAAACATGGTTTTTAACATCACATTTTATTATAAGCTATGTTTTTCCCCGATACTGATTTACTCAAGTTTATGAAAACTATAATACGAATGGTTGTGACATTTATGGTAAAATAGTGACTTTTATGTTGAATGATTTCACACAAATCTGGAAATTAATTTCATAGATATTGCTGTCGTAAATATTAAAACTGACAATAATAATTTTGTGACCATAGCGACATGCTTTGAATCATTAAGCTTGAGACATTGGTAGAGTTATTAACACATACAATGAAGGCCCTGTTCTAATACTGGTGGCTGATGATGGAAGATTTGTACACATGGTTTATTATCAGATTTCTGTTCCTTAAGAAATTATCACATGTAACATAAACAAGTTATCTTGAATAATACAGTTAAGTTGTGACAATCACCTCTAGAGAAGAAGACTTGTCCATCTGAAAGGAAGCATTATTTGACAATTGGAAATGAGGCAATTTTACAATTGAAAAGCCTTTCTTAACCACTGGAGAAATAGTCTGATTTGCCCCCTGGATGAGAAACCATATTTGATTGCTGAAGGAGTAGCCTCATTTGACCACTGAAGCAGAAGCCTCATTTGACCACTGAAGGAGTAGCCTCATTTGACCACTGAAGGAGTAGCCTCATTTGACCACTGAAGGAGTAGCCTCATTTGACCACTGAAGGAGTAGCCTCATTTGACCACTGAAGGAGTAGCCTCATTTGACCACTGAAGCAGAAGCCTCATTTGACCACTGAAGGAGTAGCCTCATTTGACCACTGAAGGAGTAGCCTCATTTGACCACTGAAGGAGTAGCCTCATTTGAAGGAGTAGCCTCATTTGACCACTGAAGGAGTAGCCTCATTTGACCACTGAAGGAGAAGCCTCATTTGACCACTGAAGGAGTAGCCTCATTTGACCACTGAAGGAGTAGCCTCATTTGACCACTGAAGGAGTAGCCTCATTTGACCACTGAAGGAGTAGCCTCATTTGACCACTGAAGGAGTAGCCTCATTTGACCACTGAAGGAGTAGCCTCATTTGACCACTGAAGGAGTAGCCTCATTTGACCACTGAAGGAGTAGCCTCATTTGACCACTGAAGGAGTAGCCTCATTTGACCACTGAAGGAGTAGCCTCATTTGACCACTGAAGGAGAAGCCTCATTTGACCACTGAAGGTGACAACTTAATAGACCATTAGGGATAAAGTCTTGACTAAGTCTGACAAACAAACCATTAAGATAGTGGTTTACTAGCTACTGCTATAGTTAGGTATCTCCCCTCACCTGTTGTACTTCAGTAAAAACAAAGACTTGTGAACTATTTACTAGCATCACAGTCATTGTTTAACGAATGCCAAAAAGCTGGAGACTATAGATTTTCACCCTCAAAATAGTGCAGAAGATAGAATTTACTCTGCCAGAATTAATCAAGTTTGTAAACTTTTTTAAAACTTTGTATCAATCCTTATTTCAAAATATCTGGTAGACATTTAAAATTATAAATGCTGTTTCAAGTTTGCATGACCTCTGTCCCTTAAAAATATATATCAAAAAGTTATTTTACTTATTTCCTTACTGCCAGCACTTTGGCGTTTAAAATCACCGACCTTTGTACAACAGATAAAAACTAGGAAAGGTAAAAAATTCTTTAGCGTGGTTCTCACTTCATAAATCAACAAGAGGCAGGCGTCTCCATTTATTGTGTAACATTCTGGGCCAGCACCCTCTAAAAATATTCTTCCAATTTTTCATAAATAAAAAGCACTGAGCCAATCAGAAAGGTTCTTCTCTGGTGGTCCTGTGGTATGGATCTCTTGATGTGATTTATTAGGTCAAATTTTCGTTTTCCCCACTCCAAAGTTAATTCATACTTCAGTAACAAATAATTTCCTGATAGGTGTAAAACTTCATTACTATAAACAGGCTGTACATAAGGTCAATATTAAGTACAGGAACTGTTAGAAATTGTACTTAACACATATGAACCACTCCCGATTCATACCTACTGAACATATACTGCTTTCTATATTCAATTCATTAACAACAATTTAGATTATAAATATGTTCCCTACATTGGAATTGGTTTTTACTGGACTTTTGGAGCTTCCAGAGAAAAATAAATTATCCCAAGATGTTCCAGGAACAGTAATATGTTGAGAAGACTAAAATATTATGTTAAAAACTTGACAGAAACAACGAGACTTACCTGTAGATGAAGTTTTGACACTAAGGTTGATTACATAATCTGCGGTTCTGTTTCGATTGGTCAATGGGTTGATGGCAATACAACGATACTGGCCCTGATCCGATTTGGATGCATTGGTGATTTGTAATCCCCCTGATGATAAAATCCGATGATGATCTGAAAAAAGAAATTCAAATAATTATAAGAGTTTCTTCAGAATTTAGAAACTGTTAAAAAAAAAACAAACCACCATATGTATAGCACTCAATTTTGTTCAGCAAACTGCACTGTTTATCAATATAAACTTACTTTGTTAAAATACACACAGATAAAATCAATCAAGGAGATACTATTTATTGAAGATGATCACAGCTGGAGTGTGACTCAAGTTCTTATAACGATAATACAAGTTGATTTCCGACATCTAATTTTTGTTTTCAAATATATAAATTCAAACTTGTAACATGTATAAGGAATCTGCTAAACTCTGGTTGTCACGGAAACGCCATGTTTTGATGGAGTGCGAAGGTGAAGGTCTAAGTGTGTATATCTCACATATGTATTGTGTTAATGAACATTAATGGCTGACATAAGTGTCTCACAAATCTGTAGATTTACCACGGCTTGTCGCCTTTTGGTATTAGACTCCACATAAAACCGTGGCACAGAACTTTACAGAACATTTATATCACCAGATAAACGTTTCATATTATGGCCTGAAATATCACCTTAATCACCAAGAAAAACCATTGACCTAACTCCTTGTTCACCATACATGTTTTACTTGTCTCTGGAATATCCAACATATTACATGGTTTATTGGTGAAAACACTGACCCCAGCTGTATAGTTTTATTTCCATAGATACATATGTAACACATGAACGGGAATGTCTTCTAGAAAGGGAGACAATAAAAGCCTTAAGAACTCAATGTTCAATTTGCTTTTTGCTAATGTTTGGTAACTTTTTTTCTAAATTATAAAAATTTTCTTTTCAATTTTCTGTTCAATTTTCTCGGAAATTTTCTTGGAAATTTTCAGGAGGAATATCAAGCAAGTTTCCATGTGAATCTAAACATATTTCCATATCTATTTACATATGCACATGTCTGATAATAAGCCCACTCATATATCTTTAACTGTAGCATAACAAACAAATACTTTTTCAATGTCCTGTAATAACCCCCCCCCCCCCCCCCGACTTTGAATCAGAACTATATGTTGGCCTATGGCCTGTGGTCCTATGATAAGCCCACCCCCTAACTTTGAATTAGAGCTACATATTAGCCAATGAGGTCCTGTAATAAGCCCACCCCCTGACTTTGAATCAAAAGCTATGTACTGGCCTCCTGAGATCCTGTAATAAGCCCACCTTCTGACTTTGATTCAGAGGTAAAATGTTGGTTCCCCTTGGTCGTTTCAGGGTAAATATGTTACTTTAGAAATACAGTCAAAAAGAACACAATTACTTAATTGACAGCTAGAAATACCATATTGTACTCTCTATAGATCCTGGTATCAGGTCTACACAACACACAGTTGTGTTCTATAAACAAAACTATAAATAAACAACTAAAAACAATAAAAACATGTTTATACTATTAATACTGTTATACAAAAGCATACATTGAGATGATAGATTAGAGGTAAAATGAAAACTCTGTAAAGTTCACCGGCCAGATATATTTTATCATAAACAAGAAGAAATCAAAGACATTAAATTCTGTCTCAAACAAGATATGCTCATTTTTGAAATAATTTTTGAAACACAATCTGTGGTTGGTTATGTGAGTCGGGAACCCTGTGTGACTAAAGCTATTAAACCATAGAATATAAATGTCCTAACCCGAACAATATTTCAAATTTGTCTGAGGGTTTGAAAGCCCATACAGCATGTAAATGGCTGAGATGATTGTTTAAAGCTCACCTGATGACATGAATTAAGTTCACAAGGTTTGAAAGGACGAAAGAATAGCACCAATCTACTATTTTTTTTAACATTTTCTTTACATTTTAATGGATTTTCAAATTGTTCGACCCGTAATTCCACTGGCGTTCGCATTAGAAGCAGGGGACTTTGCATTGTACTCTTTGGCTTGATTCAATGTGGTGTAAATTTAAATCGTTTTCTCAAATATTGCCAGACAAAAATCCATCAAATGTTTAAAAAGAAATCCCATTAAGTACACTGATATATAGCTATCAGTCGTTGTAGTCCGAGGGTGGGTAAAAAATGTCCCCTATTGTCCTCCACTCTCTAATGTCTTTACTCTGACTAGCACCCAATAAAGCTCTCTTTTTTTAAACAAAACCATTAATACACAGAAGCCTAAAAAACAAACATCTCATCGGAAATGTCCAAAGGTTTAATTTTCATAAAGAACAACGTTCCTTATTAAGAAAGTTATATGATACAAGTTATTTAAATCATTGTCAAACTTATTCTAAAATAAAGAGTAATATTTTAAATGTTTTCTATCATATAAAATTTTCTTTAGTCTGTAAGTTTGACAAAAGCATTATTTCTGCATCTTCATGAAAGTTTTAAATTTTGTACAAATTCTTAACTATGTCTTCCCTCTTTTATAGAAACTAGACACATGCAGAGCTGTGAATTACTCGACCGGAAATCATTAAACTAGAATTTCAGGAGAAACATTTCTGATCATTATCGACTTTAGCCTGAAAACATGATATGCATATACATGCTTGTTACATAGGTCTGTTTCGCCTGGTTTTAAGACGTACTGTGATATAGGTTGTACAAATAGTTATATCAATTTCTTGCCATCTGTAGGATTCATGTGAAAGCAATTTTCTAAATGAGAATTTTTTTTGACATACAGATATGATGTGTATACGTGTTTCATGCCTTTTCCCTAAGTCATGTCTCGTGTTGAAGTTCAATTAGAAACAATGTTTAGATGCAAGAAATTTACAAAATCTTTTATAAAAATATATTTGATATGTGGAGTATGTTAATATAATATCAAACTCTACAGACAAAAAGTGATTTAACATTTTAAATGATAACTGTCATTAAAGGTAATGTTTTTTAAAGCAATAAAAGTTAAATTTAGAATTTTTATAGTGGTATCAAGACGAAAATTAAATAAAACCTGTAACGAGGTGAGGAATGAGAATACCCCAAACGAAAAAAAAGGTTTGATAAAAGCAGGCAGTACACTCGATAACAACACTAAGAATGCCTTAATGATGGTCTCGTCAACTTGGAACGATCCAAGTAAAAATCCAGAAATAGATACTGTTTTTTTTTTAACGGTCATGACTCAGTTTCACAGATGGTGTTGTGATGTTTTTTTTATATAAGAATGGTTTAAAAATAAAACCACTGCCACCATTGGTGAACGTAGCACAGTAAATAGTGTTTTTCTTTACAAAGTTTGTGTTACACAGCCTGTGGCCTTACTGGCCCCGGACGTTCCAAACAATTAGAAAGGTCACAAAGGGCTTGTATTGTATACGATCTCATTTAGATGTTACTAATATAACAGTGTGCTACTGTTCGAGAATGTCCAAGACAACGAGGCCACTAAGAGAATAGCATTCCTTCATTCTTGTGCTGTTTGTTAAAATAACAATAGGCCAATCCTATTCTATCAGGTTCATTAAAAATCTTATCCTCTCACAAAATTTAATCTTCTTCATTCTGACTTTTAATTTTTTTTGTGAGGAAGTTCAGACTTGTTATCAGATAAAATCCTACATTAGATTATAAAATCTTGTATGAAAATAATTTTGCCTTTCTAGTTATGTAATTCAGGTTATATAAAGACATTAATTGTACAGATTCAACACGTTTTGTGACATTTATATAAAATCATGCTAAAAATGTCTTCAAGATTTAAAAGTTTGACTTTTTTCTTATATTGCTATTAAACATGTAAATTTCTTTTACTTGTATAAATATTTTTTGTTTTACTGAAAACAGTATAAATGTTATATAAATACGGTTTGTTTCAGATATTTTTTATGAAAAATATAATTTGGCAGGTTGTTGAGTTAAGGAAAAACTTAAATTTAAGGAAATTTCCTAAACTTAAGTAATGATTTTCAATGGGGAATTTTAAGGTAAGGAAAATTCCTTAAGTTAAGGAGGGTTCATAAAACTGGGGCCTGGTGGCTACATCACTGAACAACATGCAGGAGGCCCATCATATAACAAAAGGTTAAAATGCCTTGCCCAGCTGGAAACAACCATGATAGCCCAGACTGGTTGATTTCTCAGCTTCCTGAGAAAAACAACCAACCAAAGGTAGGAAGGTCAAACAATGCACCTAAAAAACCAATCGTAACCTGAGGTTACATATAGGCCAATACTAGATACAATTCCACAGACACATACTGAGCAAAAATACAACATACCATCTGGGAACATGTTTTGTTTTTATTTCTAGATTAGCAAAACACACTTAAAACCTAAACGATTTGTGAAACACAAACTATTCTGAAGGTTAAGAGTTCAGATATACCATTCCAAACATACAGCTTATATATATACTGCATGCAATTGAGAAATTTTTTCCAAAAGCCAGAAAAAAATCTTCATATCTCTTGATAATCATGTATCACAATACATTCTTTAAGACTGTGGATTTGAGGAAACTTATACACACACTCCTCTCGTGTGCTGTGAATTCTCCACGTCTCTAGGGCTGTGATAACACACTGTATACACTCGAGACTGCCTGCTGCCCTATCCTACATACAGATATATACTCACAACACAGAGAGAGATCTACAGGTTCTACATCTCAAAATCCCCAACTTTAGAAACTAGATCCATTAGCACTGGGAGGGGGTGTGGAATATCGGGCCAACCATATCAGAACTGTCAAAAACTCTTTAGAAAATAGAAACAGTAAACGACTGCTTTTCCCGTGGAATCTAATTTATTGTCGAAAAAAAAGGGAAGCTTGAAATTGGTACCAGGACTGAATCCTCGGCTGCCGCAAACGTGCCTTACTATTCAATAGTTGAATTAATTTGCTCATTTGTTTGTTTCAAACAGGAAGTTTTATCAATGAATTAATATGGCCTGATCATGTACAAAGTTTTTATTTATCGATTTTCATTAAACCTTGAAGTATTTTGTTAAATCCATGTGTTATAGCGTAAAATAATATTTCCAGGATGAAAATACTTTTAAATGAATGAATTTGAACATTTTTCATTAGCAAATCAACAGTGTCCTAAACTATGCAGTGCCTCTACTTGTGTTTTTTACATGAGCTTAAAACTTACAAAAGTTAAAATTTTCATTAGTTAAAGAAGCCGATAACTAGATTTTTAATTGGTGATATTTTTTTATTATTGGGAAATCAATCGGATGGCCATTCTTTTTTTTGAATTCCTTTTACTTTTAATTGTTCTGAATTTAGATATATAAGTATGACATTCTTATCTTCCCAGTGTTTGTGTTTCCCAGACTGCCTCTAACCCTGTACACCTTACACCCTCTATTTGACAATTATTCAATAAGTGTTAGGTAGCATTCTTCAATCTATCCTATTTCTGCAGGAGAATTATGAGAAAGAAGTTTCCAACTTTCCGACCTCCACCAATTAGCTAATATTGGGTTGAGTCACCTGAAGTTAGTTTGTAGATTGGCCTCTCTGCCAAAGCACCTTGCCCCCCTCTATCTCCATCACTTCATTTCCTCCTACGTTCCTCCCCCTCCCTGCCATCTCCTCGTTTCACTGTTCCGACTTGTTATGTAGCATATCTTAATTTTCAATAATCTACTCGCAGACTGTCAGCCACTCAGTGCAATGTTACATAAGATAGGGTTCTCAGGAGTACAGGTGTACATGAGCCGATTCCTCGACTATTTATTTAGTAAACTCGAACTAAACCATCTGTCTTATAATTTAAACGTATTACTACACGCTGATGAAACCTTAAAACTTAAAAAACAAACTCATTTTCATTGCAGAAAATTTCAGGTCCAATCTCCAGTGTTACCACTTTTAAAAACAGGCTTTTCATTTTTCTTACATGGAGTCAATTTTGCTGTCAAAAAAAATGTGTTTTTGATTTGCTGGAAGAGGTTTTTAAACATTATGCTTCCTTATAAATAAGTATTGTTTTATATCCCCATTATCTGCTCAATAATCAATGTGTTCCCCAAATTTTTCACTTGAGTCAAGTCATATTTATATTATGTATAAGAAAATTACATAAAAATAACTTAAATCAAATTAGACCATTATCAATTTCCTAATATAGTAATCTGACCATATATGGAAAAACAAATTTTTTTTTCAACCATGGATTTTTAATGTAAAAGTTGAAAATGTATTTACAGAAAATTTGTTTACATCAACATTGTCCTAGTTTTACCTGATGATCCTGAAATTATTGTTCCATTGAATTCAAATATAATATTTGCTGCAGGACGACTCTCTGGTGGTAGGCATGGCAACACAACATCATGTCCTTCTGTTGTGTTGAGTGATAAATCTGTTCTAGGTCCAAAATGTCTTAATACTGAAACATAGACAGAAATCACATAATCAGAAATATTTAGAAGGAAAATATGAAATGTCAGATTGAGTAATTAATAGATGTATTTAATTTGTATTTGTTTGGGATTTAGGACGTAATGAGTTATGTAGGAAATGAATTGTCAGACTTTGGTGTGTAATTATATAAACCTCATTATCAAACTCATTTGAAACAAAAAAAGAGATATGCAAATTATCAGCTTTGATATGTTCTCAGAAATAGAGCTAATTAATTACACTCTAGATACAGGAATGATGAACAAGCGTCTGACTGACAATCTACTCGCCATCAAAGCAGTTTGTTTTGCTTTTAGAATCACTGCAGCGTTTACTGCACTGCTGAGATGCACTCAGAGAATCTATCACATAATACCCTCCTTCCTTCGCCCAGTTTCTGTGACTAGCAGCTCCCACTAGCCTTAACTCTTACGACTATTTCGTTAAATATGACAGAATTTTTAGGATATATTACAAAAGAAAAATGGATTTTATATCACCTAATGTAATACGTTTTATCATGAAGAGCGATAAGTCGCTCTAACAAGATTGTAAACGATTAGATATTTCGGAGCTCCAGATTCTGAAATGTCTGCTATTGGCCTAGAAAACAGAAGAAGTTTACATAATCAGATAATTGGTGACCTTTAGTCCCCTGTTATCCTAATAGGACTGTACTTACGATTGAGTCGGACTGGTTCATTTTAAGATGTAGGTAGGACCACTTTTTTAGGCACCATATATCAGATACATAGTGTTTATTGTTTGACATTTGTAGATACGTCAATGTTATGATTAATAACGAGGCAAGAGAGAAAACCAGAACTGTTTTTCTGAACCATCTTTCTAGCATTTCTGGAATCTAGTTAATATATACTATTTCCTTGTAGTTTAATTTATAACAAAACTTTTGATCTATACAACATGAACATGATTAAAAATGACAAACCAAGTCTGAAAAACTTAATCTTTTCATCCTTAATTTCACTTATCCAAATAATCTGTTTCCATGACAACAAATAATGGGAAATCAATTTTTTTATTTAAAAATATCAAAGGGTTGAGTCAAACCTCAATGAGCATAGTACAATTTTCTAACAGAAAAACAATAAACTTATGAAGTGATCTGATTGGTTCATTCTAGTTTACACAGTTTTTATTGGTCCATTCTTCTTTACACAGCAGGCTTCTTGACCAACTGCCATATTGAATTTACAGCATATATCTAACAGTGCACAAAGTACACACATCTGTGATCAGAGTCGACTAATGTACACTTTGCTATCTTCCCAGGTTAGAGAGCTCGCTAAAGAGAATCTATCACTGGCAGGATTTTCCATGTCAAAGTTTAGGAATATCTACAGGAAGTCGGGTTATCATGCCTTGCTACATTTAGATATCAAATAAAATATTTACACATGATAAGAATGCAAGAGTAAAAAAAATAAGTTTGCTCATTAATTTCGACGTGTATATAAGTTTTTATTTGGTAACCGAAGTGGCTATGAATGTGACATGCTATACTTAAGGGCGAAAAAGAATGGAGATCAACATGATGTTGGTGAAATAGAGCTACTTCGATTTTTTTAATCTAAAAATAGTTTACCTGCATTCTCTACTTTAAGGTGTTTTGAAATCATGATTATGCAGTTTTGCATACTGGCTTTCTAAAGACTTATCATGACAGATTTGGGTTTATTGTAAAATTGTTTTGTTTTTTATACAGTTGTGGCATTTTTTGTATCTTTTCTCCAGAATATTCCATTTCCCTTACGCATGGATCATGTATATTTAAAGTAGACAGAAAAGGTAACATACACCCTTAACATTGGGCCAGTTATAAAGATATAAAAAGCTTGGATAAAAAAACATGGGACTGGACAGTTTAATAAATATTGATATAGAAGTGGGATTTATATTGTGCGGTTTTCCATGAAAACAATAATTCTCATTTATCTCATTTTGTTTGGTTTTTACAGGGTTTTTAACTTCATTGCAACAGCATGGTTCATTAGAGGACAGACACCAAGAATGACATTAAACATCGAAAACAAAGCATGTGATAAAAAAAGAGCAGACAAGAACAGAAAATTTAGGGATTAAAAGTTCTATCACAGAAAAGAATAAACTGATGCATTCCTCCAACACCTTACCTGCTTTCGTCAACTGTGCTGGTCTGCTAGTCACAGATCCATGAGGAGTTTCAGCGATACACTCATAAATCCCTTCGCGCCGATGTTTGAATTTTGCTATATATAAGTTTGTTCCTATAATCGTAAATCCCTGCCGGTCATTATCTCCTGGTTCTATAAATTCCATATTGAATCGCCATCTCACTCTACTACTAGATGGCGTTACTTTACACGGTAACGTCACAGACGCCATATTTGGTATCACAGCCGATTCTGGTTCTTCCAAGAATATCGGAAGCATTTCTGAAAAAGAGAAAAGATTGCGATTGTAAACGCAATGAATGATATTGATTTTCACAATGATTTATGTAATATCAAAAAGAAATCAGCAGGCAGATCCTTATCAATGTTGTGAAAAAAGTTTTTCGTTTTGTGTTTTAAAAAAAAAAAAGGTCAATTTTGTGTATTTTTAGATAACTAAAACAAAACTGAATTCCAAACATTTTAAAATAAAAACTGATTCAATGAAAAAAAACAAAAATTCAGTTTTAACAAAAAATCAGTTTTGTTTCAAAATTTATTATTTTGTTCTAATATATTCTTAAATTGATATTATTTTATACTTTTGTTTGGGAATTATCAACAGGCCTGCATTCAATACCAAGGCCACATACAATGAAGTCACAGACTGAAGGAAGTACTAGAAAACCAGTTTCATTACCTAGTAAAACAGTCTCTCAGCTTAGTTTTGTTAAGTTATACAGTTAAAACACATCTAAAATTCTGGTACTTTGGAATGAGGACAGGTAAAGATACACATTTATCTTACAAATCACAAAAATAACGTGATTTCTTGATATATGCAAATAAGAGACAACAAGAAACTACCAACATGTCAACATAATCATTATCCAAACTTAAAGTTCATAAAATTATGGAACATATGGACCAAAGAACGATTTACACTCCTGAAAAAGTACAGGGAGAATAGGACCAGGTGTTCCAGAAGAGTAAGCGTCCTCCGCTTTATTGATGAAACCCACCATGCAAACCTTGGTCAATCCAATGAAATGAGTTGATACTAAAGATAATGCCATCTTGGAATGGAATACAGGTTCCAAAATGTTATAGAAAAAATGACAAGAATCAAAACTAAACTTTAGCTTTCAAAATACTGAAATTATATTCTTAAAAAGACAATTTGTGTTAACTTTACTTGAACATTTTTCATGAACATCTGTTCAAATTTGGAGGTGTTATAATCCTACAAATCTTTGCTTCACTCCCCTATAAAGTGAAGTGGACTGATCCAGTGACACTTTAAACCAATCCAATCCTATCAGAAATATTTAATAACAGAGAGTAGAGAAACATACAACACAGGACGATGTCAATACATGTTACAATTCAAGATCGGCAATGAAAACATCTGGATTTGTTAAAACAACCAACACATTTCTCCACTTCTACACATCTGTCCTGTCTACTATACAAATGTTGTTCTGTGCACATGGCCCCAAAACAAACATATGCAGCGCACTGCAAGCAATGCATAAGCCCCCCTTCGTATGAAATCAGATTTCAGTCAGCGAAAAAATTGTTGAGCAGTCGTAAATTTGAACTTTTATGTAAGTGTGTTATAATGTCTCTCCTTCAGAGATTCCACGATCCCTCCTCAGATTCCACGAGAAGCAAGAGTGGAGACCGCAATGCCAATTACATCACCAGTCGCACCCTCTGTTAGAAATTCCACATTTAATCAGCAGATCTTATTTTCAAGTTGGTTTGTTTTTAATCACGAAATTAAAGTAATTTACAAAATAACTGAATCTTGATGTTATTTTGAGTTGATAGGTTTAAATAAATTTGATTTTCTTTTTGGTTTCAGATTTCTGTAGGCTGATGATAGGAAAAGGATTTAAGTATTGAAGAACAGAGGAGCATATAACACAAAGTATGTATAGTAAAACAATCCCCCAAACAACAGAAATTTGCTCACAAACTGGTGTAATCGAAAACAAGCTGTTTGCCTAATGAAACTGATTAAATTCTATAAGCATGGATAGAAAACTCAATATCCCCCGTCACCTTCAACCTGAATCACAACCCACAGTACCAGTCTAAGTCAGAACTGGACATCCTAGTGTTTGGCAGTCATGAATACTGACCATTTTAAACAAAAACAAAATCTGCGAAATAAGTTGTGCACCTGTCATGATGTCACTTTGTAACCTCTGACCTTGCCTGGTTTCCAGGTCAACAGAAAACCCAAGCAACACCCATATTTGTTTCAGAGATAAAACACTATGTACATGAAATATTACAACTATAAGAGTTTTTTATAACCAAATAAAGTACGCTCCATGAGAAAAAAATACCATGTCATATGAAATTTGAACAAAGTTTTTGTGCGAGTGAAGTTTACAAATATGGAATCAGATTCAATACCTTTACATAGCAGATAATGACTATGTGAAATGATAATGAAATTTAATAAAAAAAATGATTTCACGGTCGAGTTGTGAAGAGAAAATGGCCCGTTTGTTATGCGACTAATCACATTTCAAATTTTCAGTATACATGTAACTGTATCATAATTTTTTTCATGTTATTCAACATTTTGCTGTTGTATCAAAGTGACATTTCATTGACCCTAACAACGCACCACGTACCAAAATGTTTGGGTCTGTCAGTGTCATACATTGACAGCACAACGACAGCTTATCACACAGGTCAGTCAGTTAATCTCTAACCCATGTCAAATTAAATTCCAAAGGTAAAATAAAATATTCTAAAGGTAAACAAAATATCTACAATAACTGATCTAGTAAATGGCTGACAATCAGATTTAATCTTGGTCAATGAAGAGCTTAGAAATATCTTTCTAACTGAAATACAAAGTAAGGAATGGACATTGCTCTGTATATATGGACATTGCTCTGTATATATGGACATTGCTTTGTAGATATGGACATTGCTTTGTATATATGGACATTGCTCTGTAGATGTGGACATTGCTCTGTAGATATGGACATTGCTCTGTATATATGGACATTGCTCTGTAGATATAGTCATTGCTCTGTATATATGGACATTGCTCTGTAGATATGGACATTGCTCTGTATATATGGACATTGCTCTGTAGATATAGTCATTGCTCTGTATATATGGACATTGCTCTGTATATATGGACATTGCTTTGTAGATATGGTCATTGCTTTGTATATATGGACATTGCCTTGTATATATGGACATTGCTCTGTATATATGGTCATTGCTCTGTATATATGGACATTGCTTTGTATATATGGACATTGCTTTGTAGATGTGGACATTGCTTTGCAGATATGGACATTGCTCTGTAGATATGGACATTGCTCTGTAGATATGGACATTGCTCTGTATATATGGACATTGCTCTGTAGATATGGACATTGCTCTGTAGATATGGACATTGCTCTGTATATATGGACAATATTGCTCTGTATATATGGACATTGCTATGTATATATGGACATTGCTCTGTATATATGGACAATATTGCTCTGTATATATGGACATTGCTCTGTATATATGGACAATATTGCTCTATATATGGACATTGCTATGTATATATAGACATTGAAAAATTCTGTCTTTTTGGTTTCCAATTTCTGGTTTTTGGTTTCTAGTTTTAGTTTCCGATTTCCTGGTTTTTGGTTTCTAGTTTTAGTTTCCGATTCCCTGGATTTTGGTTTCTAGTTTTTGGTTTTTGTTTCTGGTTCTGAATTCCGGTTGACAAATGGATAATGTCATATCTGGTAAATAAGTTTGGACTGATTTCAAAAGCAAAGTTTTAATCAAAATATTTTTGGAAATATGAAAGACCAATCTCAACAGTCTCTTCTATTTCATTGAAAGGAATAAAATCATGAGAAGAAGACAGCTTGAACACGAAATTAACAGAGAGCCATCATGTATATAAAGATTTCTACGTAAGGAACATCCCTTTCGTTTCACAATTTTAGTAAATGCTAAAATTTGAAACATCCAAAAAAGCAAAATTTACAGAATTTTTAAAAGGAATAAAATGTAATGAGAAAATATTTAGTTTTATTAAAAGATAATCTAAGGATGATTTTATAGAAACAATACAACAATCGGACAAAAATTTGCAACCATTCCCTCTTGAGAACATAAGATAGGACTAAAGAAAAATCATGGCCTTTTTATCAAAACCAGCTCCATCTAAAAGTCATTTGTAACTGATAGATCTTCTGTAAGTATATTTTCCGTGGTCCATCGAATACAGATCTTTTCATCTCCTACCCACAGTCGTACCCCAGCTCCCTACTTCAAAGCTAAAGAGGAGTTTTCATGAAAGACTAATATCTATTTAAGTGTCGTTGCTCTTGTAAAGCCAGGCCTCTAGGTCAAAAGGGAGCTTCTCTCCGGGATGTACCCTAAAACCCATGGTGACTAAATAAATGGAAAACGTATCCAAACCATATGAATTATGAACCAATAAATCACAGCAAACTCTGATAGAGAAAGAGAATTTCTAAAGCTACGCATTCCTATATGAGGGAACAGTATAAATGGGTTTTAAAGTCAAACCAGCTTATGCTACCCCAGAAAATGGATCTAAACAGGGAGTAGAGAGGAAGGCATGTACTTATGCTCCTCCAAAGCCTGAAGAGTTCACAGGACTTACTGAACAGCTAATGACAGCCTTTCCACCAAACATGTGTTTGTGTACCAAAAAATGGCTGATGTTAGATTGTACTGTACAACACAAGTAAGATTAATAGGTTTCTGTCTCCTCATCACAACTAAACACAAATGCCATGTATATCATTACTTCCCAACCTCATCAAATTCTTCCATCATTTTGTTATATATATATCTTTCTTGTACATCTCTACTTATAGTAGGGAGTCATCCATCCAAAAATATGGCTGCAATGTGTAGTCATCGAAAAATATTACTACTTTTGAAAATGTGTTGTCATGGTAACAATTTTATAATTTTAGAAAATGCATCATCATAGAAACAATATCCCTATATTTCCTGGAAGTTTGATCAGGCCATTTTTACATTGTGTGATTTAGTTCTACAGTTCTATCCAGGTATTTTTGAGTTTATTTCCACTGATAATGTACATTAGGTGACAAATATTAATCTGTCAATTCTCTCCATTAAAACTAATCTTAAACATGTTCTGATATTTAAAACAATTGTCATTTGAAGAGGAAGATCATCGACAGGAGGTAGAAAGGGGGTTAGGGGGGATTTTAAGGGATTTTTTTGAGCAAATGAAAGTT